ATTTCCCCTAAGTGCAGGACTCTGCCTTGGGCTCTGAGCTAACAGCACAGTGAAATCCTCCAGTTCCTGGGGAAGCCAGCCCTCAGTGAGGCAGGAGCCACCCAAATGCCTGAGGACAGGAAGTCAGTGTCACCTGGGAAAGGCCACCAAGTAACGGCCCTAACGCACTTAGTGGGGGCCGGGGAGGACCTGTGTGCCCACTGCTCTCCCCACCGCCGCCCTCCTTTCATGGAGTCATTCAATGGACCTGTGCTCAGGGAGAGGCAGTGTGCCCAGAGTCAGAGCTGCAGGAAGAACCCTGGAGCCGAGCAGAAGAGAGACTGGGGTGAAGCTCCTACCTCCTCACTAGTTGACCAGCAGCCCCAGGTGTGCTCTCCGAGTCTCTCAGAGGGTCTCCCCGGCAGTTGCCAGTTTACAGGCAAAACTATCAGACTCCCTTTCTGTGGCAAGTCCTTGGATTGGGCAGGGACAGAGTAATGGCTCAAATGCAAACTTAGTCCACCAAAGGGGTAAGGAGTGGACAGCTTGGGGGAAAGACATGGGAGACAGGACGTGGTGTGACATTAGGCGTGAAGTGACATTTTGGCACAACGCAGCATTTGGGGTACCACTGGGAAGACACACATTTGTTAGTCCCAGGACTTTGTTGTGAAACCGCAGTATCCTTCCAGGGAGAGGACAAGTCATTTGACTTCCAAGAAGTGCTAAACAGAAGTGACTGGAAGGGTGTCCTCCTTGGAGGTGACCCGTGGGCCCTGCCCAGGAGACTTCTTCTGTCCTGTGCCCAGGAACCAAAAAGGTTGACTCTGTGTACTTTGAGAATAAGCTGCTCAACTGTAAAAGAAAATGTCCAATCTTCCTAGCTTCTCTCATAATTTAAGTTTATCTAAATACTCAGGAAAATTCAGCATTGAATTCTGAGGACCACAGGGAAGTCATTACCCTCAAGGCATAAGCCTGGATCTAACAGACAAATCCTTTACTTTTCTACTGTAAGTTTGTATCTCAGGGTAACAGTGGCCAGCCATGCATCTCAGTGCTTCTCCCCGAGGGATACAGGACAATCTATGTGTTTACCCACCTGATGAACAGCAAGGAATGTGCACACATGCAAAAGTCTCAAAACAGGATTTGGACCGACCTTTATGCTCTAATTGGCTTTGTGTATATTTATCTGAGCATCATAGAGGGTCAAATAGACCCACACCACTCCAGGATTTTTTTTTAATTTCTTTTAATTTTTCTGGTACAAGTAGCCTAAGTCAGTACAATAGCACATGAAAAACCATCTTTGTAAGTTTTGAAGGAGGTCAAAATGAATCATCAAATTACTCGTACATGGATGATGAAAATGATCCATTATGGTAAAATACATGCTTTCATAGCAGAAGTGTGACATGGACGTATGGTGATAATGATGGCTTTGACGTTGGCCATGTGAGCCAACGTTCCTCTGTCAGTGAAATCTAGCAAGAATCAGCTGATACAGATGCAGGGAATGCAGAACGTCTTGATTCAAATGACAAAGAAAACAGCAATGTGAGTACATATTTGACCAGTCAAAATGTTGTGAAATGGCCATTCAACCAAATGAAACAACCCAGTGTTAGAACAGGTCTGAAAATATAGTGAGGATCTTGGCAGGGGTGAAATGTATTGGACAGAACCAGCCCTGCCTTTCAGTGTTGGAAATTAGAAAAGATAAAATGCTACAAGATACTGAGAAGGAAAAAAATATGCTGTGAATTACACAAAGGTTGAAACGCAAGTAAAATGTTCTGCGTGCAACAGTAGCCATATTCAAAAATGTACTTACTATGACACCTCCTAGGCTGAACTGAAAGCATTCATAGGGCTGGTGTATTTAGCACAGATTTCTCATGGTGATCACAGGGATGTAAAAGACGTATGAAAAAGCAATGGGTCAAAATTTGGCATAACAATTTATGCCTTTGTAGATGCAAAGACTTATCATGCTTTAAATTTAGGCATCTATCATGGAATCAGCCATCAGTTCCTTATTCGCGTAGTAATGAACGGAATGATGTGAACATTTCCCAAAATAATCGGAATGTGACTTTCAACAGTTAGTTTACTGGTTTCTAATTGATGTTACACTTGATGTGCTTTTGCTAGCAGAGCACAAATTGAGCAACCCAGGAACTGTACACAGAAACAAAGCAGAAATCCCAAATGAAATGTTGCAAATTCAAAACAGAGAATTACATAGTACAATCTTGGAATTTCAGAAAGATATAACATGGGCCTCCTTTGTTTGTTTATCTGTTTGAGACAAGGTTTCACTATGCAGTTCAGGCTGGCCTTGAACTTACTTTGTACCCCAGGCTGGCCTCAAACTCACAGCGATCTTCCTGCCTCAGCCTCCCAAGTGCCAAAATTACAGGCGTGCACCATCTCACCCAGCTAACACTGGCCTTGTATATGGCAAAGAAAAGCAAACTGGGTCCTGTTGATGTTAACATTTTACCACGATGGAAATGTTGATGGAGAAACCTGGGCAAAACAGAAGCCTGAGAAGAAAGCTTTCAACAACAAAACTAACATGGGGTCGGCAGTTTAGCTCAGCCACACAAGCACCTGCCTGGCAAGTGCAAAGTTGTAAGTTTGGTCCCCAAGAGGAAAAAAAAACACCTAAGATGGGGTAGATGGTGGTGAGTTATGTAGCAACTCTGATGTCACTTGAAATACAAAGCACTGGCCAATGGTTGTGTTTTACTCAGTGCTAAATGTGTGGTATAGTTTGATAGTTTACAAAGAAAATAAAAAGCACAAAATATCACTGGGAAATTTCCAGTGCTGTTTTTTAGATTTTGTGCACCAAAAACCAGTTGATGTTGAAACATTTTGATATCTTCTTTTTTTCTTGTTTGTTTTTTATTTTGTTTTTGAGACAGGGTCTCACTATAGGGTTCAGGCTGGCCTTGGGCTCACTATGTAGGCCCAGGCTGGTCTCAAACTTGCAATGATCTTCCTGCCTCAGCCTCCCGAGTGCTGGGATAACAGGCATGTGCCCCACCCTTGGCTTGATGATGTTTTATAAGCACTCAAAAAAAATATTAAAAATTCAATACTTTATTTTTGTGCTATCTTTTTCTTTTAAGTACTCATTATTTAATATAATAAAACTCTTAAAATTACAATGAATAATTCAATAGAAATATTCTAAAGAATAAATGCCTTGACGTTTTGATGGCAAAATCAGTAGTCTTATGCTCCAAGAGGTGTACTGTCAATACTAATATCATCGTAACCTCATGTCAATATCATAGTAACATTAAGTCAGACAGCTCATTAGTTGTGCAGCCCGGAACCTGCTCCATCACTGCGACCCTCCGCTTCCTCTCCTGTAACGTGGCACTGAGAGTCCCTGCAAAGGTTCAGTGAGATGAATGGCATTAGCGCTGACTAGACCTGTTTCTTTTCTTTTTCATGTCCTTACTGAAGACTGAACCAGGCCTTCACAGGGAGCTCCATCTCCAGCCCCAAACCCGCCTTTTCCCCTGAGACAGGCTGTAGCTGCCCAGGCTTGATTAAAGCCTGCATTCCTCAGCCTCCCTCCAGGACAGGATCTCTGGTGCAGGCCACTATGCCTGGCTCTGATTTCCCTTTTTAAAACGGGATCATGAGGGTGACCAGCAGTGTGTACTACCTGATGGGCAAGGACCACGCCAACCAAAGGGCTGAGAAAGAACCAGCAGCAGACCCTGTCAGGTCTCTGTCTGCTCCCTAGCTCAGGAGCCTGGCAGGGCAGCTGGCCAAGGGTATGACTACGGGGTTTGGGGATGACCTGAATGACAGGGTTGAGCTCAGACAGCTCCTGAGCAGGCAGCACAACCCAATGGGGCCATGAAGAGGCCCCGGCCCCCGTCTCACAGGGTTCCTGGTGAGCAACTTCTTTTCTCCTTTGAGTCTTGAACAGGGCACATGATGCCTCTCACTTCTCCCCCGCTCTTGGCTTCCTGTGAAGCCTATGGCACCATGTGCCCCCTTGGACACCAGGGCCCAGGCTCTATAGGGGGTGACTTCACTGGGTGTCCACATTGGGGAAACACAGATGAGCCTCCCCAAGGACAGCTCCACAGAGGAAGGAAGCTTGGGGGAGCAGTGGAGAAGGAAGGCCTCAGGAGACTTCCTGGAAACCCAACAAGCCAGGCTACCAGGAGCCCTGGGGTTGCTCAGGGCTGCAGATAAGGAGTGACAGGAGGACACACAGGAAGTGCTGATGTAGGTCTGAGCACGCAGTAGAGGTAATGAGCCCTGGCCTGGGCTCTGACTTTTTTGGGGAGGAGGTGGCTAGAGGAAGTGAGGGCAGGGTGCAGATCAAAGGTGTTCCATAAATGAGCCATCTCTGGTCTTCACGGTCTAGGGGACACAGAGCCACCTGCTCTAAGCAGAGCAGCTCAGGGCAGACCACAGGCTGTGTCATCACACCTCCAGGGGCTTTTGGAAATTCAGGCCCATCACCCTCACCCTGGAGGCAGGAATGTGCTTTCTGTATCTCTCCCCCTTTATTTATCCTCGCCTTAAAGAGTCACACACCCACACTACCATTGAACTGGGTCCTAGAACAACCACACTCTTCCTGGGCCTCTCGGATTTGTGTTCTGCCTGCTGGGGCCCCCAGACTCCTCCTGATCCCTGCGAATCACAATCACAGTACCACCCCTTCCCTGGGAGGGGCCATCCTCTGCTGTGGCACCAGGATTGAAGCCCTGGCGAGGCTGGATTCCTGAGAGGGACGGGGGGGGGGGCTCCTCGGCTCCGTACCCTCAGTGCCCACAGCTGATCCCCCAACTCTTATGCCTGGGAAAGGTGGAGTGGGAGAGGCGGAGACAGGAGGGCTGGGCGGAGCCGCCAGGCCTGCGGAGGGGAGTCCCGAGACAGATTGGAAAAGAGGGTGTGGGCTAAAGACAGCCAGGTCGGCTGCTGCGTTGGTTGGGCGGGAGGGGGGGGGGGAGCAGGGGCTGGAGAAGGGGGAGGGGAAGCTGGGAAGCAGGCCTCCCTCCTACATTCCGAGCCGAGTTGCTAAGCCACCGTTCCTGGAATCTATAAAGCAAGCTCGAGGACTCTAAGGTCCTCGAGGACACCTTCGGGGTGAGCTGGCTGTACTGCTGGATGCATGGGCTCCTAGCCTCCACGATCTTTTTCATGGCGTTGATCCCCAACTAGTAAGGCGGAGAGCTTCCCCTGGAGCCTGAATCAGTGCTCAGAGACCCAGCAGTCACGGGAAGAGCGAGCAGAGGAACACACATCTAAGGTAAGGGAGATATCAAACTACAACCCAAAGCCCTCCCTCGTAAGAAGTAGCCCTACCACTCCCAAGCCTGCCTGTGGTACTCTGATCTCCCAGTTTCCCTGGGCAGTCCCGGGGGCCCGAGGCCATCTCTCTGGGAACAGGGAACGCTAGGGATCCTGGCTTTGGTTGGAACCTACGTAGGGTCAGGCAATGCTTGACTCCAGGGGCCTGAGCCTCATAGCTCTCTGGGGTGCTCCTTTCATTTTCCCAAAGTAACCCTGGACTGGCTCCCAAGAAAGGGACCTTGGAACTTTATGAAGCTAGAATTTACCTGTGGTTGGACAATTCTACCGCCAAACAATGGGACAGCTGAGGGTAGAGAATATGCGAGACTCCGCCCGGAGTCCCGTGTGTCTATGCCAGCAGAGCATCCGCCCCACTCGGGGCACACGTGCTCGGGACACAGGACCGTTGCCCTGGGAATAGTTTACATTGAGGGGACATCCTTCTCCTCCAGAAGCCCATGGGAGGGGCGGGGACTAGCCAAATGGTGTGGGGGCTGAGAGATTCAGGTCCAGGACTGACCATCCATGGGCCCCAAGCAAGAAGAGCGCGGCAGAGAGCGCCACAGTGCGCGTGGCAGAGAGGGAAGGCCAAAATCACTGCACGCCGGGGGTCACCGGGAATGCCCCGCATCTTCCAGGGATTACGCAGGCGCTGCACTGCCTCTCGAAGTCCCGGGATGGGGCGCGCCTTTGTGCTGGGTCGCGGCAGCCGCTGACTTCGCGTGCTCTTCCCCCTTTTCCCTAGGTGCGCGCCATGCGGTGGACGCTGTACCTGCTGCTCCTGACTGTGACGTGCAGGGCCAGCGCAGAGCCTCTCCAAGAGAGTGTCCTCTTTTCCCGATTCACTCCTCACTCCTCAGGCGGCGACAATGCCACAACATCGCCCTGCGAGGGGCTCCCCGCCGCGGGGGCCACAGCCTGGACCTTGGCGAACCGCAGCCTGGAGCACCTGCCCCGCTGCCTGCCGCGCGCGCTGCACAACCTCGATGTCAGCCACAACCTGCTGCGCGCCCTGAGCGCGGCCGAACTCAGTCTCCTGCCGGAGCTGCAGGTGCTCACGGTGCACCACAACCGCATTTCCACGCTGCGCTGGGGCCCCGGCGGGCCGACCGGGCTACACACCCTGGACCTCAGCTACAACCAGCTGGACGCGCTGCCGCCGTGCTCCGGGCCCTCATTGCTCAGCCTGCGTGTGCTGGATCTTGCTGGGAACCCGCTGCGGGCGCTGCCACCCCTGGCCTTCGTCTGCTTCCCCGCGCTGCAGCGGCTCAATCTCTCCTACACCGAGCTGGGCCTCGGCGCCCAGGGAGGCATCGCGCCAGGGGCGTTCGCAGGAGAGGCCGGCGAACCCCTGGCCAAACTCAACATTCTGGATCTCAGCGGCACGCACGTGCAGCAAAGTGAGTGTAGGGCTTGCAAATCCAGGCTGTGCGGCCCTCAACCCGGGGGCTGTGCTGTTCTTGGGGTGATGGGGTGCCTCATTCACAGCGGGGCTCAAAAATACAGCCAACTCCCCGCCCCAGCGAGTGAGCTCGGCTTTAACTCTTGCAACTTTAGAAGTGGGAAGCATTTAGGGTCTCCATTGTACGTGACAATGAAACCACGCGGGGAAGGTGGAAGGACCGATCCGAGGTCGCACAGGTCGCTAAGTGCTTGGTGCCCTCAACCTCCTATTTATTCTGGGACCAGAATCTACAATTTTAGCCATTGTGTGGTGCCTCCCCTAACAAGCTTCCGGAGTGCACGATTTCTCTGGGGCTGATGGGCAGATGGATGAACCCTCGCACCAGGCATGCAGCTCATATTAATGAAGTATGCCTCAGTCCCCAGGGGGATTCCTGGATGCTTCTGCTGACTCGGCTAAAAGCGTGTCTGGGTCTGCTGGGTCGCTCAAACAGGACCCAGGAGGGAGGTGGGGAGAGGGTGCTCCTGTAGTTGGGGTGCTGGCCTTGACTCGGGGGTCGATTGTTTTTTGAGGAACACATTATGTGTATGGAATCATGTGTTTCCTCAGAGACAGGAAAAGCTCAGAGTATGAGACCTGCAGAAAAGCAGGGTGTCTCCATTTCTCCGGCAGCCACGTGGTTGCTTCTGAGCTCCCCCAGCCTTGCCCCTGCTTCCTGGAGCCCTCTGAGCAAAGCCTGGGCCTTGTATGTGTGGAATTTAAGCAGATGCCAGCCAACAGTGGGTTTGGAGGTAACGTCCTGGCTATGAGTCACCGAGTCCCTTCTTAGCTGTGTGGCCTTGGGTCAGTGGTCCTCCTCTCTGGCTGTCCTGCTGAAATGACCATGCTTCTAAGGTCCCCGCAGCTGCAGGCTGTGCTGCCCTGGGCGGTGACCTTCTTCACGACTCGCCTGTCATTCTTCTTTCCTGACCGCTGTGCTGCGTCCTGGGTTTGCCTGGGTAGTGGGCAGCGTCCACTCTGTGTTGCAGTTGAGCCTGGGTGGATGAGAAGCCTGCCAAACCTCACGCATCTCTACCTGAGGAGGATGCCCAGGCTGAGGACCCTGGAGGGAGACGTTTTCAAGATGACCCCCAACCTGCACCAACTGAGTTGCCAAGACTCCCCGGTGCTGACTTCCATCCACACACCCATCTTCCAGGACACCCCTGCCCTGCAGATCCTTCTGTTGCACAAGTGAGTGTTTCCATACCACACTTTCATCACACAGCTCAAGTCTGCCCTTTTTATAGGAAAAAGCTGAACCTTAATTTTTTTCCCCCTCTGGCTTTTCTAAATTTTCTCTGGGATTTAGCTCATCCTAATCCTTTGGGGTGATGTTTTGGGCAGGACCCAGCTGGTCCACCCAGCCTAAGAGCCAGCAACTCGGTCAGTTCAGAGCAATATTAAAGCTCCTAACTCAAAGGTATTTAACATTTTTTTTTAAGCCCAGGCTGATATTTGCGGTAGGAAGAGGGGTTGTGGGCCTCAGGTCTCCTTCCCATCATGCTCTGCAGGTTGTTTCTCCCAGGGTTGGAGTGGGTCTGGGAAGGAAAGGTGAATGGATATAAAGGTTCAACTTGGGGTTTGGAATGGGTGCCCTCTGGCCTGGTGAGTGGCCACTGTGTCCCCCTCCCCACTCTCATGCCCAGGAGCAACCTCTGGCTGGACTTCTAATGGGAAGGACAGTGTTCCTCTGAGGAGAATCCCAGGCCACCTTCTTTCCTTGGAGAAGTGGGCATCTTTGACCTATGGTCAGTCCCAAAGTGGCCAGTTCCCTCTTTTCTCAGCATTTGACACTCAAAGTCTTTGCATCCTCAAGTTCCAAGGGACATCAGTGTCCCACATCATCTCTGTCATTGGGCTCACTTGGCATGATCGAAGCACCATTTATTCCCCCACATCATGGGTAATAGTGAGAAGTGGGGGGCTCCCAAAGCAGTCTCCGCCACCCAGCCACTTCTGCCTTTCCAAACTCTTCACAGAGTGCTTCGAGGCTGGAGATGGGTCGGCAAAGCCCACCACACTGTCCTCACAGGCTGCAGTGCCTCATGTTAGGAAGTGGGTGCCCTCACCACCTACCTCAGTGGTTCAGCCTTTTACAGTCTGTTGAACTTGAGCCTGAAACAGCCCTGTTTTTGGGTTTTGTTTTTTGTCTTTTTTAAACAGAGTCTCACTGTGCAGTTCAGGCTGGCCTTGAGCTCACTTTGCAGGCCAGGCTGTCTCGAACTCACAACAATCCTCCTGCCTCAGCCTCCCGAGTGCTAGGATTACAGGTGTGAGCCACCGCACCCTGCTGAAACAGCCCTGTTTTAAACATTCTGTTAACAGCTTTTTCTATGTCATTAGCCGTGTGTAAAATATTAGAGATAGAAACAGCATTGAATCTTTATCTGTTGTCAAATTTTGTCCTGCCCAAGCCACTTGCAGCTCGCTAGTTTTAAATAAAAGAATACCGCTGCCTCCTGATCTGCCTCCCATGGTCCAATAAGAGAGTGCTTTGAAATACAGACACCCCGAAGAGTCATTCAGGTAGCACGGTGTGAAAGCTGTTACTGGCAGAAAATCTCTGGAGTCTTGGGACAGACTTTTTTGGTTATATTTTAGTCGATGGAGGCACTAAACCTGGAATTATTTTTCCAAAAGAGTGGATGGTTGTTCCAAGCAAACACAGAACCCTTCACTTGTATGTTCCTTCACTCAATAGACAATTCCCACAGTGCTAGGAAAGAGCTCTGTGCCTCTCACTCTGATGCCTTCTCTGAGCTTGATAAAAATCCAGCAACTGTAGCAAGTGCCAGAATACAAGCATCATAAAATTTCTTTTTCTGTAAAATAGGTATGACAAGACTGCACTTTAGGGCTTTTCATGAGAAAGGGGGATAGCATACATAGGTACAGCTCGTAACTCAGTTTCCGTCACATAGCAGGTGCCAGATAGAGTTAGTGTTGATGGTGGTGTGGTGCTGGGCATGATGGTGAGGATGGTGAAGACTGTGATGATCATAGTGCTGGTGAGGGTGCTATGGGGACAAGTGTGATGGTAATGATGACAATATGACCCCTGCTTCCAAGGAGCTCGTACTTCAGCATAGACAGCAATCTGCTTATCATCATAGTACATTCTGATCGATATCAGAGGCACATACCAGTGCTGTGTAGTAAGGGAGACAGACAGAATGATCCATCAGACTGGATCAGACAGCCTTTTTCAGGACGAACGTGATTGAGCCACAGACTTAAAGATAAATCCAGGTAGCATGCGTCTCTAATCCCAGAATTTAGGAGACTGAGGCAGGAAGATCACTGTGAGTTCAGGACCAGCCTGGAATACACAGTGAGTTGAAGGCCAAGCTGAACTACATAGTGAGATACAGTCTCAGGAAAAGAAAGAAAAAAAGAAAAAGAAAGAAAGGAGGGAGAGAGAGAGATAAGAGAGATCCTCCAAGCTTGGATCTGTGGGTACAGCCTAAGTTTCAGCTGTGGCACAGGTGTGTAGCTGGTGCTCCTGGGGTGTGACTGTCACCTCCCCACTGAAGAGTGTTAGAGCAGATAGGACTGGAGTGTCTTTCCTCATGGAGAACATTAGCATCTGCCCCAGAGCACGAGAGTAACCAAGCCAAACCACAAAAATCATTTGAAAGGAAAGAATATTTGTTGTCTTAAGCCACTAAGCGTTGGGGGTACTTCTTCTCAGTGAGTACTAGCTGCTGTCCATAAATGTGACACCTTCCAAAGGCCTAGTGTTGCATGCCATCAGCTACGGTCCAGGTCTGGGGAGCAGCTTGGTGATGGAACCCTTGCCAAACCTGTGCGAGGCCTGGATTCCACCCTCAGCTGAAAACAAATCCTGCCAATCACTGTCACTGGTCTGCAGTAACCCTGTGCCAGTGGAGATTTACATTTGTGAACAGTTTCATCACCATAGACTCCCGCCGAAGTAACCAATGGTCTCCTGGGAATTATCGCTATTTGATACAAGGGAGGATACTGACTGATGAACTCCATGGTCACAAAGGGTCCCACCCAAAGCAGCCTCCTCTAGTCCCTAATGGAATGGCTTTTCCATGGCACCACTGTGCCTCTCCTAAACATTTTGGACCTGTGGTAAAAGTCTCACAACTGATATATATATATATATTTTTTTTGTGTGTGTGTGTGATATTCCAGCTGCAACTTGAGTTCCTTCCCACCATGGACCAGGAATTCCTCCCAGGTGCTGTCTGTTACGCTCTTTGGCAACCCTCTCACTTGCAGCTGTGAGTTATCCTGGCTCCTTCTGGATGAAACGCTCCTGCACAGGTAACACTGACAAAGCAGATAGCCGAGGGATGAGGGTCAGCTTTCAGGCGCTGCAGTTGTCATGACCATGCTGGACATTTGGACAGTGTGGGGTAGGGCAGTCCTCCCCCACAGAGTGCCACCCTGGCTGGTGACAAGCTGCTGCCCCATTCCTGTCAGCCAGAAGGCCCGAAGAAGAGAAGCAGCTGATTTGGAAGTATTTAAATAGGCTCAGCCCAGGGGCAGTGCCCTTCCCTTCTTCTTGCATTCATTGGCCAGGAGTCAGTAGACTGGTCACGCCCACCTATAGAGGAAGTTGGGAAATGTAGTCTAAAGTGGGCTAAGTGAACCACTAACCCTGTCTCTGCCAAAGCAAGTGTGTCATTGGCACATTTTACAAACAAGGAGAACAGGACTCATATGGATGAGATAACTGATTAAACCCATCCGACTGCTGGACAGAGAAGGCAAGGTCTGTCTTCTCCCCAAAACCGCTCTTAAACCCCCAGCCCTGCTGAACACCCAAGATGGAGCCTGGCTTCCTGTCCTGGGCGTTCAGCCCAAGGCCAGCAGGCTTAAGAGCCCTCTCACGGGCAGGACCAAAAGAGTTCTTATGAAGGCAGTTGACTGGAAGAGCTGTTTTGCACTGGGGAAGCCATATCCAGGCTGGCCCTAAAAGATGGCTACTGGGGAGCCAGGGACATCCCGGTTCTGAGCACCCTCAAATCAGTCCCACCAGCTAACTGCTTCTCGACATCCTGATTTTCTTACCTCTTACCCATGCCCGGCTGTGATGTGCAGTCATCTGCACTCCTTCTCCACTTTGCCTCCAAAGACAAACACCCAGTCTCTTCCCAGGCAAGGTCTTGGGATCATAAAGGAAGAGGCAGAGGTGCAGGCTTGACCCTGACAGTCTGGCTTCATCATACAACTGACAACTGTCAGTGTGGTGCAGTTACTTAGTCACTGCCTTTCCCGCCTCATCTGTGAAGTGGGGGTAAAAGCAGCTAGCTTATAAGCAGTAGAATAAATTAAATGCTAAAGTGTGAAGAATGCTGCTTAGCCCACTGTGAGCACTCAGGAGTGTTGTGTGTGCTCACAAGCACTGTCAGCAAGGAGACAGGTGAGAACAGTTTGAGAGTAGGAGGCTATGAACGCCCTCTCACTGTGCTTGCCCAGGTGTGGGTTGAGCTCTGCCGTTTGCTGGCCATGGACTCCTGGGCAGTCACCTTCTCCTTCTGAACTTGTCTCCTTTTCTACCCAATGGCAGTGATGCCAGGTCCCTTCTCCAAATATAATGTGTTTGGGGTGCATACAAGGTGCCACCTGAGGAAGGTTCTGAGGCTTGGCGGGAAGGAATGTCCAGCACAGAGCGGCCCCAGCCCAGATTCTTATAAGTGGCTGGCTTCCCCTCTAGGGCGGCAGACACGATGTGCACACCAGCTGCAGGATCCAGAGGCCCCTTCTCAGCACCTCTTCCCCTCTCCCAATTGCTGGGTGTGTGCGGATCACACCCCAGTACCACCCTCCCGGCTTCAACCCTGCTGTCCTTTGCTGGCTCAGCCTATGCACTGTCTTCACCGGGACCCTCTGCTCAACCTGCAAGACGCCAGCCAAGCATCACCAAAGCCGAGTCCCACACTGAGCCTTCCCCCACACAGGCTTCGTGGACACACCATGGCACCTCAGAGAGGACGGTCCCCTCCAGTGCCCGCCCTACAGCAGCGGGTCATAGCCCCACCAGCGCTCCACCCGAGACTGCCAGCAGGACAGGGCACCAAGGAGAACATGCCATTAGTCTGGTCCCGAAGCCCCAGGTCTCAGCTACCACCCCCTCACTGGCCACCAAACACTTTCACCCCATTCCTACTTCAGGGAGCACCATGAGCAGGACTCAGCCTGACCAGAGGACACCAGCTACCCCCCAGGCCCCTCATTTGAGTACTTCTGATCATGGGATCCCAGTTATCCTGTTGGATGACAGTGAGGAGGAGGGGACCGAGGAGGGGACCAAGGAGGTGGTGAGCACGCCCTACCAGAGCATCCCCTGTGATTATGACTCGTGCAGGCACCTGCAGACCCCATGTGCTGAACTGCAGAGGCGCTCACAATGCGCCTGCCCTGGCCTCACCAGGGAGGACACTGTCCCCGACCCGCCACGGCTACAGAGGTTGTCAGAGGTGACCGACACATCTGTGCTCGTCCACTGGTGTGCTCCCTATTCCATTGTGCACACCTACCAGATCCAGTACTCTGTGGAGGGTGAGGTGGGAAACCAATCAGTGGTGGGTGACATCTATGCCACTGCCCGGGAGCACCCTCTGTATGGGCTGTCACCAGGCACCACTTACCGTGTGTGCGTGGTAGCTGCCAACACCGCGGGCCTAAGCCAGCTGCAGACCATGGGTTGGAAGAGGCCATGCACCACGGTCACCACCAAGCCCAGCTTGAAGGCCATCCTGATGACGCTGGGCACTGCTTGTGGCCTGCTGCTCATCAGCACCGTGGTGCTGTCCATGTGCCTCTGCAGGAGAGGCCTGAAGCTGTGCAGCCACAAGCATGATGAGTACCTGGTGGCTTTCAAAAACCCGTACCTGACACCCTTGGAGAACCCAGGCGAAGACAGCAGGCAGAGCAAAGTGACAGGGCTGTGCCCCGACGCAAGGCAAGTCCCAGGCCCCCTGCCCAGCACCACACACGCACAAGAGGACTCAGCCTCCGATGGCTTGGTGAAGCTGCAGACCTTTACCTAGACACTTCCTTCTTCTCATGAAGCTGATCTCTGTCCAGAAGGACCAGAGGGCCCCAGATGGCCCCATCAACTCCAATCTCATGAGGCCATCATGCCTTGGGCACGCTGTCTCTGTCACAGGACCAATGCTCTTTCTCTTTCTTCTCTGCTATCCCTGATGGTAAACACCAGGCCGAGCACCCAGCACCCTTTCCTGGTGCTCATTTGGGGTTCTCAGCAGTCAGTGTCCCTCAGGATCCAGCAGAGAAATGCGTGGACACAGAAAGGAAAACTGAACCACCTGGCCTTTTCTGCCATCCTGGAAATGACGACGACATCCTTAGGTCTTTTTAAGGCAAGTTCATTTGTGGTCAAGGTGTGATGAGACATTTTGTTCAAGGGCAGAACTGGCAGCAAGAGGACAGTGTCACTGCTGCCGGCTTCGAGAGGGAGAACTTCCGGGTCTGTGAGCTGCATTTCAGTACTCAGGGAACTTTAGGCTTCACAGTGGAAACCGATGATCTTAAACTCAGGATTTTTTTTTTTTTTTTTTTTTTTTTTTTTAGAAATGAGCAAAACCCAGCAGGCAGTCGTGAGTTCAATCCCTGGTACCGATAAAAACGAAAAAGACAAAAAAAAAAAGAAAAAAAGAAATGAGCAAAATCCCTCCGGGCTCTCACTGGAAGCTGAAGTAGTGCTATGTTCCCAATTTACCAGTGCCTTAGTGACTTTTCACTTTTTCCTTTTTTAGTTGTTTTGGAGATAGGGTTTTGCTATGCAGTTCAGGTTGGCCTTGAGCTTACTTTGTAGTAGTCCAGGATGGTCTTGAACTCACAATCCTCCTGTTTCAGCCTCCCGAGTGCTGGGATTACAGGCATATGCCACCATGCCCGGTTGATTTTTCATTTATTCCCAAACAGGGAAAACAGTGATCCTGTGAAATTATACTTGGGACCCAGTTTAATTTTTATGTTAGCATTTGTTTGTCTCGCTGTGGTTTCTATAGATCGCCACCTAGTAAGTGTCTTAAAACAGCAGTATGAACAAGGCTAGTTCTCCTGGAGGCAGAGGAAAACTGGGCCATGACTGGCCAGCTTTGGAAGGTCAGTGGCGAAGCCTGGTGCTCCCTGGCTTGCAGACTTCAGGATAACCCACAAAGCTCCACCGCCACCACCCCAGGGCTCTGTCTCCTCATTCCCCCTCCTCCCACCATTTTTTTTTTTAAATAAAGGACTAGCCAGTGTGACCTCACCCTGACTTGATTACATCCGTAAAGACCCTATTTCCAAATAAGGTCCCATGCACAGGTACCAGAGGTTGGAAGACTGGAGCTCACCTTTTTGGGAGATAAAATTTAACTCACAATAGACATATTTCTGTTTTAAGGACCATGTAGCTTCTGTTTCAAACCACAACACACAGCCAAGTACACCCGTTTCACCCGAGAAAGTAGTCTCGGGCTCCCCAGGGCTGAAGAACACAACCCACCAACACTCTGCCCCCTTTAAAGGAAGTATGCAGGTTCGCTGACTCCCCCGGGAGGGAGGAAGAATTTTCAGGGTGAGTCAGAAGAGGCAGGAGGAGGACTCGTGACAGAGGACATCAGATGACACAGGAGCAGCCAGCAGGATGCTCCAGGCGTGCAGCGTGGGTTCCGAGCCAGGCTGGGGCACACATTTAAGAGCCATTAGCAACAGGGGTGAGCTGGGATGTGGACTGTCACTGTCATCCCCAGTGTCAGGCTGACTCCCCCACAGCTGCTTTCCAGGCTGGAGGAAGCTGAAGGATATGGACCTTGCAGGTGAAGGGATCCTCGCACCACGAGTCACACAAGTTCCGTTTGGGGAAAAGGGGAAAAAACAAACCCACCTGGCTTGTGATCTGAGCTGCAGTTTTCTTGAAAAGTACAATTTTAAATGCTTGATTTCTATCTAGTTTTGTCTTCTATGCCTCCTCAACTCTATGTATGTGCAGGTGTTTGTAGTCTGGAAAATGCTTGTGAAAATTCAGAGGTGTACCCCTATTCTCACACACATGACCAAGAGGGTTGGACTGACTGAAAATGCTCTGGAGGACGTAAGCACAAGAGTCAAAAACTAAGAGGAAATGCAGATCCCTTATACATTAATTGAGCCCAATGTCTGTAGTCCTAGTAGGATAAATCTATTCTATGGAGACACTGAATTAAATGTACGTTTTAGGTCTATGTTGCATGAACACAACTGAATGTGCCTAATTTATTACAATTCCAGTATATTTTACTAATTGTTTGGCAGAATTTGTGTTTTGAAACAATTTAGTATCCAAAAACCTGGGGAAAGCCTATTCCTCTAAGCACCACCAAAAATAATTTAAAACCAAAAAAGAGGAGTCTCAGATCATTCTTTTCTAAGGGTTAAGGTGAAAAAATACATAGACTAGCCAGGTGTGATGGTGCATGCCTATAACCCCAGCACTCGGAGGCTGAGGCAGAAGATCACAAGTTTGAGCCCAGGTTGGGCATGAAAGATATGAAGGGTTACAGATGTAGTTAAGTGCAAAGGCCTTGGGTTCAATTTCCAGTACCAAAAACAAAAACAGAAAGGTACACAGACACAACTAGAGTTAAGACCTTAGTAGCCCGGGCTACATAGCTGAGTTCAAGGCTAGTCTTAGCTGCACAGTGAGACCCTGTCCCCAAAAAACAAAAACACAAAACTCGTGTGTGCTCACAGCTAGACCTCTGGGATGGAGCAACTTCCGCCTCCAGCCTTAGCGCAGCCCACTGGGCCCTGCAGCAGGTGGACGTCAGCTGCCGCCCCCTTCCCCTCTCCCCAGCCAGCAGCAGTGCCCCAGCTTCTGTGATGTGGCCTGAGAGTAAGCAGGGAGTGGCAGACAGCAGGGGACCCGGAGCTACGGTGCTTTCAGCAAGGCTGCGCTAAGTCTGGTCACACACACTGAGGCACAGCGGGCAGGGACTAGGTGCCAGTGTCCAGAGGACCCAGCAGCACCCCTCCTTCACCCCCAGCCCCGTGTCCTTCTCTCCTCTCTTGGTGACAAGGCAGTAAGGTCTCTAAGTCAGATGGTCCCAAAACTACCGTGTCAGTGCGGGGCACACATCCACACAGTGACTCACAGCACATGGAAAACCCAAGTGGAAGGTACGAGTGTTTTCCCAACAGTTTTATTTCTTTAACATCTTAAAAGATTCTCCAAAGTTTAAAAAACTTGTGAAAAATATACAGTTTCATATTATTTACATCACATATGAGACAGCTCCCAGGGCCATGGAAACGCTGTGCCCGAAATGCAGGGACCACAGAAGCGAGTGGTACACAGCCCTTTCCAGCAAGTGAGCCATGGCCACACTGCTTCCTTCCACTGCCGTCATCCCGCACACACGACAGCCCCAGGCACGGAGGCCCAGCACTTCTGAGCACAACTTCAATACGTTCTGTCCCCGGTGATCTCACTCACTTTCAAACTTACTCCATTTTAAATGTCTTGTCTTTATTTCATCCACAGCTAAGCTAACTTTACTCTCGTTATTCTAAATGACCAAACAGTAACCACACAAACTGTACAGACTTAAAAATCAAACAAACATCTACAATCAGGCTGTGCAGGATACGCGTGGGACACCTACCAAACTCCAGTAAATCCACTACTGTTTTGGGAGCCATCTAAAGTCTACTTGGAGGTGTTGACAAGACCTTCAGTTCCCATGCTGAGCTGTTTTGTAAAAACATATAAAAAAGACTGATAGTAGTTGGAACGTCTTACAAATTAATCAAGAAACCTACAATTAAAAATTCTAAATCATAGTTTACTGGTATTTTAAAAATACACCTGGAAAATCTGCATATGCCCATGATCAAGCTTCCCTCCGAGGCGCACCACTACAGCCCTGCTGACATGGTTGGCTCTGATGAGTCCCTTTTGAAGCTGCACAGGAACACGGGGCCGCTGCCACTGCTGCCGATGTCTACTGCTGCCTTGTTAGTGGTGACAGGTGAGTTTCATCTGTCCTTTATCACCTGAACAGTTTTGCGACCATAATGGTAGTAACTGTAAGCTGATGCGGCTGTGGTGAAGGCTGTAAAATACCTTTCAAGGAAGGAAAGATATGAGATATGTCATTGCTAAATCTGCAGACCAGCAAGAAACATGGTAAAAGATCTGTTTAAAAAGCAAAACAGGTTGTATAATGATTTAAATGAAAACTGTACCCTGAAGGCCTGACGGGGCACAGGTGGGCTTGCAGGCGGTGCACACGTCCAGAGGTGGGGTGCGACCCCAAGGTTGAACATTTCCCCACTCCTCCCTCCTCTCTGCTTCCTGGCCACTATGCCTGCCTGCCTGCCTTGGGGCCCGCTGAACATGGACTGTAACTCTCAACTAACATTAAATTTCTCCTCCTGTAAGTCACAGGTGTCCAACGTCTTGTTTGGGTGATGGGGAAAGTGACTAACAGCTGGTGGCATACTTTTTTCATTACAGCAATCTAAATATACAGCTTTTCTTTAAGACTTCACTGGAAATGGGTGATGTTCAACAAAACTTAGTGAATAAGCCCCAAAATGAATGGCAACACTAGCAACTGCCACTGTTCCCTAGAATGTTTAGGTTGTCATTTTGTTCTTGGCCACCTGTCACCAGAGCTAAGGGACAGGGACCTCATGACCATACAGGGCGATGACCAGCTTGGCCCCAGCTCCAAAGCCCCATATGCTTCCCCCCATCCACGCTGCTCTGAGGATGGCATTGTGTGCCCTTGGGCCTTTGAAGACTCTCAGGGTACCTGAGTCACTGCAAGTCCCTTTCAGCTCACCAGGCAGACTGCCCCAGGCACACTCCTGCCAGCCGAGGAGGGTCAGCAGCAGTATCTGCTCACCCCAAACCTGTCCTGCAGGTTCAGCATTCCCAATTCATGCATAAACCCATGAACACAAGTGCAGGAAGTACTCTTTTTTTTTTTGAGATCAGAGTATCACTCTGTAGCCCAGGCTGGCCTTGAACTCATAGATCCTTCTGCCTCAGCCTCCCGAGTGCTGGGATTACAGGCGTGCACCACCATGCCTAGCTGAATGTGACTTATTGTTAAGAGTGTAAGTACACAATCAGAACAGTAAAGTAAAATTCACACTCTTCTGTCCCTCACACTCACACTGCACCTGGCTGGTCTCCTCCTTCCCTATTGCCAGCCCCCTAGACCAACTGCTGAGGATCTGCCTTTACCTAGTGACCTCCTGTGGGTCTCTTCCTATTGTGGCTCAAATACCCGCAAGGCTCAACTGCCACTTCCTCCCTGAAATTACCTCCGTCCTTCCTGAAACCCAAACACACAAGCAGCTCTCTTTCCCTGTACATTTTGTGAAAGCAGACTTCTTGATAGTAAGCGTCTGCCTTGGTAGTAAGCGTCTGCAGAATATATGTACCAACGCTAACCACAGCTTTATCTTCCAAGAGTGCGCTAAATACTTGACATTCACAGTGCACCACCACGCTGACGCTCACGGGTGACACCAAATACAGCTTACCACAGCATCTTAAGATAAACGCTGTCAGCATAATTGAAAACTGGAGCTGCCAAAGAAGCTGCCACCAAGATTAACTGGACCGCTGTGTTCACCTTTAAAAAAACAAAGAGGTTTTATAAACAAATAGTGCCAACTGGACCCTGTTCAGGGCTCTCAGGTTAAGCCCCAGCCCATCACAGCATGCTGGGCGTGCTTGGCCACACAGGCAGGGGAGAATGCGTGCCGAGGTCCACTTCCCACACTGGCCTGCAGCCGCCTCTGCAGCAAGGGTAATGACAACTGGCGGAAAAGGAACGCACGCCTGTGACCATGAACTGGGGGAATAACCCAGCAATGCTGCACCGCTGCGCAGTGTGGTGTTGGGGGCCAACCCTGAGGCCTTGCACCTTCAGGGACAAGCTCTACTGCTGAGCTACAAGCAGGCCCTTTTCACTGTGTACTGAGGAAGACAGAGGGGGACTTGCTAAGTCGCCCAGGATGGCCTTGAACTTATCATCCCCCTACTTCGCCTCTGAGCAGCTGGGGCTACAGAGCTGCACCACTGTGTCTGAGCTCTTCCCTGCTTTCTTAGCGGCCGACTAAAGCAGCCTTGTGAATATGGAAGTAGAGAAGCTGTCCCTTCCTAGGTGAGGTGACTTGGGCAGCCTGCCTGCAGTCCCAGCAGACCACAGAAGCAAACCCAGGCCACGCTTCCTGCGCTTTCACCACCCCTACTCAGTGCTGCGAGGCCAGCACACTGAAGTGCACTCCTCACAGAGGAGCCAGAGGGGCTGGGACACCACTCAGCAGCATAAGCACCTGCCTACAAGCACAAGGTCCTGAGTTTGATTTCCAGGAACCCCAATGTGTGCAGCGCAGCACTGCACACCCATCACCCAGCTGCACACAAATGACAGGGATCCCACTTTGCTTCTGAAAGTAAATGACTCAGCCAAGTGTGGTGGTACATGCTTCTAATCCCAGCTCTCGGGAGGCTGAGGCAGCAGGATCGCCATGGGGCACCCTGGACTACACAGTGAGTTCAATGCCAGCTTGAGCTACATAATGAGACTGTGTGTCAAAACAAGAGAAAAGAAATAAATGACACAATTTACAAGAACAAAGGTATGTCTGATGCATCTGTCCCTCCACAAGCCACTCTCTCTAATGCTACTAACTGCTATACTTGACACAAATACAAGACCCTGGAGGTCAAAAAGGCTGTATGCCCCCAGATCAAACCCAGCCCCAGGGTCTCTGTATAAAGGCAGTGGCTCCTCTGTCCCTAACATGATTGGGCCCCCACCTGCTAAATCCGTCACAAGAAACAGAACTCACAGATGACTTGAACAAACTTAGCAAGACTATTGAAAAAAGCAGAAACAGTGGTACTTTGGTTCACAAACCAAATCAGCTTTCCCCATAAGGTAAATGTGATTGAATTTACTTTGAATCAAGTACATGAACCAAAGCACCGTGTGCCCTGATAGGCGTTAACGGGTTTTATTGTGTGTGTTCAAAAACTGACATCCAGTAATTACCGTGAAAAAAGACTCTGGAGAACAGAATGGATAACTAAGAGTAGCAGCTGGTCAGTGAGGAAGTCCTGACCCAGTGAAAAGCCATGAGTTTGATGTTTACTAGCCAGGGCGGGGAGCAGGAAAATCACAGCCTCTTCTGATCTCTACACTGCAGTCAAGAAGCAATTACATTTCATCTTTCCGCGTGTTCCCCACCCTATCACAGCTTTCAAGCCTTCAGCCTGTAGACCAACACAAGGCACTTTGGGTATACTTCAAGGCTCTCAAAGCTTGGAGGACAAAAAAACAATTCAGTTAAAGTTATCTGCCTTTCCCCACTCTTAATCCCCACTAGTCAATTTGTCTCTTTTGTCTCTTTTTTGGGGGGTACCGGAAATTGAACTCGGGACCTTGCACTTGCCAGGCAGGCTCTGTGCCACTGAACTATATCCCCGACCCTGTTTCATTTTTGCAGTTGCTGCAGACTTAAGTTCATATTCATTACAAAAAAAACTGATCAGGAATAACTTAAAAAGATACTGCATATCTCTTACCTTGCTGATGAATGTTGGTTTTAACCTAGCAGTAGCGTAGCAAGGATTGAAATACTTAGCTAGTGTTCGCTGTCAGAAGATAAAAAAGGATGGTTTCAATTTATTATTTAATTTGAAACAAACATCTTGCTATTACATGTAACAGCTCCTGAGTGCTTACCACATGACTGGCCTCATGCTAGCAGGGGTCTTTCCACACATCTTACGATGTGAAATAAGTAGTCTATATCCTTTATAAGCCATGGGTACTAAAAATTATTCTTTAAAAATTTATAGATTTGTTTCTGAAGTCCTATAAAATTCTAAAGCAACAGCTATCATGAAGTTTGCTTCATCATAATTTTTAGGTTTTAGTTTTATTCCCCCCCAAAAAATGTATTTAGAAAAACAAATCCAGGTCCCAGAATATTTTTTGCTTTTTTGAGACAGGGTCTCATCATCAGTAGGCAGTCGAGGCTGCCCTTGAGTTCCTTACGTGGCCCAGGCTGATCTCAAACTTGCAAGATTGCCTCAGCCTCCGAGTGCTGCAATGACAGGTATGCCGCACCACAGCTGGCAGACGCAGTACCTTCTCGCTATTTTCTTTTACAGATTAAAAACAAAATGAAAAATACTGCTCTAGTTTCACTGGACTGGGAACAGAAAGTTTACTATGGAAAGAACCAATGAAAAGAATACAAGCAAATCATTCTATGGCTCATACAATGCAATTTTAAAAACCAGTTATACATAATCTGTAGAAGAGGGTGAATAAGACAAGAGTAAGTCAGGAGCTCTGGAAACACCCTGACAGCCTGCTGCTTGCGGTGGAGGCCACCTGGGCTGCGTTTCATGTGTCATCCATTAAAAAGAGCTGGGTTTCAAACAGAAACACGCCACCACAACGATGATCCCAGCATTTGGGAGACTGAGTGCCAGACCAGCCTAGACTATAGCAAGACCCTGTTTCAAAACAAACAAACAAAAAAAACCTACCATCGGCCATAAGTTATTTCCCAAAGTAAAACAGTATACAACACAGTGAGTATTTTTTTTCTTTACTTTTTATTTTATCAGTTATGTAGCTGAGCTAAATCCCCAGCCCGAGTATTTATTTTTCAAAACTGTACGCACAAAGAGTATTTTTTTGAAGCAAACTCACCGGTGTTGGGAGAGTTCGGTATCTGACATAAAAAACAGCAGCAATCAACATTACATCTCTTGAAATTATCATATAAGTAAGTGGAACTGAAAATCAAATATAAAATAACTTTAATGAGAATTCTGAAGATTACTAACACACACTGTAACTACAAAGTCTCCCTTAGCTTTACCATAAACTAATGTTTCATGGAAGTGAAAATCACGGCTCAGGGTCCTTTTTAAAGGCAGTGAACTACCAGGCCAGAGCTCTGGGATCTAGGATTTGCACCTGCTTTCTGGAATATTGACTCCTCGCCTGTTTTGCTTGCTTTTCTGGAATACACTTTATAATGTTTGGAAGCTGATGTCCCTCTTGGGGGTTGGGGATTTAGCTCAGTGGCATAAGCACCTGCCTTGCAAGCAGGTGGTCGTGAGTTCAATCCCTGGTACTGATAAAAAAGAAAAAGAAAAAAAAAAAAAAAAATGGTGCTGGAAGATGTCCCTCTGCAGACGTTCCTCCCTCTGGCTCATTTTCTCCTCTGTCACTTCTCAGCTTTGTGAATTTGGAAAAAAATCACCATGCTCATTAGGATTCAACAAAATGAGACATTTTTTTCTGGAGTCTCAGGTGCTTTATTTGCATCTGTATTTTAGATTGTTTTCTGAAGAGCAAAATTTACTACATGTTGAACTTGTGGAGAAACAAATATTTTCATTCTTGTCAGCCACTTCTGACCCAGGCAACCAGTTTCCCTTGGCGCCTGGGGAATCAATGAACACAATTTGACAACAGTCTTCTTATTAGAGGTTGAATATTCCTTAACCAAAGTGCTTGAATGAGGAGTTTTCAAACTTCAGTTTTTTTAGTTTTTTGATTTTTGGATTATTTCCATAGACTTAGCAGATGAGCACCCCATTCCAAAAATCCAGAATTCAAAATCCCAAACTTTTCTTTTTTTTGGACACGGGTGTTGCTTTATAATTCAGGTTGACCTTGAACTTTCAGCAATCCTCCTGTCTCAGCCTCCTGAGTGCTAGCATCATAGGCATGCACCCCTGGGCCCAGCTAAAATCCAAACCTTCAGAGCCCCATGTCACTAGGCAAGCTCCGCCTCTGTTCCTCAGATTTGCATGTCTCACACCACAGCCAAGGGGCCTGATCCCCCCTGAGTAGGAAGGGGTGCACAGAGACCTTTCTTCTCTTTGCCTGTCTGCACCAGAGCAGCTTTAACCACGAACCTACACCTCCGTAAGAAAAACAATCATCTGTTCGAACACCCAGTTCACTCAGTTCAAATTATTACAATCCCTAACACCAAAGGAGCAGGTCCATCCCTTTCACAACACTGCCATGCAACTCTCCCACAAGTTATTTACGGTTGCATTTCTGGTCCTCTCTGCGGACCTTATGTAGACTCTGCAGAATGAGCATGAAGCTCACTCTTTAAACTTTCCATCTCTGCCGGCCGTAGCCACGAGGTAAGTGTTAAACCTGGCTGAGCCCTCTGCTTTTGCACTCGAGTCACAGCATTTGGAGTTAAGGGCAGGACTGTGTTAGTCAAGCTAGAAAACTGCAAGCCATGATTTTCAAAAGCATTTTTTAACCTACAAAACAAAATTTTTTAGCAATCATTAGCTGGTAAAGACTAACAGCAATCACACATTAAAAAAGTAGCAAACTGATGCAATTAAAGTCTGTGGTGAGTAACCATGAAGAAACATGCGATATAGTCTCTCTGTAGGAATGGAAGCTTATGGGACTCAGCCTGGGCCTGGATGGGGCTCTGGGCTTGGGCACAGCTCTGTGACCCAGCCTTGAGCATCTGGACTCACTTTACCATCCAGAACTACAAATCAGTCACTTCATAACAACATTCAATTCACTAGACACATCTGTATGAGCTTAAAGCATGACTCTGAGAAAAAAAAGCAAATCAGGACTGCAAAGAAAGATGATCAAAAACTAGACACATGGAAACTGTAACAAAGTCCCCTCACGGTGACAGAACTGGCAGATAAAAAGGAGAAAAGGAAAGACAGAAGAGACATGAGATTAAAACTCAGCTCTGATGGACAAAGACAGAGTATCACAGCTGACCATTGTGCCACTCGAGAGCACAGGGGGCACAGCTGGGAAGTTCACAAATTCAGACTTCCTAGGCTGCAGGACTAAAATCACAGGGCATCTCTTTCAACATATAGTAATTAGGCTTGAAACCAATGGTTTTTAATGACTGTATGTTGAGATGACCTTTTTAAAATATATAGGTTAAATAAAATATGTAGTTACAAGTATTCTCACCAGTTTCCTATTACTACTATTTTTTTGTTGCTGTTTTCTTTTTGAGACAGGATCTCATTATGCAATTCGGGCTGGTCTCGAATCTGTAACAATTCTTCTGCCTCAGCCTCCTGAGTGCTGGGATTACAGCCATGCACCACCACACTCAGATTCCTCTTATTTTTAATTACATATGTGGCTATTTTATCTCTACTAGGCCAAACTGATCTAAAGAATTTCAAGCCATAGGTGGTGTACATGCCTATAATCTCAGCCACTTAGGAGGCTGAGGCAGAAGGATCACATTCAAGGCCAGCCTGGCCCATATAGTGAGATTGTCTCAAAAACCTAAAGGGCTAGGGGCTAATGCGCACACACACACACACACACACACACACACACACACACACACACGACAAGAGAAAAAAAAAGCTAATAAGGAAACTATAAACAGTTTATGATGTCAATTTTTATGATGCAGATGAAATGGAAAAATTCCTAAAATAAATCACAAGTTACAAAATAATCAAAAGATGAACCTGAATCATCCTGTAACAAAGAAAAATAAGTCAACTATTTCAAAATTCTTCCCTAACGAAAATTGCAGGCCTCAATGACTTTAATGAATTCTATCAGAATGGAAAATAACTACAGCCTCAAACATCTCCCAGGAACAGAAGAGTAAGTAAAATCCCAAGCAGCCCTCTCTAACCTGTTTTATGAGGACAAAACTTGTACAAGGGGGTGGGCCTAACCCCATGGCCTGGCCCAGGTACATGTATCCTAGGGCTGGGAAGCTGCCATCCTTGGTATATGTGGGTGGGTACAACCCGCATGCCCACCCTGAGCCTTTGACACTAGCAAGGATATCTGGTGAACTCCAGGCCAATCTCAGAAATCTGGATATAAAACTTCCCACAAAATGCAATCAAACCAATTATAACAGTATCTTTATAATACATGATGGAAAGCTGTATTTACACCAGGAATGCAGGTGTTTTTTTTTTTGAATGCAGGTTATTTTAACACTAGAAAAGCAATAATGGGGGCTGAGAATACGGGGTACAGCACCAGCCTGACAAGCACGAGGCCCCAAGATCAATTCCCAGCATGGGGGGAGGGGGACATGCAATTTACACATTAACAGCTGAAAGGGAAAAAAATTATTCATCCATGTTAACATTCAAAAGAGTATTCACTAACCAACTATAAAAATCCTGGACAAGAGGGATGGAGGAGAGAAGGAGGCAGAGGAGAAAAAGGGAACTTAAGAATTCTACTGTGTTATGTGCACATGGTAGCTCCCACGAGGGATATTAATTGTTACATATGGCAAACGTACTAAAAAGGTAAAATAAAAATTAAAACCCTCTGAAGCAACTCCCAACTGAAGAGGACTTAACCTGAAGAAAGGAATTCCACAAAACCCCCACATAATGCTGGGCATGGTGGCACACGCCTGTCATCTAGCACTTTGGAGGCTGAAGCAGGAGAGGCCAGCCTAAACTACAAAGTTCAAGACCAGGTTGAACTACACAGTGAGACCCTGTCTCAAAAAACAAACAACAACAACAACAACAACAAAAAACCCTTATCGGAGGTATCTTCAATAGTGAAAGCTTAAAACATTTCACTATGAGATTGGGAAGACAGAGGTCACTTTTCAATAACTGTATTATACAGTGTAATATAATAATAAATACATTCTATCACACAGTATAGTAATGTAAGAAAAGGTAAAAGGATTGAAAAAGAAGTACACTGTCAGTGACCATAGAACAGTGTATAAATGAGGATGTAGATAATCCAACAGAATTTAGAGTCTGCTAGACACAAAATGAACATTAGAAAAAGGACATTACAAAATAAAACTTTAAAAACTACCAATTATAGGAATATTAATCATGTACACAGGAATAAATTTGTCAAAAACTGTATTACCTGTCCAGAGAAAATTACAAAACTCTGAGACACACAGATCTATGGATTGAAAGATTTTCTATTGTAAAAAGATTATTTTTTTAAAATGGATCTATAACTTCCGGGAGAACATGGTGCATAGATAGCACCAGCTACAGAGGTTCTCTGAGATACCCCACTTAAAATCCAGGAATAGTGCGGGGTGAGAAGTCCTAAGCAAGGGGAGATATACCCTGCTGACCCAGGAATGAACTAAACTAAGAGAAACCAACTGGAAACACAATCCCGGTGCTATAACAGGAACAGATAAGGTCTCATCGCAGAAGCTGGAGCCCGAGCCACTAGAAGCCACGATTTGAATTTCCTGCAGCTGTGTCCCAAACAGCATGGCAAGGAGAGAGACGCGAAAGCTCTGAGAGTGAGACTGGCCGGGAGCCCTGCATCGACCTGTGGTAAGTGAGCGGATCGGAGACACTTCCATAGAGTAGGAGGCTTCAGCAAAGGACATACTGGGACCGAGCAGACTAGCCGGAACAGGACGCTGCAGAGTCCTTAGTCACATATTCCCCTCTCAAGCGGGATTGGTGGGGAGTGCCTGGCCTGGGTAACACCACTGATGTAAGACCCAGTAGGCTAGCCCAAACCAGGTCCCAGCGCCTGGAGGTGCACCCTAGCAGTGAAGCCTTCAGTAGGTTGACCTGGAGGGGTGGACCAAGCACAGGCTGCCCAGGTCTGTGTCTCCCTAGTACACTGCAGTGGGCAGGAACACCTAGCCGGTGCAATTCAAACAAACTGTAACCAACAAAGAAAGAAACTGGGCCTCCTATATACACTTGTATGGAAAGAACAAAAAATATGGGAAAAGAGAGCAACAAGAAAGCATCCTCGGCCCCCAATCCTGAGAAACATGCAATATCAGACATGGCACCAATAGACATAAAGTGATATCTCCAGAGCCTCATAGACCAGTTCAAAAATGAAGTTATTAATGACCTAAAGCAAGATATAAGTAGAATAGGTAGAGAAATGCTAAGCACCGCCCAAGAAAAAACAGATGGTGGAATAGAACAGAAAAAAAGGGGAGAATTGTTTGATGGAGAAAATACAGTAAACATAGAATACATGAAGCAGGTTCAAAGAGATTACCAGGAAACTAAAAACTCTATTGAAAGCTGGCATAACAGCTTGAAAGAAACTAAGGGCAGATTATCTGAACTGGAGGGCAGATCTGTAATGTGGGAGCATGAGATGAAAAACTTCTTAAAAATAACAAGAAAACAAACAGCAATAGTCAAAGGCTAGAAGATGATAAGAGGATCTATAACTTAAGAATTAAGAACATAAAAGAAGTAGGGACACAAACAAATGGACTACAAAAGCTATTCATAGAAATAATCCAAGAGAATTTACCTAATTTAGCAAAAGGTAAAGATACTCAGATGTATGAAGCATACAGGACCCCAGCCACCTACAACCCAAACAGAGCTATACCCAGGCATATAATAATCAAAATTCCAGAAATCCAATATAAGAACAGAATATTAAAAGCCATCAGAGACAAGAAACAGATCACTTACAAGGGAACACCCATCAGAATTACAGCAGACTTCTTGGCACAAACCATCAAATCACGAAGAGCATGGGGGGAAATAATTCAAGCTTTGAAAGATAATAACCTCCAGCCAAGATTGAGTTATCCTGCACAACTGTCCCTAGAAATTGATGGAAAAACAAGGTGCTTCCAGGATAAAGAGGAACTAGGGCAATTTGCAACCACCAATTCAACTCTACAGAGAATACTGCAGGATATTCTAAAAAAGGAAAATACCAAGATTCCAGAAACAGTGCAGAGAGGCCACAATGAATGGAGCAGAAAGCGAAAGGAAGAGGACAAACTGACAACAAACGACAGAAAAAGAGCTCAACAGAAATGAGGCAGAGAAGATTGGATGGTAGGAACAGCTATTTTGGAGAAAATAAGACATCATAATAGCTAGTGCTGATTTAGTATCATCTTGTTTTGAAGTCCCATCAAGCTTTTATTCTTCTGTCTCCATCGGTCTTAACAGGTTGTATCTTATTGGATTTTATTATATGTGATAATATAAGCAAAACTTTTATAGACAAGGAGATTATACAGAAACCATTGTTTATTTTCTGTTAGTTGGCTCTAAATACCCTGTAATATTGACTAGTTTTACATTGACTAGTTTTACATTGTCTGGATATGTTTGGTGCTACAGTATACGTAGTTATACTCAAAGATTTCAAGGAAAGAGACACTATGATAACTACTTTTATGTTAGGATTATCTTATGGTGAAACACTATTTTGCTTAAATGGTTATGTTTTGACCTGCGCTGTTTTGTTGTTATGCCCTCTTTTGTCTCAATTTCCTTTTTTTAATTACTTTTTTATTTTTATCTTTCTAATTAAGGGAAAAATAAAAAATAGCAGGATACATTATAGTAACCTACTTTGATTTCCTATTAACTTGATTTGAAATTCTGTATTGCCCTCACCATCTTGTTTTGACTGATTTTCCCCTATTCTGCTTAGCTTGATAGTACCAAGTTTGAAAGTATAGGCAACAACTGTGAAGATAGGAAGATTCATTATGACGCCCATTCTGGTTGACTATTATCTTCTTTTAAAGTCCTGTAATGTCTCCAATGTTTTGGCTTTATTCTTTATTGTTTTGTTCAATTTTATTATAACTGGTAATATAGGCAATTCTTAAGATAGCAAGAGGCAGTATGGTAACCATTGCTGATCACCTTATATTTTTTTTTTACATTATCTATTATGTCCATCTTTTTGATTTCACTGACTCTGTTTTGATATGTCGCATTTGGTTTTACTCTCTTCAAAAAAAGTAGTAAGAACTGTGGGAGTAATAAAACCCAAAATGTGTAATTGTCATTGTACAAAAGAAAAGAAAGTGCTCTAAAGGTTATAACTGCATATCTGTTTAAGTGTATAAGATAGATAACCATATTACTGAGTTTTGTTGGATCATTGAACAAAACTGTTTGCAGTCTCACTATTTGAAAGTCCACTTTATATGCTTTAATTTTGTAACTTGAACAACTATTTCTAAGATGAGAATATGTAATCTATTAACTAGTGATTTTTTACTGTTTATTTTTTTAAATTTTGTATTACTTGTATCTTTTTCTGTTTTTTTTTTTCTTTCTTTTTCTCCTTAAATAAAATTTAAAAAAAAAAATGAATGGATCTATAAATTCAGTGCAATCCCAATCAAACTCACATGGGCTGGGGATATAGTTCAGTGGCACAGTGACTGCCTGGTAAGCACGAGGCCCTGAGTTCCTGATACAAAAAAAAAAAAAAAAATAGAACACCATACATACACAGATGTGTTTTTTTCCTACAGAACTGCCCTTCTGGGGAAAGCAGAATTGCTAATTCTAGAACTTACATGCATGGCAAAGGCTAAGAATACCCAAGGAAAAGAATTTGCTCTATGAGACAGCAAAACCTTCAGCTAAGCAGTGTTAAAAGTGGTTTGCTGCTGCTACAAAGACAGATGGTTTATGTGTTGGGGGAAATTCAAACAGTCAAGTAAATCTGGAAAATATATATTTTAAAAGAAAATAACTGAGTAACCATATAAGCAGCTAGAAAGTAGTATTTTAGACAGGTTTAAAAAATAAAATCAGCTAAGAAAAAGAAATCCCTAAAGATTTCCAATACAAAACACAATCACATATGAAGCATTAAAGTATCAGACCTGCATGAGACTTCTTTACAGTGTGATGAAATCTAGAAGGCTGCAGAAGAGAATCTTCAAAATTGGAGGAGAAACGAGCCACAGTTGAAAAACTATGCCTAGTTCACTCCAATCATGTATGGGGACCACAACAGTGACGTTTTATTCTGTGTTTTGCTTTTTGTAGAGCTGGGCATCCAATGCAGCGCCCTGTGCGTCCAGGCAGTGTTTTACCACTGAGCCACGTTCCCAGGCCACAAGACATCTCTTATGTCTGAGACCTCCAAAATATCTACTGCCATGTTGCACCCTTTAAAAAAAACCAGGGGAAAAGGAAAAAAAACAAAACAAAACAAAAGAAAAACGGGGCGGGGGGCACTTAGTGGAAAGGAAAACATGGGAGTCTGGGGAAAAAAATTAAACACAGACCACAGTAAAGGAAAAGTCCAACTTGGAAAGCAATTATACAAAAAATAATAATGACCTGGCTAACCTGACCTGGCTACGACAACACAATGTAACTTTAACAAATGAAAGGTACAAAGACATACACACACACTGAAAAAAATGGACTTTTGAATGTCAAAAGAATGTTCTACAGGTTTTCTCTAAAAATTATTTATAATCACTAGAATATCAGCCCCCTAAGTATATGTACATATATATATTTTATATAATACATATATATATACTATTTCTATCTTTCAGATCAGCATAGAAAGTAAATTTTAAAATTTGGTGTGAAAACTCAAGAGAACTAAAGGTAGGAGAAAAAGAACCTCAAGCTTGAAGAGACTCCACTAGACTACACCCACCCTGTGGCCCTTCCTACCAAATGTCAACAATGACACCCAAGGGCCACAAGGCACTTCCTGGCTTCTCTGATCCTTTCTCTCTTTTTTTTTTTTGGTACTAAGGATTGAACTCACGCTAAGAAGGTGCTCTGCCACTGAGCTACATTCCCAGGGCCTTTTATATTTCAAGACAGGCTCTCCCCTACGCTGTCCAGGCTAGGATTAAGAAGTGCATGTCACCATAGTTGGTCCTTTTTCTTTTTCTTTTTTTTTTTTTTTTTTTGTCTTTTTCGTTTTTATCGGTACCAGGGATCGAACTCACGACTGCCTGCTTACAAGGCAGGCGCTTATGCCGCTGAGCTAAATCCCCAGCCCCTTTTTTCTAAACTCTTAGAGGAAAGTTACTTAATCTTTTGAAGGAGAAAAAAACTGATGGAGAAATATACCTGAGGCAGAAAATGAACACCAATAAAAGACATGCAGAACACAAAGCAAAATATCCTAAAGTGTTGTTAGAAAAAGTATTCAGATAATGTACAACTACATACATGATTTGAAAATTGTGCAACCGTATAGTAATAATGATGGGAAATTTTACAGATGCCTTCAAGATTTCAGAAGTTTCATAATTAAACTGTATTTAATAAAGATAAGCAGAGACTTAGGAAAGTTTTTTATTTATTATTTATTTGAGACAGGGTCTCTCTATGCAGTTCAGGCTGGCCTTGAGCTCACTTTGTAGCCCAGGCTGGTCTCAAACTCGCAATGACCCTCCTGCCTCAGCCTCCCGAGTGCTGGGATTACAGGCGTGAGCCACCACGTCCAGCTCAGGAAAGTTAAACTATAGTATTTTCCAAAGGCTGATCACTAACGATTATATAAATAGCATCAAAAGATTCTAGAGTAACATGAATTGGCATTATAAAATATTCTGTCTTTAAACAATCTTAATTAGAAAACAACTGCTTCTACAAGTTGTAACAAAGACATAAATTTTAAAGTAATCAAATAGTTCAACAGTTTAAAATTAGAAAAACTTTAAAAATGTTTTTGGAACAAAAATTATGTCCCTCAAGAGAAATCCCAAGCTGACTAATATCATTGTCCCTATGCTGTTTGAAAGCACGCAGGGTGGCATTCTTACCTGGAATAAGATCTGCATAGGTCAAGCTAACATATAATACACTGATAAGTATTTTATCAGCAAGTGGATCAAGAGCACTTCCCAAAGCTGATTTTTGATTGGCCCAGTTTCGAGCAATAAATCCATCCAACTGAAAATAGAAGTGTTTTTTAATAAATGTCATGATAGGCACAAAGTAGGTATCATGAAGCTTAAGAGACATAAGGATAATTATACTTTTATAAAATGCTCTGTTTCTGACCCCCACACTCATTCTTTGGGGCTGCATTCAGCTTTTAAATTAGCAACTGTTTAGAAATTAGTTTCCCATTACTTTGTCATTTTCCCCAAGGCCTCCCATTCTTTTCTCAACCTTTCCTCCGTGTCCCCTTATCGGAAGAACCCAGACACAAATTCAGAGACATAAGGAACCCACAAAAACCCACAAAGTGTGGCCGACAGGGCCTTGGCCTGCTTTCACTACAGCCAGACGGCTGCTCTTACTCTGGAGGGCGACTGTACCCTGAGAACCAGCTTCTGCATCTCCCACCTGTGCTCCCAGTAGATGACCTAACTCCTTATACTGTTGCATAGTTTGTGGATTTAAAAACTTACTTTGCTCAGGAGCCCTTGGAGTCTGTCCTAACTGTATCTGCACTACTTGTATTTGTACAAAAAGATCTCAATTCTCTGCACCTGACCTAGTTAAAATGTTACTAATTACTTGTTATTTCTTATTGCTGCAACAAATTATACTTTAAAGCAGAGGTCCCAGCTGGCTGCCAGTGGCCACAAGGGCCTACAGCCCAGTTTTATTTGGTCTGCCAGAGCTTGTAAAAATAATAACCAGTTGTCAACATTTATGTATTCAAAATTGTACCATAAAAATCCAGATCTCCTGCAACTGAAAAGCAAAGACCTGGTCGCCCTGGGGCCACAAAAAGGATAGAACCCCAGAACTGCCTATCCCTCCAGACAGGGCTGGCTAGTCTCGCTATCACAACCCTCCTGGATTTCACTCATTTTATTTAACCTGCTCTCCTACATTCCAGGCCTGCTCACAGCCTGCATGAACAGTGGACTGGGCTCACTTCACACTCGTGATCGAGAGCCTCCAGTGGAAACCCTAAGGCTGCCCACAGCATCTGCTTTCTCTTCTCACCCCCACTTCATTCCTCCCACCCTCACTCATTCATTCTAGCCCATGACCAAATCTGTTTTTCCTTGAGAGAAAAAAGAAGACGACCCCCAGCATTGCCAGCGTCACCTCCACCAGGGGCGTCCCCTTGGCCTCTCCATCTCTCCTCCTCTCTCTCCTCCCAAGCCCTTGTCTGCATGATCTGCACCCCTCCTGCACCTTCGATCTCTCCCTTCCTACCTTTTATTAATCAGCCACCAAAACCAAACAAAACAAAGACTCCAGCGCTCCTCTGAGCTGGTCTCTCTGCCCTCTCATTTCTCTTCTAGTTCAGGCTGGACGCCTCTCCAGCCTTGGCCTCCATACGTTCGAGCCCCAACCTGTGCTCTGTAACGATGGCTCCCTCCAACAACCCACTGCTGCACCCAGGCGTCCATCTCAGGCCTCCACATGGCAGGCATCTGAATTCCTGCCGTTTCCCCCAAGCCTCGTCCCACTCCAAGCACTGTCCATCATTATCTCCATGTGCCTAGCTTTCGGAAAGACAGGGGCAAAGAAGGTAATAGCCTGAAGCCAGGCATAGTGGTGCATGCCTATAATGCCAGGGCTTGGGAAGCTGAAGCAGGAGGACTGCCATGAATTCCAGACCAGCCAAGGCTACATAAGCGAGTTCAAGGCCGGCCTGCACTACACAGCCAGACCTTGTCTCAAAAAAAAAAGTTTGTGAAGTAATTGCACTCCACGAAGCCAATCCACTGAGCTACCAACTCGGTCTTCAAAACAGTACCCCAAACCCGTCCGCTCCAACCCCACACTAGCACCTGACACGCGCTCCCAGCATCCAGGTAAGACTCCTCCACCAGCCACTCCACCTCTACTCTCACCTTCTGTTAACCGTTTCCCACACAGAGCAAATCACACCCTGCCAGTGGGTCCCCTGCTCAGAGCCAATCTCCTGTTTCGCTCTTGTCTTTTTGAGTTCAGGATCACGTTGTGTAGCCTGACCTTGAACTCATTTTGTAGATCAGGTTGATCTAGAACTTGCAGTGACCCTCTTGTCTTAGCTTCCCGAATGCTGAGATTACAGGCATGTGCCACCATACTTGGCCTCAGCAGCCAGTCTGGAGACATCCAAACCTCCATGGAATAAATGTGAACTACCGTGTCATGTAACTCAGGTTTTCATATAGTTATCTCATCTGTTTAGAAAGCTTGTTAATGGGGCTGTCCAGTTCAGTGAACACTGCCATCGTATGTGGCAGCTAATTCCCCCAAAAAACAAAACAAAAGCCAAAAAAAATAAAATAAAATAAAATAAAATAAACCCCCTGTGAATGCAGCAGCTAAAAAAGCTTAGCTGTTACAGGTGTTTTATTATCAGCATAATGGCCTTCCACAATCTGGAGACTATGCGTAATCAGGGGAGATCTTCGGGCTTCAGAAATGAAAGCAGCACAGAAGAAAGGAAGTAAGATGGCGAGTCTGTCCCAGACAGGGGCGCCCGCCACAGAAGTGCAAGGGCACACCCAAGGGGCCACCCATTTGGAGATGCCATAAAATACAGCAAATACTCTCCTTTCTCCCTTTAAAACTTGTCAATTCTCTATTGCTCATCAATGCCACTGCTACTGGATGGGTAGAATTTTGTTTCTGCAAACCTCAAAACCAGTAGCTGGCATTACGAAACTACTACACCACTTTTATTTCCCAAAAATCAGTTTATATTTTCACTAAACAAATATGGAACAAAGCTTTCCAAACATACATTGAAGAGGTACCAAATGATTATTGCTGGCCCGGGTGCTCACATGGGTCTCAGCCAAGGGCAAAAAGATACTGTAGTTGGCTCCACAACCCAACCTTGCCCTGATTTGCAATGTTTCCTCTACCTTTCCCCTACTTCTCGTGTAAGGCGTGCACTTTCATCAGCCACTTCAAATCCTTTTCCAAACCAAGTAGGTGGTAAATAGAAATAATGTCACGCATGATGACAGCAGGCCAGTCCCCAAAAGCTATGCAGAATAACCCTCCTCTCCCTGACAGCCTGGGACAGGAAGAGGAGGGGGCCACTGTCCAGCCCCTCACAAGGGTTTTTGCAAGTGTCAGAGGGGTGTGGAGAGGGCGGGAACCAGATCTGTGGGGCAGCTCCTACAGCACCGAAGCCAGCAGATCACAGGCCTCAAGCAGCTTCCTGCACATCCTAGCACCCTGGGCCACAGCATCCGGTCCACTGTCCCCACCTCTAGGAAAACCAGCTCCTTGCAGATCGTAGTATTTTTAGCACAAGTAGAAAAACAGTCTCACAGTTTCTCTCCATTATTTTTCTCTTTAAAGTAAACACTCAAGTGTTGGGAGTTTCTAAGGGTATTTCTTTTATAAAGAAGTTAAAAACCAAGAGTGAAAAACTATCCCTTCCTCTACATCCCACAACTCTCACTTCCTCCCTTGGATCACATGAAGACCAGTCCTCACCTCAAATACGGCATCACATCCATCTCGAGGATTTCTCCCCAGAGAAACACTAAGGCTGTCTTATGTATTACAGGGCACAGTAGAGACCCTGTGTGATTTGGAAGGAAGAAAAATAAGACTGCATTTATAACTTACCAAATCAGTGAGTCCAGCTAAAGCAAAAACTCCTAGTGCAACATTAAAATCTTCTTCGATAATCAAATAGCCCAAAACTGGGGCCAAGCCAATCCTTGTCATTGACAGCATATTTGGAATTGTCCATGGATTTTCATACTGAAATACAAAGACAACAAAATTTAAATGCAATACTATAAAGTCATTAAGTCTCTAGTACAGACTTCATTAAAATTCAGCACTTTCAACATTCTTTTACAAATGAAACTTCTAGGTGTGGTGGTGCATGTCTATAATCCTCCACACTCAGGAGGCTGAGGCAGGAGGATCCCTGTGAGTTTTGATCCCAATCTGAACTACATAGTGAGTTCAAGGTCAGCCTGAACCATATAGCGAGACCCTACCTCAAAACATACACACACAAAATAAAATTTCCCTCCCCTGTACATACCCATCAAAAGGATGCTCAATGGCACACAGAATCTATGAAGGTTAAGAATGAGAAGGAGAAACTGGTTTAACCTCATCGATAAGTGAGAGAATTACTGGAAGAAAATGAGGATGGAAATAAAAACTTGAGTATTTGAAAATGAAGCAAAATTCAGTAAATCTTTCAAAACAGCCATGGAAATGTCAAGATCCCAACTAGAAACCAAAGACTGCCATAGCTGTGATACAGGAGCTTTGGATTCCTGGAAGCTTCATCTAGAGCCAAGCTGTTAAGAGGCTGGAACTCACAGAAGGGCTGAGAGCTGAAGAATCATCCTTCCTCACCAATCCACATCTGATTCTGAAGGGTGCTTTCAGCTTTAGAAAGCCTCACCCTGGTGGAGGTACAACAGCCTGAGCAGCAGGGTACAGTGACAGCAGCAGGTAAATGTCTCCCTAAAATCTGGGGTTTTGTTTTCCTTCATGGTAATTCCACTCCACAGGACTTTCTCTTCAAAGAGTTAACCCTACTTAACCTCTTTTTAAATTATTAACTGACTTGCCTGAATCTTAAATTAGTAACCTTTTAGGAAAAAAGCAGTGGAGTTCATTTCTAAAGACATCTTTTAAAATTCCATGAGGCATCCTGTAAGAATCATTCTCTGAAAATATCAAGATTGGGGCAAGGGATATAGCTCAGCAGCATGGTGCCTGCCTGGCAAGTTCATGGTCCCAAGGGTTCAATTTCTGGTACCAAAAAATAAAATACCACGTTTGTGTATATAAATAACCCAGAAAGATGGCACCTGAATTCAGAGATATGCCGTGGCTGCTGCTGGAGGCGACAGATACTGCCACCCTAAGCTACAGAGCTACTTCCAACTCTCCCAAAGAAGCAATACAAGCCTCCACTGTGGGATTTTTCATGGAAAGCAGACCCACTATGTATAATTATATGAAAACGTTCTCAGAATACATTTTCAATTCAATTTCAAAGATCAGAGTGTCTCAGAGTCCAAAGGGAAAAAAGATAAGCCTGTTGATTACACAGTAGTACAAAGAAAGTCAAATATAGTATTGAGCTAGCACTTTCAGCAATTCACAGGAGGCAGGGGAAGAGAAAAAGCAGTTCAGATAACAAAACAGAAGATCAAAAGGAAGGGTACCAGAGGTGATCGCAGAGATATCTATGAAGCCAAAATTCAACCCAAGGTTGCAAACAGCCACACCGGTCCATGTGAACAGATAGACCAGAGCATTTACCAGTAAAAGTTCTCTAAAGACTCCATAAAAAATATTTCAGCTAAAGTATCCCATTCATTTTTAATTATTACATTTGCAAAAGTTTCAAAGTTAACATGAGAGCTAATCCAGAGTACCCAACCAGATAACCTGTGGCATACTCGACCAACTACTGCGGCTCCAGGAAGGACTTCGGCCAGAAGGAGCCCTGCTTCAAAGTGCCAAGCAACCAAACCCCAACATACTCCAGCTGCCAGTGGAGCTGAGACCCCTGCCAGGATGAGACCCCTCACCCCATGCTGCACCACTGAGGCGCGCGGGGCAGGTGCCCGCGCAAGACCCAACAATTGAGGATGTAACAATTGCCCGGGTCTTCTACCATGACATCAAAAGCCGTGCCCGCACTGACGCTCGGCTGCCGGGGAAGGGTTTCAACAGGTACCTGGACGAACTCACACTTCCGTTACGCAGTGGTTTACTTTCTTCCCCTGTGACTAGAGGTTGAAGGATCTTTCACCACCTAAAGTACGTGAGTGTCCCTCGTCCTAGCCTAAGGTTACCGCAGGTCACAGCACGGTGAACCAGAACTGCACAAGCAAACAGGAGGACCCGGCCGCTTTTCGGTGCCCTACACAGAAGGGATTCGCTTCAGGAAACTAAAAGTAGATTTAGTAAAACGAGCGGAGACTGCGGCCCTTCCAGCCGCCGGCGCAGAGAGGAGGGCGAGAGGATCTCTAATGCCTAGCGGGCGGCCCGTGCAGCCCAAGGTCGCTGGCCACGGCGCCCCTCGGTACCTACCGCGCTGGCGGCGCTCGGCGGGCCCCACCGGCCGCCCGGAGCCGCCTTCCCCAAGCCCGAGCCATGGCGCCGCGGACCTGGTCCCGGCAGGTGCAGGCCGAATGCGAGCGGCCGCAGCCATGCGCACTCCGCCAGGCAGCCGGGGCTGCGGGACGCGGGCTGCAGGGCCCAGAGAGCGCAGCCCCGGCCTGGCCGCGCCCCCCGCGCCCAAGCTGCCGCGCGCAGGGCCTCCCACGGGCCGCGCATCACCCGCCAGGCCAGCATAGCGCCGCAGGGACACAGCGGGCTCAGCAGCGCCTGGGCCCGGCCGGCCGCTTCTCCGCGGAGCGCCGAGGGCCTGGCAGGAGCACGGCCGCCGCTGCCGCCTCCATGCTTCTTGGGCACCCCGGCACGCTCTGCTTATACAGAGCTTGGAGCCGCCAAGGAAGGAAGTCTTCGCGACGCTTTTGCGACACCGAGGATGCCGGCTGCGACGCCCCCGGGCGGCAGCGCCAGGCGCTGCTCGTGCACCTACAGCCGCGAGCACTGTCGCGAGGGTGGAAAGGGACAATGCCGCCCGATGGCTGCAACGCTCGCGGCGGAGGGAGAAGTCAGCCAGGCCGGCCCGAAACTCCAGAAGCCACTGTTAGCACCCCGCCTCAACCAGGTGTGCGCTTGGGCCCGTGCCAGGTTTACAGTGTTAGTATTTGGTACAGAAGTGAAAAGGACTGCTCTGCTCCTTTCATTCTTTTTGAGCATTAAATGAAGATGCATATATTAAAAAGATCAGAAAATGTCAGCAGCAGGATGAATTGTTTACCGAGAGTATTATACAGAAACAACCCTGCCTAGCTCATTAGTCTATTCAGTTCTGCTACAACTTTAGGCCCAGTGTTATCTTTAGGATTTGAGGTAAGGAAACAAGCTTAGAGAGAGAGGAAGAAACTTGCTTGTTCTTTTATTTTAGATGGGGGGGGGGGGGCGGTACCGGGAATCGAACTCAGGCCCTTGCGCTTGCCAGGCAAGCACGGTGCCGCTCAGTTAAATCTCCGGCTCCTGAAACCTGCTTATTCTAAATAGACACGAATCAGTTTATCATTATTATATATTCAATAGTAATACATTATATTGCTGATTAACAGTACAACTCCTGTATCAAACAAAAAAATAATCATTTTGGTGGTGATACTGAGTATTGAACCCCCGGCCTTGCACCTGATAGTAGAAGCAGCCAGCACCTCACCACTTGAGCTACACCTTCAGCCGGCATCAAACTGAACAGGAACGGTTCCAACCTCCTCTCCTTATCCCCCTGCAGCCCATCTGTCACATACCCACGTTAAGGTTCCTCCTAAAGAAATTGGATATAATTATAGATGTGAGCATTTTATCAAAAGATTATCTTGAATTATTTATGCACATACTGAAATACTCATATTGAAAAAAACTAAAAAAAATTTACTGGCAATGTAAAAAAGGTTAATTTTGTTGTTCAACAGTCATTAGACTCAGACCTCTGTCATTCCCACACAGACACTGATTTTGGATAATGCTGGCAAGGGGGAGTGGGCAGAAGGAAGAGAGGGAATTCTGTATCCCTGTACTGGTGGGAAGCTGGCAGGTGAGGAGGCCCTTTCTTGAGCAGGAAGTGAAACATAAGCGTTGAGGTCTGTGTAGAGGAGTTGGAATGGCCTTGCATTCCCATAAAAGCTGTGTTCCTGGGTGTTTGGTCCTGTGATTAGCAGCTGCAAAGTATACAAATACATGATCTAAGAAAACATACAGCAATTTCTTCTGATTAGGCTTTTCCCCTATAAACATTTTTTAGTAGCCTTAACATTAGAACTTTTAAGCAAAAGTCTGAAAGCTCCTTATTTCCTTTCTTTCTTTCATATCTATTACTGTTAATTTGGTAGATATTATCTAAGTACTGATGTGCAAAATATGCTAATTTTATTAATAAATTCATCAGCTTTAAATACCTTTAACCCCGCTCTAGCATTTAAAGAAAGATATCATATTTACATTAACATCTACCTTTAAAATTAGGTTTTAATATAGACATTGTGTTCTGTGGCAGTAATCTTATTTTAGTTTTGACTTTATTGATTAAATATTCAATAAAAGGCCAATTCATTTACTTTGATTAGGTACTCTGTACTTGATTGCCAGTTTTTTTTTTTGCCATTATTCATTTTCCAACAATGGTTTATACTGCCTGAGTGCTTATTTTTGGTCTATTTTATTTTATTTTGTGACAGGTTCTCACTATGCAGTTCAGGTTAGTCTTGAACTCACTTTTGTAGCACAGGCTGGTCTCAAACTTGCAACAATCTTCCTGCCTCAGCCTCTCCAGTGCTGAGATTACAGGCGTGCGCCACTACACCTGGCACTACCTGAGTTCTTATAGGATAAAGCATTGGCTCCATGTGTGATAGTTTGGCTGGGAGCCTGGTTCCATCTGAATCTTTTTTTTTTTTCCATTTGAATCTTCTCACAATACATGGGCACTTAAAGCAGAACTAGGAAAACTCCTAGCATCCCAGCAAAGGAGCACAGAACCTGACCTCTTTCATGTATTTCTACCAGACTTCTCACTTGAAGTCAGCACTTCACAGAGGCCCACAGAGAATACTTCTGTGTTACCCTTGTGTGGAGGGGGCACTCATTGGCCTTTCTGCAGTGGCAGTGGTACAGAACATGCACTGGTGGCACCGAGGCAGAAGCACTTTCCTCCGGGGCTCCGTGTGGCAGAAGGGTGCTACCAGCTGCCTTTGCAGCTCCGTTCTACAGCAGGGTGTTACAGCTCCTAGTCTTGTCCACTGGCCTTCTTACAATCCTATAAACTAATCAGAATTCTTCCAAAAACGCCTTTTCTCACTTATTTCTGCTGCTTGCAAACTATAGACTGGAGGCCAAATTAGACCTACTGCCTGTAATGATTATATGGTTAAAACAATAAAAACATTTTTTACCCTTTTATGAAAATGTTATGAAATTCAAATTTTCATGTTGAAAAATTTTACTGGAACACAGATTTATTCATTAGTTTACATGATATCCCTGATGAATATCTGATACGCAAAATTTGTATGAAATATTCATACAGGGGCTGGGGATTTAGCTCAGTGGCATAAGCGCCTGCATTGCAAGCAGGCAGTCGTGAGTTCGATCCCTGGTACCGATAAAAAGGAAAAAGACAAAAAAAAAAAAAAAAAAGAAATATTCATACAAATAAGACAGATCGAAAATATAACTATAAATAATTTATATCATAAATAAGCTATTGTTAGCCTTTGGGAGAAGTTATGAAGCATTAACATACAACATTTTAATTTTTAAATTAGTTAACCAAATCCAACACTTCTTTCTTATTTTAGTTTTTTTGCAATAACATTTTCAAGGAACTTTTTTTTGGCATACTGTTCATTACTGAGATGCCTTAAAATGACAATAAACCCAGAAGGTCCTGATTTGATAAAGTCCTTTTACATAGTTTGAAGCTGGTAAACATTTGGGCCTTTTTTCAAGAGGTATCCCTGATCATTTAGTGAACCGATGAAGTTTTCAAAATCAGCAACCTAGAAGAAAACATCAAAAAAGTTAGCCAAAATAAGACTTGTAACACTACTCAAAACAGTAATAGAAGTATAATTATTGTACTTCTTACAGAGCAGACTGCCTGAATTTGAGCTTTGGATTTAATAATGACCACATAAAAATGCCAGTATGCAGAGAATTTCATATTTTTTTGTAATTTAGTTTTCTTTTTTTTTTAATTGGTACCAGGGATTGAACTCACAACCGCACACTTGTAAGGCAGGCACTTATGCCGCTGAGCTAAATCCCTAGCCCCCTATTTTTGTCTTTTTGAAACACTGTTTAACTCTGCAGTTCAGACTGGCCTTGAACTCACTTTGTGGCCAAGCTGGCCTTGAACTCACAGTGATCTTCCTGCCTCAGCCTCCCAAATGTGGGAATTACAGGTGTGAGCCACCATGCCTGGCTTGTAATTTAGTTTAAAAACAAAAATGAAATTGAGCCATTTTTCCATATAGACTGTTTTACATGGTTAGAGTGCTACTGTATCTTTTTTCTTTTTTGTATCAGGAATTGAACTCAGGGCCTTGCACTTGCCAGGCATGTGCTGTAGCACTAAGCTATATCCCTTGCTCTACTGTATCAGTTTTTGCTAGAACCCTGAAGTAGGAAGAGCAAATGCAATCAGGAAACTGAGGCTCAAAGATGTGTGACTCAACCCCAGGTCCTGTAGGAAAACATGGAGGCTGAGTCTTACTACAGTACTTCCTTCTAGCAGTCAAGACGCTGAGGTCTTTGAGAGGAGGGAGGTATGAATCCTAAGAGAATAGAAAATTATTTTTGTCCTAGTATACACTTACAAAAATTCTTGAAATTATTATCATAGAAGATTTAGTAAGTATTGAAGTTATAATACCTGAATATTTAGCTCCTTGGCAATCTGCCGAAGCTGACGAAATTGAAATAAATTACTGTAAGTTCTTTCAGCGATATTGTTGAGAGCAGAAATAAATCTTTTTGCTGATGACCTGTGGCTCATTCCAGAACCGTGCTGGGATCGCTCAAAATCTAAGTTTCCAAACTCATCAGAATAAGTTCCCAGCATGCTAATTAGAGAGAAGAGAAATAAACATTACCCCAGGATATGTTTTCCTATGATTCTGGTTACAAGAAGGAAAACTTGGAAGTAGCTGAAAGGCTCACTGGGAAAATATCAAAGATGTTTACGGAGGGGCCACTGTGAAATTTACTATGGGACAAAAAAATGAGAATAAAAATATTGCAGACACAGTTAAACTTCTGAATTTGAGAATATATAAAAAGAGAGTTAGGTGATAGATATCATTCATGAAAAAAAATTCTATACACAACAAATTTAATCTTTCCTGAGTAAAGATGTGTTCCTATTTCCTAATGTAGCATCTGGCAAAGAAGTTTAAACATTCTAAGACAGAAAATGGCTTATGCTGACCACAGTACTGATGGTTGGAGATCATCTCCAGTTCTTTCCTACTTTCTGCTACTAACATCACCAAGGAGATACACCTTGATGGGGAATTTTAGCTAGGAGTCTGAAAATACCAGTTGGGGACAGAATTAAGCAGTCTCTCTAACTAAGCTCTGTTGCTTATACCCTGCCTGTATAATTTGTCAGGTTAATAGGCAAAAATGCTATTTAAAGTCAGGCATGGTGACGTACACTTGTAATCCCAGTATTCAGGAGGCTGAGGCAAGATGATCCTTGCAAGTTCGAGACCAATCTGGGCTATAAAGTGAGCTCAAGGCCAGCCTGAACTGCATAATGAGACCTGTCTCAACAAGACAAAAAAAGAAAGTTAATCAGGAATTAATCAAATATGTAAGTCACCTGGTAGGCTGTGTCTTATTAGTAGAGAATAAAATATGCACAATTTCCACCTTGAGGAGCTTATAACAATCTTAAATGATTACTAACAATAGAGCAACCCTTTGTTCTTTGTCCTTTAGATAACAGCCTCAGTTAAAGGGAACAAACTATACAAATAGGAGTCATTCAAATGAGGCTGTAATGAATAACAGAACAATAAGATGGCTTTCCTCCCTGAAATTAATATACTCAGGGCTTCTATGAATAATCAAACTATGCTTCTTTCTCATAAGCAGGGGGTTGGGACATTTCTCAGTGTCTCTGGATTTAATCCCACTACCAAAAGAAAAAAGAGGAAACATTATTTATACTTATTTATGGTAGGTTAGCCCTCTCCCCTTGTTTTATTTTTTGCAGTATGGGACCCTTTGCACTGAGCTGTGTGCCCACTCCATTGTATTTTTATGTTTTTAGACAGGGTTTTGGTAAACTGCAAGCTGGGCTTAAACTGGACATTCTCCTGTCTCAGCCTCCCAGAATGCTGGGATTATAGATGTTTGCCACCTACTCTCAGCTACGGTAGTCCATTTATTTCTCCCTGTAGTCCAATAATTTAGGGTCATTTTTTTCTTGGCAGTATTGGTGATTGGACCTAGGGCCTTCACACTGAGCTATCCCCAGCTCTTTTAAAAATTTTTAAGTCTCCTTAACTCACTAAATTGCTCAGACTGGGTTCAAATTTGTGATTCACTTGTCTCAGCCTCCCAGAATGCTGGGATTATAGGCATGCATCACCCTGCTGGTGATTTAGAAACTATTCCTACGCCTATTTTACAAATGAAGATACAAAAATCTTTATATGGGTAAGTGACTGCCAGAAGTTACATAACTAATGAGTAGTGTGTATCTGGGATTTTAGTGCCTATTTATTCATGTTTGAATAAAGGTATGTAAAAACCTCAAATAGGTATTTGAGTAAAGGTATGTAAACTATTTAGGCTACTTTCCTGAAATAGAAGCACATTAATTTCTAAAGTTAGATAACTGATGGCTGCCTCAGGCTGGACTCTAAAACCCCTGCTCTTCTAGCTATTATGCACGACTTTTACTCCCGAAGAGGAACAACTGGGCAAAGTTACTGTACTTGGTTCTAACACCATCCATGTCCCAGTGTACCAGAAACTAGGAAACAAGTTCACTTACCTTTGAAGACAGAGAAATTACTTAATGAAAGAGAAAATAACTTCATTATTAATGTATTTTTGGCCTTGGGGAAACTGATTGCTAACAGATTTATATTTTAATTTCTCCATTTTTTTTTTCCCTGTCTTTTTCCTTTTTATCGGTACCAGCGATCGAACTCATGACTCCCTGCTTGCAAGGCAGGCACTTATGCCGCTGAGCTAAATCCCCAGCCCCTATATTTTAATTTCTATGAGAGCATATTTCTAAAAAGCTGACTTCTAAAGCAGGCCTGGTGGTGCACATTTTTAATCCCAGCATTCGGGGAGGCTAAGGCAGGAGGACTGCAAGTTTTAGTCCAGCCTGGGCAACTTAATGGCTTAGTGAGACCCTGGCACAAAATAAAAAATGAAAATGTAAAGGGCTGGGAAAGAGCTCAGTGCAAAGTTCTGAGTTTAATCCTCAGAACCATAAAGTGGGGAGAACTTCTAAATGATGATGCAGCTATGCAGATGAAGAGGAAGCTCTTTGCACAGTGATATGGGATGATCTCCAATATACACTGCAAATGGAAAAAGTAGTGGAAGGTGTACAGGGTGCTACCATCTGTCTCTAAAGAAGGAAAAAAAATATGTATTTGAAAGTCACCAAAACATTGGTAATGCTGGTATTTGTTGCTACTAGAAGAGGAGAAGAAAGAACTGGTAGCTAGTAAACAACACAGGAAGAAACTGTTTCTGCCATATACTTTTGCACTCCTGCATTTCGAGCCACATAATGTATGAACCTACTCAAAACTTAAAATTTTTCAGCTGCATGTTTACTAATGAAAAAATTCTATGTTTAAGGTAGACATATATGCTTTATATTTTACCACCTAAAAATAATGACCTATCAAATGACATAAAATGTAAAGGACATAATTTAGTACTATTTATCAAAATTCCAATATGCTTACCCTTATACCCAGCATATCACTTCTGAGAATTTCTATCAGGTATACAACTTACATAAATACGAATTACCTTACATAGAACATTACTGTTCCTAATAGCAAGAATAGAAAATACTCGCGTGTCTAGCAATAGGGGGACTACTTAAATAACCTATGGTGTATCTACACTATGGAATACTGGGTTAGCCATAAAAAAGGCTAGTCTCTATGTCCTAATAAGGAAAGATTTCTGGCTGCTGTTAAGTTCAGAAATGGCAGAGAGCAGCAGAAATAATGGGTGTGTGGACAGCAAAGGTGGGCAATAAACACACAACAATAATCCTTCTTAAACATATTTTTTAATTGATTTTTAAACTGTATGAATGTATTACCATTCAAAAAAATTTCTTTAAAAAATTCCTCTCAATAGACTAGTTTCCAGCCAGTAACATTTTAAACTAAAAGGTTTATTCAAAGGGAAATAAAACATTCAGTGGGCTAAATTAAAGTAATTTTGGTTGGCCTAATAAAAAGTATAATTTGATACAGAAGATAACTGCTGTTTCATTTAAAACAGCATTTAAAATTTTATTTAAAAAATTTATTAGTACATTTGTAGTACATTTTAATCTTACCTATATTTCATAATTTCAACTATATCCTCAGCATCTTCTTTAGTTGCTTCCTCTCTCAGTTCCATCCTTGCTCGTGCCTTTGAAAGGAAACATTTTAAGATAATAAAGACAAATACATGAACAGTTATGGTTATATAGTCATTTATATAAAAACTGACTTTTATGCCTGCCTGGCAAGCACAAGGTCATCAGTTTGATCCCCAGAATCATCCCCTCCCAAAAAACTGACTTTTATGGGAAGTTATAATATTAAAAATCATAACTTTTAAAGCCTAGAAAATTTGAGTATGAAAGTAACTGACTTAAAATATAGATAAAACTTTCTTTTACCTATTGATATCTTTTTCTTCTGAGAGTATTCATCTCAGGAGATTTGATTATGAAATACACTTGGTTTTTCCTTGCATTTTACTTTAAGAAAATCATACATTGCCAATTTGTTAAACTACTAAGAGTTAATCAAATTTTAGGAGCAAAAAGCTCAAATATCTGACTCAGCTGACCTTGGCTGCCAAATACCTTGCAGCATTCCACAGTGTGAAAAGAAGTGATTGCTCTCAGGGAGTAAGCACTACCCTTGTACAGACCTGTTGTGTAATCAAATGAAATACTCAAGATATCTGCTGTATTCCAAGTTCTCCTTTACCCACCTTGGAATTCCAGATCCCAGTTAACATAGCCACTTTTAAGATACTCTAGGAATCTCCAGTCGTTAAAAGAACATAAAAGTTGCATAGTAAGTAGTAGACCCTGTGCCTAGAAAGATACTTTCACATATTACAGATACAACCACCAATTTCTAATGTTTCTCAGGAGAAAGAAAACTTGAGTTCAATGTACAGGAAATTGATCGAAAGAGAAACCACACTACATCCTATCCCCTTCTTTAAGCCAAAAAAAGACTGAATGTGGAAATAACCTCTGTCAGACGAATCAAAGACTCTAGCTGCCTAGTAGTGATCGGTGAGCTATTTAATCTCTGGCTCTGTTTGCGGAGCTCCAGGTAAAAATCTTGAAGAACTTGAGCAGCTTCTGTAGACAGCCTGGGGTAGACATACTGTCGAGCATAGCCAATGTACTTCCTCAATAGCTGGTGGGGAATGGGGTCTATTGTTTCTCCAGGGGCCACCTAAAGGCAGATAGAAAGGCCCAAGGTTATCAGATAAAGGAGCAAAGAAAATCTTCCTCTTAAAATATGTAATTAGATCGATATGAAATCCAACATATCTCCAAGTAAACCAAACACTGTAATTGTAGCTGTCATTCTAGTTGACTTAAATGATTTCATGTTTATATGATGAACTCTAGCATCACAATACAAAAAGTTTTGGTATGTAAGTCTTACTTCCACAACAGTTAAGTCATGTACCAACCTTTCCAGTGTTTGTCTTTTTGTTGAGTGGTGGTGCTGAGGGACCCTAGAGTCTTGTTCTTGCTAAACACATGTTCTACTGCTACACCACACCTGCTCCTATCACACTGAGCTTCGACATTCAAGCAGAACCAAACCAAATGATCGTGAATAAGCATGTGTACCTTTAGTCTTTCTGATAATGGTTTCTCAGAAACCACTTCAAGTACGGAAGTATTTGAATCTTGACTATTCACACGAGCTACTGCAGCACTGCTAACGGCTCTCTGCTTTCCAGCTCTTATTGCAATCACATGTTCTGAGAGTAAATGATCATGCTGCTCATTTGGGGTGTCTAACAGGATAAAGACCAAGTCGAATCTGGAGAGTAGGGCACTCCCCATTCTAGGAAGCATGAAAAAAAGAAAAAACAATGAGTAGAATCAAAACAACCCGAAAATGTAGAAAACTATTTACTTGTTTACTATTCAAGTTTCACATTAAAGAAAAAAAAAGCTTTAATTTACAGAAATAAGTAAACAGCCTTGGATTTAACATATCCAGCTACTCTAAACCCTTCAACATGTGCACACGGTTTATATGCACCTACCCTTGGCATGGCCCACTCTCCTACCATCAAAACCACTGAAGCCTCCGTGTTCTATTGTTACCAACTCACAGTGCTACCCACTGAATCAGAGGTTATCTAATTGACTAATTCTTAAGTTTTTATGGCTTTTGTCTCAGCAAAATACCGAACCTCTATGGCCCATTTAGAAGAGTCTACTTTTTTCAAAAGGCATCTACATGGCTGTTAGTCATAAGAGCAAAAATGCTATATTTTATTTAGTCATCATCTTTGAACTCATCAATCCAGGTCACTTATTTGAGACACAAAAAATGAAATTCAGAGTGAGTAAAGAATTTGATCAAGGTGTCAAAGCAGGCTTATGACACTACCAAAAATGAAAATCCAACACCCCAAGATTTTTATCTTTCTTTTTAAAAAAATTTTATTGGTACATATATATAGTATATAATGATTACATTCATCCTGGTGAGTTGATATATATACATAACACATCTTTTTCCCTCCTCTTTCCCTTTTTATCTTTAAAATATATATAGCACTGTGTTACTTTACAAGAGGAAAACTAATAGGTTGACTTTTTTGATGATCATGGTACAGAAATACTCCAATTCTTCTAGTAAAACTATGTATTTTGTAATGTGTCAAAGACTATATATATATTTTTTTTCTTTTTTTGGTACTGGGGATCAAACTCACAACCATTGCTTGCCAGGCAGGTGCTTAAACCACTGAGCTAAATCCCCAGCCTAAAGAATATATTTGTAAGTGTATAAATCATTAAAACATTAGGAAACTAGCTGTGCACAGGTGCACTCCTATGGTTACAGCCACTGGAGAGGCTGAGGCAGAAAGGTAACCTGACTCACAATTTCAAGATTAGCCTGGGCAGCATACCAAGATCCTGTCTCCAAAAAAAAAAAAAAAATTAGTCCAGGTATGCTGGCACACACCTGTGGTCCCAGCTACTCAGGAGGCTGAGGCAAGAGTTGAAAGTTCAGGGCCAATCTGGGCAACTTAGCAAGACCATATTTCAAAATTGGGAAAAAAAAAAAAAAACAGTGGATGGGAAGGAATGAATGTAGCTCAGCAGTAAATCACTTGCCTCACATGCACCAGGGCCTGAGTTCAAACACCCGTACTGGGGGTGCGGGAGAGGGGGTGGATTTTTTTCAACACTACACTTAAGGTTTTAATTTTTCGTATGAGGCACCCTTTTGTCTTTTCCTCACTTTTGCTTCTCTTAATTCCATTTTCCTCTTTCTACATATTTTGCTTAACATCTACAAAACTAAGAGAAAGCTCATACTCACTTAAGGTATGAAGACTGTTTTTGAAAACACTAGGATCATGATACATATATAAGTATGTAACGTGGTCTTCTCACTTACTAGTGAAGTGCCAACGCTTCTTTACCAGTACACTTGGAGCTAATTTCACCCTTATGATTGCTACTTTCCACTGTACAGCAGTCTTAAGTAACTTTTGATTTTGGTGGTGATAAACAATGCTACAATAGCCACCCTGCAAACCTATCTTTGTGCACTTGTTTCACTATTTCTGTGAGGGTTCCTAAAAATGGAATGGCTGAACAAATAGAATGTACGGGGCTGGGGATTTAGCTCAGCGGCATAAGCGCCTGCTTTGCAAGTGTGTGGTCGTGAGTTTGATCCCTGGTACCGATGAAAAAGAAAAAGACAAAAAAAAAAAAATTAAAACAAATGGAATGTACATTTAAAACCTTGTGACGAACATGCCAAGTGCTCTTTCAAAGTACTAAGTCAGGTATATGAGAACTTATTTCCCCACCCCAATGCCAATAATGATTAATATTTACAACATATGCCAATCCTACAGCTATCAATAGTATCTCATTGTTTTAATTTGTAGCATTTAAGCACACTTTGGTACATTTATTGGACACTCGCTCTGTGAACTATCCATTTGTGTCCTTGGTTCTTTTTCTTAGTGACTTACAGGCACTACCTGAGAGGTGTAAGTATTTGAAGACCTTACTTTAAATTCTCAGACACCGTTTTGGCTTTATTGTAGTGTCCTCCAACTGGGTTTGCAGCAGCGATAACTGAAGTTCTTGCAGGGAGGCTACAAACCACACCAGCCTTTGCAAGGCTAATACTTTGCTGTTCCATGGCTTCTAACAAGGCTTGATGTTGGTTCCCCATCTTATCAAATTCATCTATTCCACAAATGCCTGCAATCAAAGGAGAATAACACAGACAAAATTGTTTTCCTTTGGTCAAATTCCAAGTTTTACAAAATAGAAACTGTTTCACAATAAAGAATTATTTCCATTTGATTCCAGTATAAAATTAAAAACTGTCATAAAATGGAGAATTACTATTTGTTTTATAGAAAATAATATACTTACCTTATTTAACTAAGTTTTGTGTATATTTAGTCATTCACTATTTCCATAGGCAAAGCACAGTTGTAAGGATTATAAAAATGAAGAAGATATGAGAGTGACCCTCCAAATGCTTAAGGATTTAAAGTTAAACAGGTGAGATAAGATATATAATTCAAGCCAGGCAGGTGGCCCACGCCTATCAACCCAGCACTCTGAAATGCTGAGGCTCCCACTGAAGGAGGGCAAGCTTAAGCCAACCTGTGCAACTTGGCAAGACCCTGTCTCAAAAAATAAAGAGTTGGGGATGTAACTCAGTGTAAAGGCACTTGGTTCAATTCCCAGCACCACACACACACACACACACACACACACACACACACACACACACAAGACATATACATTCAAGAAATAACACTCCAAAAACTACATGAAGTATGCATTATCATCTGAGTTTTCTGGAGTGGGAGATATTTGTAAAAAGGGAAATCTGCAAAGGCTTTAGGGGAAAGGTACTATTGGACTAGGTCTTTTGGGGCCAGTGGGACACATGATTTAGGAGGACAAGCATGTTGTCTATGGTCAAAAATTCCAAAGTGCCTGTATACTTGCAATGAAACTGCTTAACCTCCTTCAACCCAGCACAAAACCACTGACTGAGGCACTGTGTGTGCCAGGGATGTCACATCTCATCCGCAACTTAATGGAAACCCTCTAACATTCCCTCCCCTATCAGGCAGCTTAACAAATGAGCCTTATTAGCTGAGCAAGGCACAGAGAAAACAACTGCAGATGAGGAGGAGGAAGAGGAGAGGGAGAGCCCTGGGTACCACTGATTATCATTTGCCTTGGTCTCTCACCTTGATCGCCAAGAACCAGAGCACCAGCTTCCAAAGTAAAATCACCAGAGGAACTGTCTTTCGAAAGAGTTACAGTCAGCCCAGAGGTGGTCGTGGTGTTACCACAGACATACACGCCACGCGGAGCAATGTTGCACACGGCCTACCGACAGAAAGTGTATGAGAATCATTCCAAGTGAAGAACTAATGATAAACTTTCCCCACCTGTTAGCTCTATGTCTGCTATTCTTATAAGAGCTTTACTGTACAGTCTGCACCACCATGGAACAGGCAGGTGTTATGTCCTGGGTTACTGTGTAGAAACTAACGCCTCCTAAGAATAAGGAGCTACAGGAATTATGCCATTAAGGAAAGGGGCCAACGACTGCAGCTCTTCCAGGGGGAGAACCAGCAGTGTCTCCTGAGATCCACGCCATGTTGGAACTTAGGACTCTGGGAAGCCAAGCAAGCACCTCCCCTCCCTGGTAAGCGGAGGCAGGGTGGCAGACTGCAGCCCTTCCATGGCGAGAACCAGCAGCATCTCTTGAGATCCGCGCCATGTTGGAACTGAGGACGCTGTGAAAACAAATGACCATCCTGCCTCCCTGCTTAGCAACAGTGAACCTACTGCTACATGGCCTAGAGTCTAATATCCCACTTCCCTGATCCTCCTCCTCCTCCCCAACCCCACCCCCACCCCCACCCCTCGCCCATTATTAGCAAATGGGAACCAGAAATTTGGGCATCTCCTGGGAGGTTGACCATAGCAAATAAGGGGGACTTCCTTCTACCATTTCTTTGAAGGCAAATATTTTTATTACTGTTTTGCTCTTTTCTGATTAATGGTACTGCTCTATTCAATATTCTGTTTTGAAAAGTTCTATAGTGTTCTATATTTCATCTCATTTTGATATACATGCTTGAAAGAACAACTATTATAAAGATTAAAAAAAAGGAAAGGGGCCAGGATTCAGTCAAATCAGGGTAGCCTGACTCTAGAGTCCCAATACTCAACACTATTCTGTTACACTTCATTTTCAAGTTCTAATAGCAAATCTTGAGTACCAGTTTTAATTTCAAAAGCTCTCATCTTCTTTGAACATTAAGTAGTATGCATTTTGTATGCATTCACCCTCTGAGCAGACAAGCTTTGCCGGAAAAGTAAACAGCACACAGTTAAATCACAGATCTTGAGCCAGGTAGAACTGTTTCACCACACATGAGATCTCCCCACGCCATCACAGCGCTGCCTTGAGGAGTAAATGAGTGAGTAACACTGTCTATGCAGGACACTTAGCTTGGCGCCTGGCACACCCTTCATGCTCAGTTCAGGCACTGGGTGTGGCTGTGCCCTTGTGCAGTGCACACCTCAAGGGACCATATGTGCCGGCTCAGTAAACTGTAACTGTCACTACTGTCATTACTTATAACTTCTTATTCATTCGTCTTCTGAGAAGTCTTACAGTACCTTGAGAATGATTTACTAAACTGTTTACTAAGTGGTCATAAGAAAACAGGATTAAAAATATGAACAGTTCATAATACAGTGTTAGCCTAATGTTTAAAAATCTGACTTGAGGCCAGGGATTTAGCTCAGGGGTGTAAGCACCTGCCTGGCAAGTAGTGCAAGGTTGTAAGTTTGATCCCTGGTACCAAAAAAACCCAAAACAAACCAAAAAAACCCAACAACAACAAAGTCTGACTTAGTAAGATCTACATGTAATATTTTCCAGTCTTTAATATTAGAAATTTTTAAATTGAACCAAGAGTTTTAAAAGCATTGTTCCTGGTTTAAAAATTAAGAAAATTTTATCATGTCATTTCCTGGTATTAAAACCTTTTCCCTTTTCGGTATCATTAAATGTATTTTAGGACCATTTATCTGCCAAGAGATATTTCCTGAATAAAAAAGATATACTAGAGAAAAATGGAACTTTTGTAAACTGTGAGTAACATACATAAATCCAACTGTCCAAGATAACCCCTGGAGGTTAAACAAGGCTCCCATCTATAGTACACTGACTCAAAAGTTACATGGACCACAATTCTGGTCACAAAGTGAGTTGGACAAGAGCTGAATCAAATTCAACCGTTAGACCCGAGGTTGATTTTGATTCAGTTCTCGTCCCAGTTCAGTCTGCGACCAGAATCCTGGACAGAACTGAGTTCATGAACACAGGCTCCACCTATATAGAGTAAGTCCCCAAATTAGAAATATTTGAGTTGCAAATTTTCACAGGCGTATAACTGTGTAAGACTTTGTCAGCTTACGAACAAATCTCACAATTCTCTGGAACGAAACTCATTTGTAAGTTGGGGACTCACTGCATATGACAGAACACAGAAGAGAAAGGTGTAACACTTCTGATCCCTACAGGCATCCTTACCTTTTGGCTAACTATCCTATTTCCATTTTTGTCATGAATTTTGTTTCACCTACAAATATGTGCTCTTTACCTCAGTTTGCACCTCAGGTTGTAGGAAGGGCTCAGAATGGATTTTTTGGTTTTTAGAGGAAGCTCAACTGGCTAAGAGGAATGGAGCATGAATGCAAGGGTTTTTTTTGTTTGTTTTTTTGTTTTTGTCTTTTTCATTTTTTATCGGTACCAGGGATCGAACTCACGACTGCCTGCTTGCAAGGCAGGCGCTTATGCCGCTGAGCTAAATCCCCAGCCCCGAATGCAAGGTTTTAATGGAATTACAATGACGGCTGGTTTAACACTCAGGGAATGAAGGTGGCTCACACACGAAGAGGGACAGATTATAAAGGCAAGACAAGGTCAGAGCCATTTTGTTCTCTGCCCTGGATGCACATCAGAATCGCCGGTGGAGGGCTGCATATGTGCAAACACCAGGACTCTAACTCTCTTTATTCATCTTGCCTAGAGCTGGCCACAGTATCTTCAAAGAGCTCCAGGGGTGATTCAGATGTGTGAAGATACAGCAGCCATGGACTTATAATGAACCAAAGACTGGGAAGCCCTCCACTGGCCACTTTTTCCATAATGGGCAAGAAGGAAAGAAGGTGTTTGTAGGCTTTCTTGGAAAGGACATTGTGGGTGGCTTCCAGTATCACTCACAGGAAGCCGCAAGTGTCACAACAAGCAGCACCTTCCACAGATATCATGATCTCAGGTAAGAAACAGCTTCCTGGCAGAGGCAGGCTCTTCTTGGTTACCAACAATTACTGATTGGGCACTGAAGGCGCTTTGCTTTGCACTCCAGGAGAAACGGGAGAGGTATATAGATTTGCTTCCCTCTATCACATGGCTCTGGAAGCCCAATAAAGTGCTGCTGCACTTACAGGAAGAGAGAATGGGTAGTCCTGTTTTACTGCCTTTACTGTTGTTGTATCAGAGGTGAGATCACATCCCAGCAATAAAGACTAGCAAAACATTGCTGGGTGCCCCCCAAAAAGTGTTGAAAATGGTTAACATTTTATCCTAATTGCTCTCTCAACAGACCAGGATATCTGTGCAACCTGCATGACAGGAAACTGGCTCAGTTTGCAACAGGGTCAGATACACGCTGCATGTAACATACATACCCGCTCACTTGTACTTGTACCACTGGACAAACTAGACTGTCTAGAACAGCAACAGCCCATGCTTTGAGAAAACTCACTTGTCAGTTGTTCATATTTTATAAGCAAAAGGTAAAATACTAAAGTACTAACTTCCTACCTGTAGCATCTGACTCTTTCCCAGACCTGGATCTCCAACAACAAGGATGTGTGGGTCTCCTCGAATTGGAATTCTGTTTTTGTCATCGGCGTATTTCTGGCTACCTCCAAAGAGCGCTAATGCCAAACCTGCTTTAACAAGCTCAAGTGTGAAAGGAGTGGGGGGAAAAGAACAAAGAAAAATATAAAGATGACTAGCAAAAGGGGCATAGTACTTTTGCTTGTGTGTTTTACAACACTGACTTGTTTGGGGATATAAGGCTTACACCTCACTGAAATTTTAATTTTTTATAACAAAATTATAGAAACATAAATCTTTGTAACATATCATTAAAAAGTCCGGCATGGTGCTACATGCCTATATTTGGGAGGCTGAGATCCATTAGCTGAGGCCAGCCTGAGCCACAAAGTGAGAATAAGGGCAGCCTGAACTATACAGCAACCAAAAAAAAAATTAGTGATGCAGAAGGTACACTGCAGCCCTTTGCAAGATAAAGCTCCCTTTGTAGGAATGAGCTCCTCTTCATGCTACCGAACATCCAAAGTTAGAGCAGGGATTGGCCAATGCTTCTTGATTTTGGGAAATGGACTTGCTGCTTGCAGAATAGGCCTTAGTAATTTCTAAGATTCCTCCATGATAGTACATGCTTTTGAGCTTTTGTTACTTGTTTTTTTTTTTTTGTTTTTTTTTTGAGACAAGCACTTGTATCTATTTCAGACTGTCCTTGCACTCACTATGTAGCCCAGGCTGGACTCAAATTCACAGCACTCCTCCTCAGCTTCTTGTGTGCTGAGGTTACAGGCGTATACTACCATGCCCAGCAGCCTCCTAAACTTATGCAGAATAAGGATTCCTATTAAAATATTAATAACTGGCTAACAGACATTAGCTATTTTTATTAACTATTATCTTTGAAGACTTCATACGTTTTTGAGTGAAAATGAAATACTTACTTCATGACCAAAAATCACAGGGCAAAGCGAGCTGGAAAAGAGAATACAACTCATAAATTCCTACATATACTTCATTGATCCATTAGGAAATTACAACTTGTTTTGTTTCTTTTTTTTTTTTTTTTTTTTTTTTTGTCTTTTTCCTTTTTATCGGTACCGGGGAACGAACTCACGACTGCCTGCTTTCAAAGCAGGTACTTATACCACTGAGCTAAATCCCCAGCCCTACAACTTGTTTTATTGAGCAATACAGACATATAGAAAAATTTTTATCCCCTCAAGAAATTTTATTTGTATACTAAATTCTTAAACACTGTGTCTGTGAAGGAAGATGGGATTCTTGCAAAACGTTTAAAGTCACCAAATACACCTCTAATATGCACCACAGCTGGGCAAATGGAGGCCCTTACAAGAACAAATACTGAAGCTAATTTTATACAAGACAGTGATCCAGAGTCCTCAGATCAATTACGCCCTGGATTGCAGTGGTGATGTTTACTAGGGCACCACACACTGCCTGCCGTCCATCCTCTGTATCTTCCCACTTACTCTACTGCTAGTTCTGGGCTCACCTCTCAACCAAGCAATCCTAACCAAATCACCTCCCACACAAAGGATCTTAACCAAACCAATTCAAAGGAGAGCTGGGGCTATAGCTCAGTGACATAAGCACCCGCCTGGCAGTGCCAAGGTCTTGAGTTTGATTCCTAGTACCAGGAAAAAAAAATCAGTTTAAAGGAATCTCAGCAACATACAACTTTCCACCATCATTTCCATTTCCCACTCAGAGTCTTCCATATTATCTAGCTTGAGTCAAAATTTTTCTACCTCCGTTCCTCCCTACCTTCATTCATTCACTCATTCATTCATTCATTTATTTGAGACAGGGTCAATCTATGCAGTTCAGGCTGACTCTGAACTGTGTACCCCAGGCTGGCCTCAAACTCGTGGCAATCCTCCTGCCCAAGCCTCCTGAGTGCTGGAACTATAGGGGTGTACCACCACACCCAGTCTTTCCCTCCTTTTTATTGTGAAGCTATTTTTTGATGGGGAATTGAACCTAGGGGCTTCACACTGTGCTAGATCCCCAGCCCTTTTCTTATTTTTATTTTGAGACAAGGTCTAAATTACTAAATTGTGCAAGCTGGGCTTCAATTTGCAAGTCTTCCTGCTTCGGCCTCCTAGAATACTGGGATTATGGTTGTGGACCACCATGCCTGGCTAACAAAAGTTTTCTTAAAGAACCAGGAAGTATTTTTAGCTTTGTAGCCTATACTGTCTTAGTTGCATGTATTCAACTTATAGTGTGAAATCCACTGAAAATACATAAATAAACTAAATGGGGCTGTGCTCTAAAACTTTATCTACAAAAGAGGCAGTTGATCTCATTTGCCAGTCTGCTAGATTAATAAATGGAAGGCCATGAGAAATGCCTTGATGTCTTGAGTTTTGATGCTAAAATTGTCAGGTAGGACTCAGACATGACACTCCCAATGCCCAACTCATCTGCCAACCTCATTCTCAGGCCTTGTTCTCAGCTCAGCATCAGGACTGCCCTAGACAAACACAGGATGTCATAACAGAGATAAAAAAGAGCACAGAATGTTCCAAGTGCTGGGACATCTGAAGACACCCAGACACTTAACTGAGTACCTCAAGGATTTTGGCCACTGAGGTGCAAGACTGCCAGAAAACTTTGACCACAGACATTATTACAATCTTCCGGCCTAATCCCTTGTCTTCTTTCAAGTCCTATAAAAAAGGCTCACTTTTCTTTGTTCTCTACAGATAGCCTTTTGCCCTTTGTCTGCCTGCACTCAGGCATAATAAATGTCACACCATGTTGCCTTTACAGGAGCCTGGTGGTCAGCTGGTTTCTGACTCACACCATTCCTTACAGAAATTACAAAGGGGAAAAAAAGACCAAGTATGCAAAGAAAACCCACATTTTTCATGCTAATCTTCTATAAACATGGCAGAAGAAGGACCACTGAAAATGTTGTTTCAGTTCATAACCGGTAAGAAGCCCCAGTCACAGAGGTGTCTGCGCCCTCAGCCAGGCTATAGACCTGCACCCAAGCCTCACGTACCACATCAGCCTGGCACTAGGTCACAGCGCTCTGCCTTTCCCCAGTGGGGCTGGATGGTGGTCTAAGGACAAAGAGCCCCTCCCAAAGTCAGAAAGTACATCAATTGTCCTAGAATCTAGAGCCTGACATGGTTAATTTTCCTGAAAAACACATTTCAAAATCTTCTCAGTTCTTTACCTCTCTTAGGTTCATCTATTAAATTTTGAGTTTCCCTTCTCCAAAACTATTCAAGACTGTCAAAAATATCAAAATATACTAGCATGCTGTGTTAATTACGGTAAGTATATTACAAAATCTCACAGGGCTGGGGATTTAGCTCAGCAGCACAGCACCTGCCTGGCAAGTGTGTGGTCATGAGTTTAATTCCTGACACCAAAAAAAGAAAAGAAAAAAAAAACCGGGGGCTGGGGATTTAGCTCAGCGGCATAAGCACCTGCCTTGCAAGCAGGCAGTCGTGAGTTCGATCCCTGGTACCGATAAAAAAGAAAAAAAAAAAAAAAGACCAAATCCCACTTATTCTTCAGACCAACTGAGTTAGGCTGAATAATAAACTTCTTGTTTATTATTTATGGGCACTGATACCTGAATTTATTACTTCGTGTGTCATGGAATACTCTTAATTTTTTCCAACCATTAAAAATATACAAACCATTCCTAGTCCGCAGACCTTACCAGAGTGAGTGGAGAGCTGACCTGGGCGAGAGTGTCTAGCTGGATGATCATTTTGACTACATTTTGTTACCTAAAGCCAAGAGCACCTGACATGCACATGGGCAGTACAATCACAGAACTTCGTACATACTTGACGATGAGTTTAAACAGGTTTTCTTCAGCTTGAATCTCCTGGATGGCATAGAAGTCCTTAAGTGAGAACTCCATCAATGTCCCATGCTTACAGCCATCCTCAGAAGTCTCTGTCTTTTGACCTTTGCTATTGCTAACAGAATTTGCTTCAATGTACAAAAGGAACATGCACTTGTCATTCTTATTTCGAGATCCTATAAATTCAAAGTATTAAATATAATATTAGTATTATTTTCCTTGCAATAACTCAACTAGTATATTAAAAAGTCATACTGAGCTATAAATAAACCTTTCAAGTTTCATCTTATGAAAGCAACAAGGAAATCCCTACATAATTTGAGATTCAGAAGTAGCTTATAAAGAGAAAAGATTGCTGACAAATCATTATTGAGAGACAATCGTAATCAGGAAAAAGATGTCCGTACCTTCTTCGGCATTTGAGACTTTGACAATCCCAGTAATGGTCACGGTGTCTCCTGGGACACAGCTGTCCACAAGGTCATGAACAAGCTCACATTCTATTGTTCGTGGAATCCGACCTGCTTCTCGATGAGTATCAGACATCAGTTCCTGGATTCTAAACGTTCAACACCTCTTGGTTAGAACACACACATACTCGAAGTTGCTTCTTCAAAACATTGACTGTCCAGGGCCTTGTGGCACTGAGCAGGCCAGATTTGCTTTAAAAGAGTTTTAAAATTTAAAAATGGTGAATCTACACTGACTTTAGGGTAGCAGATGAATGGAGGGTTTGCCTTGCCTCCCTCCACAGGTCCACAAAATGAACTCTGCAAGGATAAGGAGAAGTTCTGGGGACACCAAGAAGTTCTCAGCAAAGCCAATACCACAGTGGTTACTTTTCTGACAACAGTGATGGATGAAAGAAAACGAAGCCCACAACACACGCAAGCAAAAACTACCAGAGCAAAGAGAAGTGGGAGCCTGTGTTCTCAGCACAGCCCTGGAGAAGCTCCTTTGTTGGAGGGAGATGTGGAAAGGAATCAGAGTAATCAGCAGGAGACAACTGGCTCAGTTTTCTTGGAAGGTGGGTGGACTGCCATGGAGGGACATCCTGAGTGGAGGGACAGAATGAGGGCTCCACCACCTGGAAACCTAGAGCAATGCTCACAGGAATGCACACAATTCACCTATAAGGGCAGGGAAGGTGTCCAGTGACGCCATCAGAGCTCCAGCAAAAAGCCCCTTATTCTGCCATCTGAGAATCTCAAACCAAAAAAAAAAAAAAAAAAAAAAAAAAAAAAAAAATTCATAAAGCACAGTGGTGTACACCCATAATCCCAGCATTCAGGAGGCAAGAGGATCAGTGCAAAATGAAGGCCAGCCTGAAATATATAACACGAGCTTACCTCAAAAAGCAAAAACAAACTACATACTACACATTCATATTAGTTAAGACTCCTATTAGTCAGGGCCTCATGACAAAAAAAAAAAATGCCTGTCTATAAAAGAGCAAATGATTGCTGGGTACGGTGATGCCCACCTGTAATCCCAGCACTCAGGAGGCTAAGGCAGGGGGATCACCACAAATCTGAGGTCAGCCTGTGTCAGTATGAACTATGTAGAGATCCTATCTATCTTAAAAGAAAAAAAAAAGGGACTGGGGATTTAGTTCAGCAACATAAGCACCTGGCTGGCAAGTGCTATGTTGTGGGTTTGATCCCTGGTACCAGAAAAAAGAAAAAAGGAAGAAAGAAAGAAACCAGTCCTACCTACCCCAAGTAATTTTTCATTAGATATTTGAGAATAAAATGGTAAAACTTAGCAGAACATTAAAAAACAAACAAACACACACTCTGATAAATAGTTTGAGAAAATGTTGCTACCTAAAAAACAAAAATTAGGTGCACCAAGAAAGAGACTATGACTCTGGGTGAATGTTTTGGGTATGACAATGTGCCATGTTTATACCATTGTTACCCCTGATTGACGGGCTTTGAAATTATGTTGTAGTTCTTCTTCTTCTTCTTTCTGTGTTTGAGTAAAACGGATTTGAAAAAGAAAAAGACGGGGGCCGAGGATTTTGCTCAGCAGTGTAAAGTGCCTGCTTGGCAAACGAGGTTGTGAGTTCCATCCCCAGCACACACACACACACACACACACACACACACACACACACACAAAGACTATGGGAAAACAACTGTGAGATCAGAAAAACTGAAAATATGTATATAAAAATCAAACATTTATAAAACAGATATAAGAAAATCCCAAGAAACTTAGAAAACAGCACAAAGAAAATGAAAAGGTGAGTGAAAGTTTAGACAAGTGAACAAGCCAAATGATGCAGCTGGTGGGAAGCCCACATAGGGAAGTCAGGTATGTACAGTGGGCGACAACTGAAGGACAAAGGTCTGTCTGCATCAGAGATAAAGACAAACCAGACAGGCCCTCCTGGCTGATTCAGAACATCATAGATACAGAGACCATGAAGAGGGCCAGACCAGCATCACACGCCTCATGACAGCAAGGAAAACATCAACAAAACAGACTCGGGCAACCACGCAAGCTCTTATCCAGGCTAAGATCCAAATAAAGGCATTACAGGCATGCAAGGACCCAGAATGTTTCACCTCCTACCTACGTAAACTTTCTGAAAATTTCTTGAGAATTTCTCTAAAAAAATAAAATTATACATGACAACAATAAAAAAAATGGGGGCTTGATTCTAGCAGTATGACAAAGAATATCCCAGAAAAAATGCAGACCAGAGGACAACTACCTGATCGGGGCGTGGTGGCTCATACCTGTAATCCCAATACTCAGGAGGGTGAAGCAGGATGCTGAGTTCAAGGCCAGTCTGGGCTACAGAGTGAGTTTAAGAGCAGCCAAAATACATAGTGAGACCCTGTCTCAAATAAAAAACAAACAAAAAAGCAAGCCCTCCCTGCGAGCCAGTGCCATACTTGGGCCACCACTGCCTGGGGGACAACCAGACCCCAGTCCTTTCTGGCATGTGGGCTGGGAAACAAGAACCCCTCTCTCCCAAGCAACCTGCTGATCCAGAAAAACGCAGGCTGTGATGATAGCTATTGAGGTGAGATGCAATTTGACACTTGTGGTGTTTGGTGTTTCACTGACTTTGCAGGTCTAGGGCCAGGGGTCTGATCATCTACTCAGAGGATCATGGTACACTGTGGCATCTCTGGGGGATCTCCTTCTGAAGGTGGTGGCCATGATTAACTCTCTATTATCTTGCTTTGAAGTTCTGTATCATTTTCATTGGTTTGTTGGGTTGGGTATTATTTTGTTTGATTTTGTATGTTCGATGGCATGAGCAGCTATTTCATAGATGGACAGCTATATGATGGTAGCCATTTTACATTTACTATTGTCTTGTTTTGAAGTCCTTTATTGCAGTCGTTGCTTTGTTTTTATCGGTTCTACTCTGTTATGTTTGATTTCTACTATGTCTGAAGGTATCTACAGACAAGAGGCATTATAGTAACCATTTTTTATTTCATATTGAAGTCCTGTGTCACTTACACTGGTTTGTTTTGATTGGCTTTGTTCTGCTTTATTTTGCTTGTTTTTATTCTCTTTACAATAAAACAAACAACAAAAAAGATAAAGCTAGGGGCTGGGGATTTAGCTCAGGGGTGAAAGTGCCTACCTGGCAAGTGCAAGGTCACAAGTTCGATCCCCAGTACCAAAAAAATAAAATAAAGCCAGGACCAGAATGTGCAGCAGATGACTCTGTGGGACCTGCTTTATCCCAGAATACATTATAAACAAATCTTTGTTCACTTAAAAATATTTTCGTATCTCACCACTTTATAATGATTACACAATAAGCACTTTACCATCGTCCTTTTAATTTTTTTCAGATGTTTACACATTTCTAGTGATTTATCGACACTGTGAAAACAATCTATCAGTAAACAATTTCTACACATCCTGGCTCTTCTAAGTAGATGAACTTTTAAGAACAGGGTCTGCAGCAACTCAAGGCTTTGACACACACTACGAGGCCACCCCCTTGATGCACAAATGTGCTCAATGCATTAATTGAGAAACAATAATTTATTCCTGTGGGGCCATCCCAACCCAAGCCTCAGAAAAGAACAGAGCTATATATGACAGAAAGGAAACTTTTCTTCTAAGGCAAAAAGTCACTATCTATAGAATAAAATGATAACATAAGCTAATACTGTCTTTTTTTGGTTTTTTTGAGGCAAGGTCTCATTATGTAGTTTTGGCTGCCCCTGAACTCACTATGTAGCCCAGGCTGACCCTGAACTTGAGACAATGCCTCAGCCTCACAAGGGCTGGGATTACAGGCATGCACCAATGCACCTGGCTGTCTGGACAAGTTTTACTATACCTCATTTTAAAATTAATTTGTGTAAAACTATTACTCTTAAAGACTCAAGAAAAGGGTTATTAAAAGTTAGTTATGTTTTTTATAATACTGGGAGGTGCTCTACTACTGAGCTATATACTAACCCTTCTTTAAATTTTGAGATAAGGTGTTCCAAAGTTGCCCAGGCTGACCTCAAATTTGTGATACTCTCTTTTTTTAAGCCTTTTTTTTTTTTTTTTTGGTCTTTTCCTTTTTATTGGTACCGGGGATCGAACTCATGACTGCCTGCTCACAAGGCGGGCGCTTATGCCGCTGAGCTAAATCCCGAGCCCCAAATTTGTGATACTCTTGCCTTCCAGAGTATCTGGAATTATATATATGCACCACCATGCCTAACTTTAAAAAAAGGATTTAAATAGTCTGTTTTCAACTGTCTACCACTGTGTTTGATTTCCTACTATCAAGAGGTCATTCAAATCTGGTTAAAATAGTTAAATCTATTTTCTCATTTGCTATTTTAACTTGAAATCAAAGAAGTTTTGTCTATATAGTTAAGTCACCCTTGGTCCTGTCTACATTTGCCATTCTGTGAATTTTATAGAACCTCTCATACTCTCATCCCTTTTCAGTGGTAAAAGAACCACAGACCTGGCTAGAAATCAGTCTCTACTACCCAGAGGGCACACAATCAAACTCAGGAGTCTTACACAGACACTTACTGTACATGTTGGTCTTATCGGGAAGGGGGTAGATCAGGGACAGGGCTTAGTACCAAAACTGCTTCATCTTTTCCCTGGGTTCTTGGTGTTTTAGGGACCCAAGGAGCACTCTGATTTAAAAAAAAAAAAAAAAAAAAAAAAAAAAAACTAACCCTTATTTTATATTTGTGGCCCTGTTGTTGAGTTGTGGCCCTGTGCCTAGGCTAAAAAAGGAATAATTTACTAGGTAAAAAATATAGAGAAAACTACCTGACTTGCAAAAAGAAACTAAAGCTACCATATAATACAGTCAAATTACAGATTTACATGGCAGCAAAAATCAAAAGTGTAACTTAAAAAAAAGTCTATAGCAAATGGTATGAAATGCCTAGAGGACAATGAGAGCAGGAAAGGAAATGGCCCATTCCCAAGTGTGTCTTCGTCCGGAAGCCTCAGCTCCTCTGTGACGCTCAGGATGGAATGAATTCCGTGGCTTCATTTAGGGTCTATATCCACTCTGATGAATGGATAACTAAGGCTTAAAATGAAACATTTCTCAAGAGCCATGTGACAAACTCTTTGCATTCTTTCCAAAATCTGGTAGATCAATCTTTCAGATCAAGATTGCTATTTCAACACACTAACTTCCCTTCGATACACCTCCTAAACGCCTCAACACTGCTCCCAGTATAAAGGTTCAGCCTGACTTGGCACCAGGACAGATCCTAAACCCTGCCTTTTATTTAAGTCTGTGGCTTACTTGATTGACTGCCAGTCCATGGTCACCGTGAGGGGCGAGCTGAGGAGAGGAGTGAAGGACTTTCCACGACAGGCGGGCACAGGACACTGCAAGGAGAGAAATGCAGTGTCAACCACATCTCAGGAAGACTCAAGTGACAGCATTTTATTCAAATAAACCAGGTAGGAGCTGTGATGCCTTTCCATTTACTCCTGAGACAACTTGATGTCGTTGGCTTCCAAAGCGCTTTCCCAGCTGGCTCCTCACACCCTGCTCTGAACTCCAAGCTCCTGGCTGCCTCTCCACCATGCACTCTGTGCCCAGCAGTCTGCTCCCCGTGGGTTCCCTGAAGCCCCTCTCCAGTCACACACCCAGCCCACCTTCTCTTTGAAAGCCTTTCCTAGGGCTTAAATCCCCCGCTCTCACCTGGCTTCCTTTGGCAGGCATACTGTTTGTATGTTACATTTGCTGTTCTACACAGCAGTCCTCGACATACCAGCTAGGCATCACAGCTCCTAATGAGTTTACTTGAATAAAATGCTGTCATGTGAGTCTTCCTGAGATGTGACTTTCCTCAATCACTTCTTTGGCATTTAGACCTTAAGATGCATTTATAAACTCGGGCACTATGGCAGACTATGTTTTCCAAACAAGACTGAAACATTGCTCTTCAAACCTTTGTAGAACTTTCGGCTCCTCTGTTAAGTGTCTAACTCCTTTTCCTAGCATCTGGCAAGGTTTGTGACTCTATCACGTAGTCATCAGAATGTAATTGCAGCCATGCTGCCTGACTTTCTCAAGTCCAGCTTGTAAGAGGCAAAGCCTGTCCACTGCACCTCCTCGCCTTGTCGCTATCAGCAGCCACAGGAGCAGACTGAGTGCCCCAAGCTGCTATACTGTTCTGAAAAGCCAAAGCCAAGCCATCTGAGGGGCCAATAAAGAAGACGGAGGTGCCTGGTCAGCCCTGGCCACCTGGCTGTACCAGCTCTCCCCACCATCTCTAACTACAGCTCTGCAGATATCTGCAGCAGATCTACCTTATGAGTAGTTCTGCTACCCTGTGACTTGTTCTGCAGCAATTGTGACTAGCACAGCTAGTTACTTGGAACAGCCACCTTTCTGGTTCTGTAACTCACACCCACATAGGATCTCCATATCAGCATGCATCTCCTGAGTTACAGTCACTCTCCACTTTAGTAGACGGTAACACCATAAGGTGAACAAAGCTTTCCACAGAAAATACACTGTTTAAAGTTATACTTTAAGCTGAGACAAATATTGATGGTACCTATTTATCAATACCATTGATTATTTAGAACCAATTGCTCAATCTAACACACCTTGTTCTTCCTGTGAAAGAAGCCCTGAGAATTTCAAACATAAACATCATGTGTTTCCATTTTCAAATTCTTTATTTACTTCACTAAAGACTCAACTCCTTACAAGAGTGAAAATTTAACAAACATTGTAGTTTATTAACATACAAGCATTGCAATGCCAAAGTTTAGAAAAGAATAGTCAGGCAAATTCTCTTATCAAAAGGTTTTAATGAGATGAATGTAAACAAGATGTCATGGAGCAGTACAGCAATGAAATGACCAGACTCACAGGAAAGAGCACTGTGGACCAGAGAGGAGGCTCCCACCCCTCAGGCAGTGATAAGCAGACCACGGCAAGACAACAAATGGCTATTCGCCTCAAAACGAGACCTTTAATTTTATGTCATTCACAAAATTAAATGCCAGATGGATGAAAGATCTAACTACTAGAAACTATGAAGAAGTGGGGTGTGGTGTCACACACATGTAACTTTAGCACTTGGGGGGCTGAGGCAGGAGGGCTGCAGTGAGTTCAAGGCCAACCTGGGCTAGCTAGTGAGTTGAAGGAGCTCAAGGCCAGCTTCAACCACATAGCAAGACCCTGTCTCAAAAACACAAAAATAAATAAATGATTAAAAAAGTAAAAGTGAAAATTTTTTTTAAAACAGAAAAGGCTGATTTAGCTCAGCAGCATAACTGCCTGCCTGGCAAGTGAGAGGTTGTGAGTACAATACCCAGTATCAAAAAAAAAAAAAAGAAAACGGAAGAAACATGGCAAATGCTTACAATGCCCAGGTAAAGAAGAGCTTCTTACGTAGGCAATAAAATTTAAGTTCGGAGCACAAGACCAATTTGACCATGTCAGAATATAAAGCTGTCGAACAAAAAAACACCACAAAGCTGAAAGACAAAACAAAGGCCAGGAGAAGGTATCTATAATAGATAAAACCAACACTGAGCTAGTACCTAGTGTATAAATAAAAACACTCCTGTCAAGAAACCAATAAACTAGAAGAAAATGAATAAAACTATACATAGAAAAGTCAGTAAGATACCAAAAGATGTTCAGCCACAGACACTCACAAAATAAACACCACGTACCCCTGTCAGACTGGCAAAATTAAAAAGTCTAAGAATACCAAGTGTTAATGAAAATATAAGGAAACAGCTGCTTATCACGCCAGTAAGGGTGTAAGTTAAGGCTGATAGTTTCTGTGAAGCAATATGACAACATCTAATACAGTCAACAGTAAGTCAAGTCTCTCAGTTAGAAATTCCGGTGCTAATGAGACATGACCAAGAATGCAGCATCATTTGTAACTGTAAAAAACTGCAAGCAACACAAATGCCTGCACAGATAAATAGTTGCCATTCACTTCATGGAATACTCTCACAAGTACAACTGTAACAGTGAAAGAACTAGCTGTGTATTACAGTAAGCAAAACTCCAATAAAGGGAAAAACAAGCTGCAGAATGGTGCATTCAGCATCTACTTATGGAAGCACAACACAAAACTAACCCTCCATACACCCACAGTCAAGAATAAAGGTGGAGACTTAGCACATGCTAACAGTGGCAAGCAGACTTGCCACTGAGGAGAGAACAAGGGGAATGGAATTGTGGAAGGAAACAGACAGACTCAACTGAAACACAATACTTTACATTTTTTGCTAAAAAATTATGCTAAAATAACAAAATGTAATATTTGCCAGTCAAATGGTGACTACACAGATGTTAGTTATATTCTCCTCTGAACTTTTTACCAGGGTAAAGAAGCAGTTAAAGGACACATCACCTTCGTGGGAAGACTGTATTTTCCATCTGGAAGAGAGATGCTCTGAACCTCTCCACAAGCAGCGCAGAGAAAAGCCATTTTGATGCAGAGAGGCTTTATGTTACTGACACGAACCACCGTCCCTCTCAGCGTGATATATTTTCCATAGTAATTCGCCCGAACATTCTTCAGGTGGGTCAAGGGCTCGTAGTTATACACCCTGCACATAAAACAGGAACATCCACACATCTACAGCTGGGACGTCTGTACTGAGGATGTCTGCATTTTCACAAGTTCCTTTCAGAAGGAACTACAAATTATCAAACCACACCATTCTGTTATATATCAGAAATCTCACAGGGAGTAAATTATTCTAAGAGATAAATAAATTAAAATATGAAACTAAATCTTGTGTACCAGGCACAGCGGTGCACACCTGTAATCCCAACATGCCTATAATTCTTCTTCGGAAGCTGAGGCAGGAAGATCACTGTGAATTTGAAGCCAATCTGGGCAACACAGTGGTGTAAGGCCAGTTTGAACCACATAGCACGATTCTATCGCAAACAAAACAAACTAAACCTTCCATTTATTTATTTAACTCCATAAACTGCTATCTAGGGAAAAAGAAAAAAAACGCCAAAGAAGAACTCTACAGATTTAATAACTCGTTTTCTAACTTATGTTTAAATATCTTTTCAAAAAAGAAAAACTCTGCTGAGCTATTTTATTTATCTCTATATATTTGAAATATTAAAATACTGTTTAGGTGAATTTTAAATTTTTCATTTATTCCCTTATACCTAGTAGAAATCTAACAATTTATCAAAATTAGTATACTACACGCATTATTATACAGTAAAAAATGGTGCTAAGTATACACTGAAAACCAATGTTTACAAACATTTTCAGTTGGGAAACCAACTTACTTGGGCAAAAAAATAATAACATTTCTTTGAATAATTTTTAGGGTATTCACTTTGGTATGATGATGATCAATGAAATTATCAAGAAATTAATATCATTTTTACTGGTTTCTATAAAACGAGGTACTTTCTTTCTGAGATACAGTCTTACTGTGTAGCCCAGGGTGGCCTTGAACTCATGGTGATCCTCCTGCCCCAGCCTCCCGAGCACTGGGTTTATAAGAACGCACCACCATGTCCACCCAGAGGCTCTCATTCTTTTCTTTTGAGACATAGTCTCACTATGTAGCTCAAGATGGCCTCAAATTTGCAGGTATCCTCTTGGTTCAGCCTCCCAAGTGCTGGGATTACAGGTGTGTACCACCGTGCCCTGCTTAGGTTCTTAAACAGCTGTTAATGCCCTATTCTAAATTATATTAGAAAGCTTTTTACCTTGCATAAATGTGTGGCACATTTACTATTGTTTCTCCGTCACTAGACAATTTTTCTTGGGCTTGCAATTCAGCAGCATGCCTTTCAAGATCCTTAGTTAATACCTAAAGAGAACAGATATTTACTCAAAGATGAAAAATATTCTCTTTAAGCAGAACTCTTGTACAGAATCTGAAGTTTAATTCAGAACAAAATAGAAAGTAAATAGGACTCTACTGTCCTTAAAGTCTGATAGTCAATTATAACCACTTATTTTACAGTGGATTGTTTTAACTTGGGATTTTGCTATCCTTGGACTGAAAATCCCAGCATCCCTGTCTGCCACATTTTGTCCCAAATGAGCTTAACATTAAAAGACCTTATATAACCTCAAAGCCATTACCTCCTGGATTCCATTAAAAAATATTTTTCTACTTCTTCATATTCACTTCATATTCACTTCAAGACAGAAAAAAATGATATTTAAAATTCCCCAAGCCAGTTTGCTATGCAGTTGACACTAAATATTTAATACCTGTGAACACTGATGGTTCAATAGTAGAATTCTCATCTCCCATGTGGGAAGCCTGGGTTCAATTCCTGGCCAATGCAGAGCTTTACCAACTAAATATTTAACACCTACTTGTGTTACAAAACGGTATACTGACAATCTCTGAGGCAAAATAAGATGCATATTTACTTGTGACAAGGGCCATAAAGATTTAAAGGCAGAACACCATGTGAGTTTGAAAAGAGGTCATAAGACAGGATTTACAGAGAGACAACTTGGCTGCATGAGGTGAAGGGAATTCTAGGTGCCTGGGCATCGTTTAGTTAGGCTGCTGCAGGGAACTCACTCCTGTTGGGTCAGTGCATGGGGAAGAGTGCAGAGATGAAGTTGCCTCGGGACATGGAAGGCCTCTCTCTGGTGTCACCAAAATGATGTGGGCTTCATGTAGTGAAATGAAATGACAAGTTTCATATTTAACAAAGGCAATAGTTCAGGAACAATAATAAATCCTCAGCCTAAGACAGAGGCAATTAAGGATGGAAACTAGGTGTATTTAAGGAATATTTCAGAAAGGAAAAAGAAAGGATGTGGTTAGGGGAGCTGGAGAGCTGGCTGGTGGGAAGACAACAGGCAGCTTCCTGGATTCCAACAGCGTATATCTGCTTTGCTGTCAGCTGTCCCTTGCACCTGTATGTCCTCCCCTCTCCTGCTGTGACCAAATTCTACCTACTCCTCCAGAAGTAATGTAAGCCCCATACCTTCCTTTGGGCTTTTCCCCTTCTTTCCCAACAGTTAAATCTTCCCTTTGCCTCTGAAGGCACACAACACTTTACCTGTGCCCGTCCTAAAATTTGCTACTCTTTATCTGGAAGCCTTACTATTTGCCAGTCTAAAGTATTAAGTTCACACATGCTGCATTATCTGACCATGAGAAAACTTCAAGCAGGCACACAACATACTGTTATTACTCTTTTGTGGGTGGGACACGCAGAGAAGTGATTTGTCTCATGCCACAGAACCTAGATCTGGTCTTTTCGTTGTACATTCCTAACTGACAATGCTAAGATATCTTGCCTTAGTTTTCCTGTGAGACAGGATTGCTCCTAAAGAATGAGGTTTAATTTCAGTTCTATCTGTGAAAGCTAAGTATCTTCTTAAAGAAAGTACTAGCTCTGTGAAATCTTGCTTTAAATGTGATGAAAGGCTGTACAAAGTAAATATTTACCTGATGTACTGCCAGCCCCATGCAGGCCAAGGTTTTCTCAGGGGCATCCCTCAGTTCATTTCCTATATCCGGTATCAAGTTAGTAATTTCATCATCTTTTGTTAGGTCTTTAAAATCCACCAGAATACTTCCTTTTCTTTCTATTTCATCCTGTAAAAATTAAAGAGAATTGTTTTTTGAGTCAATTATCACAGCTGAATGTTGGATTATACACTTTTGAAGACATATAATACATGGTGACAAGGGTGATCACTGCACAGGCCTTGTGCCAGGCATGGAGCTAACATTTTAAACATATTTATTTTTGCCTCTTAACAAAACTTTTACGCAGATATTTATACTGTTACTCACTTGAAAGTGAGAAACATGAAAACTAAGGCACGGAGAAGTAATGCAGGGCCGGGTATATAGCTCAACAACACAGAGGCTGCCTGGCAAGTGCGAGGTCCTGAGTTTCATTATCAGTACCAAAAAACAAAAAACTAATGCACCAAGTCTGCATTTGGCAGTGAGGGGCAGACTTGGGATCTGATCACAGTCCGACTCTGCACCTGATACAGTCACTAGCATCTCAAACATGCTGTTTAATAAGGTGACACATAAAGGTGCGTGGGTAGCTGTGTTGTAGGGAATCTTACCTTATCATATAAATCAATATGCCTTATGAAAAACTTTTCAAATGCTTGAATCTTCTCAATAAAAGGAGAGTTGTCACTGTAAACTAATCAAATAAACATGGCATTAACACTAATAATCACACAAGTACAAGCATGTGTTTCATGAGACAGAAAAACACTTTAAGTGTGAATTTTTTCCCCAATTGCTTTGTTATCTGATTACATTTAGATAAAAACTGGTGGGAATGCATACTTGAGCTTCTAAAACAAGTTTAGGGAAAGCCAGCATGGTAGCTATACTCAGGAGGCTGAGACAAGAAGATCACCATGAGAGCAAGCCCAGTTTGGACTGTGTAGTGAGTCCAGGTCAGCCTGGATTACATAGCAAGACCCTGTCTCAAAAAGAAAAAAATAAAAAGTAACTTTAAAAAAGTATAGGTCTGCATACTCTGAAAGGCAGCCAGGGAAAGATCTTCTCTCTTTTAGAGAGAAGGCCTGTTGTCTGGGAAACTTTGTATCGAGTCCTAGATGCTTAAAAGGACATTTTAGGTCAAAAGTAGATTAACATAATAAGCCTAAAACAAACATTATAATAATGCCAAAGTCAGACACTTAACTAAATTCTTATTCTGAAACATAGCTAAGACAATGACAATCTTTGTAAAGTAAGTTGCACCAATCCAAATTGTCACTTGTCAAATTCTTTCCCAAGATCTGGAGACGGACTAATGTTTGACACGGAACTCAAAACTGTAAAGCTATTTTTCTTAATATCTTAAATGTTCAATAATATTTCAAATTGGTCTCTCACAGGAAAACAGTACAATGAAATAGTTTAGAAGCACAAGTGGTCAAACCTAAGGTTTGAACTCCATTTTTAGGACCAGTCCAAAGATCATTTACAGTGTTCTGAGCTAACTGCTAGGAAACTAATACAACTGCTGGTGGCTGGGTAATAATTCCCTTAAGCAACAAAAGATCATCTATGACACACATTCATCTATTTAAGAGGGAAAAAAAAGAAGTACTATCATATGGACTTTCTTTTAATCACTGGATTTCACTTTTTACAAATACTCTTAGGACAATTCAAGAGACTAAGTTTTTATAGGAAGGAACATAAACATTATGTACTACAAACATGACAGAAAAAAGGAGAAGGATCAAGAAATGGGTAGAGGGGAGAAGGAGGGAAGGGAAAGGGGATGTAAAAAGGAATTAACAAGTATTATGTACATGTGGCAACTTTCTACAAGGAATAGAAACATTACATACTGCATACATGTACTAATAAACTAAACCAAATTAAATTAAAAAAAAACATAGTTTTGTGGAAAATAGTTCTTGTATACAGAGAACAATTATAAGCTCCATTTTTCTAAAAATGTGTAAAGCCATAGATAGCTGCATTTTTATTTACAAAAAACCATAAACAAACATGCATTTCTCCTTTGTTAGGGCAACTTAAATAGATGTGTGAACATAATAGCAGTGATGAGCCTAAACCACAGTCATAGGCAACCGCACCTAGCACAGACGAATGGGATAAACACTAGTACCAACAACCACAAATTTACATTAGTAAATCATTAATTTCCTTTGTAGGTCTTTCAGCAGCACGAGTATTTGCCACAAAAAGAACAGAGCATTTATGGAAAAACACTTTACAGACTGCACTGAACATTTTTGTATAGTACTTTATTCATTTACCAAAAAAAAAAAAAAAAAAAAAAAACTGAGTGGCTGGTACAAGGCAAGCACTATAGCCTACTGGGGAAAAGACACACATATGTATAGTTTTGTGGAAAATAGTTCATATATATGTAAGTTCTTATATATATAGTTTCTTAAATATAGTTCTATATATCTATAGTTACATACATACACAATATATATATATAAAATATATATACAAAATATATACATGTATACAAACACACACACACACACACATACACACACAGAGCTATGTATATATCATGCTACCCCCAGAGAGATTACCTCAATGTTCCCTTTCTACTCTTTTGTTCTTCTACCTACAGTTCTAACTCCTTGTATTGTATTGTTTTTTTGAAACATCTGGAGTGGCCTGTTTCCCAGACTGATACAAAATCTAAAAATAATGCTTTTTTATTTATAGCTGGGTGTGGTGATGCATGCCTGTTATCCCAGCACACAAGAGACTAAGGCAGGAGGATCCCTGCAAGTTTGAGACCAACCAGGGCTACAAAGTGAGCTCCAGACCAGCCTGAACTACATAACAAGACCATATCTCAAAAAACGAAAAAAAATGCTTTTGAACATAAGCATGATTAGGAGCCAGAAATCAAGCTCAGTGGCACAAGTGCCTACGTGACAGGCACAAGATCAGGAAAATGGAGAGAACATAAGCATGATTTAATTGTTTAGAAAAATGAAAAATAATGGGTATATTTCAGTAACTCAACTAAATTATAGTAATACAAGCTGTGGTATCCAAAGACAATTTAAGGAAATGTAATTTATGGTACTTTTTGCACTTTAAATTTTACCTTCAGAAAAATAGAGTTTCCAACCTCTATATGGTATGAATTGATCCAATGTTGACTGCAGAAGCGAAGGCTGTGGGGTTTGTTCTGAAAAAAAAAAAAAAAAAAAAATTTCGCTAGGTAAATGAAAACAAAGTAAACTCTGGAGAAGTATGTTTCTCCTTTCAAAAATGAGAACTTTACATGACATAAACAGTGTCTAAATCAGTCTTCAGTAAAAATTCTGGATGTTAATATTCAAATGCTTGATAAGGAATAGCATTAAATGAAAGACTCTCATCTGAGTTAAACTCTTGTCTCACAGGCATGAATTATTTCCTCCACCACAGAAAAAATTAATCAGTGACCTCACCTACCCGAGCTTTGTTTTCCAGTGGTTTTACTCAGATCAGATCTATGTTCCCTTTCTCTCCATTTTCCTGAGAAGTTCCCACCACCTCTTCCTCTTTTCCAGCTTTGAAATCTTCCTCGTCCAAATCCTCTGCCTCTGTACATTCCACTCATGTCGTCTAAGAGATCAGAAAAGGGTTCACAAAAACTAGATGGGATATAGTGTTCTTAAAGGTATATTTATATAGTAAAAAATTAAAATTTATGTATTTCATGTTTGAAAAGAATAGTCTTGAAAACTTGCATATGACGGAGGAAAATATTCTGCAATCACTCTTCTAATCCCCATCACTTTTTAAGGTACAGATATTTAAGTATGTACACTAAATGATCATGGAATAAAAACAGGTACTATATTGTACCAGTTACATGGAGACTCCATGATAGAAATAGAAATAAAACGAGTTAACAAGGTTAACTTGCTCGCACCATTTAATACTTATTAAAGGAAAGTACTGGCTGCATATAATCTTGACCTGTAAGATACTAAGGATACTTCAACACAGTTCCCTATATATCATTCTTACAGTATTTTATCTATTGTCTGTGTAATCTATGAACCTAAAACTGTTCTTTAAAAAGTCCACTTAGAGCCAGGCGTGGTGGCTCACGCCTGTAATCCCAGCACTCGGGAGACTGAGATAGGAGGATCATTGCGAGTTGGAGACCAGCCTGGGCTACAAAGTGAGCTCCAGGCCAGCCTGAACTGCATAGCGAGACTTTGTCTCAAAAAGACCAAAAAAAAAAAAAAAATTCCACTTAGAAAAATTCATATTTTACGAATACAAATAAATATACCCGTGCAATGTGGTGCAATTAATTCAAGAGAGTCCAAAGGATTTCGTTAGTAACTAACGCAGTTTTAAGGAACGACAGGACTTTTATCACCAACCAGACATTATACATTGAGAAACTAAAGCTCAAAGAAATTAAGCATAGCGAAGATCAGGGTTGGCTGATGACAGCAAAAAACTGTCTTCGGACTCGCAAACTGCAGCGCTCCTCCGACAGCACTACCTACCGCACCCTTCTCAAAGATGGTTAATTTGCTGGAAAAGTACCTATTCCAACACAAATGCAAGCTGTAAGGCTGCAGAGAAAGCCACGCGCTAATCCATCGGGCCTGATCCTCCCTCCCTCTTATGTGGGAAACGCAAGGGGACTACGAAGTCCTCAGCTCCTCAGGCGAACCCTGCCAGGTCTGGTTTTCTTCAGCCGCAGCTCTCCTGACGGCCCAGCGCAGAACCGGTCCCTCCCGCTGCAACAGCAGCAGAGGAACTTCAGTTTTCCCGCCACCGCCTAAGGATAGTGAGAGAAGCGTAGAGCGCCACAACAGCACCGCGAAATACGGTTCAGCCTCTCTATAAATTTTTCTTTTGGCGCGCCTATGACGCAACTTCCGTTTAAGAAAGTGACGGTAGGAGGGGCGGGGAGAAGTGTAGCCAATCAGTGAGTTCATACGGATAGACGCCAAAAGACTACCGGAAATGGTCCTGAGGGCCGAGCCGGAAAGCGGAAGCCCCGCGCAGCACGTGGGGGAGGCGCCGGTAGGAGACTCACAGGTACCCTCACCCGGTTCGGCGGTGGAGCTGGCTGCCGCGACTGTAGTCCTCTAGGAAGGAGGAGCAAGGCGCGGGAGACCAGAGAGACCCCAAGGAACCCGGAAACCGACCGAGTGCCATGGATGGTTCAGGAGAGCAGCCGAGCGCACAGCCCCCGCATCCTGCGGACCACCGCATTCGCGACGGCGACTTCGTGGTGCTGAAACGGGAAGATGTGTTCAAAGCAGTGCAGGTCCAGCGGAGAAAGTAAGTCAGGTTGCTAACCCTGGGGGTCTCCGGCTTCTGGATAACGCTCTCCAAGTCTTTCTGTAGGCCCCTCCTCCCTCCAGCAACCTTTTTGACTCTGGATCCCCATCTCTCGCCCTAGTTGCCTCCTCCTGAATCTTACTAACACCGAGGCCTTTCCCGCTGGCCTTTTTCACCTGGACCCACGCGACCTTTCCTGCCCCTGCTGTCTTCCCATAGAGTTCCCCTCCGTGATTTCATACTGGGATCTCTCCTTTTGGAACCCCTTCCAGTCTTGCCACAGCGTCCCCTCTGCAGCATTCCGTTCTTGGTCCTCTAGTGCCCGGATGCACCGTTTTCTGCCTCTCCCTATTCCCTGCGTGAGTTCTTTCCTTGGGTTCTTAGGATTTTCTCTGTTCTTGTAGATCGACTCCCTCAGTCTGGCATCTGCTTACCCCTGGGAGCTTCTTCCTAGCTTCTTCCTTTTCCCAAAGATCCTCCTGCCTCCCTAATTCCCCAGCTACGATCAGTCCTACAAAAAAAATCACTTTTCATCTATTCTGGCTTTGGGGCTGGCCTCTTCTCTCTACCCAAATTGGATTGCCTATCTACACAAAACATAAAACAACTCCTTATAGAGTGTGGAATCACCTTGAGGTTCCTTTGCTTCACATCAGGATATTCAAGAGCTGAGAAAATTGAACTGCTCAAGAGCAGTGTGCTCCAGGCAGGTCTCAGAACTCTTAGGTTTGGTTTGTACACTGCCAACTGATATCACAGTGTTTTAGTACTAACTAGAGGAGGAGGATTTTTGATAACTTAGTGGCAAGAATGGTGAGGTTGTTAAATCCTAGTAGCTTATTAATGGTAATAATACATTGGGATATTCAAGTTAACTTATCTGAGGATAGCTCAGTTTCCTTTTGATCTGCATTATGATTCTTTTTAGTTTTGTTGTGGTACTGTGGGCCTAACCCAGGGCCTCATATATGCTCTGCCCCTGAGGTACCTTCTCAGTGTTACTGTTAACAAAGAAGTCAGTTGAATGCAGTATCAGCACAGCTTTCTGTCAACCAAAAAAGTAGGCATCATGAGATTTGGAATTTATGATAAATGCTCATGTCAGTTGAATTATTTTACTATTGTTTGCGTCAACTGGTGGGTAGTATTTAAAGTGAAGCAGGTATCTTTAAATATTAGTAGGCCAAAAGGCACAAAGCATCAACCTGGTGATAACCAAGCTTTTTTGCACAGGCATCAATGGGGTAAAGAAAAATTATGGAGAAAGGGTGCTTCTTCAAGTACAGAAACAATATCTGCAGCAGCTTTTAAGCATTTTAAAATATCCATTCATGAAATTGAATTTTGGTAGTTAAATTTTATAACTGTCCCTCATCAGTACTTTATTTTTGTGCTCTTGAAACTAGTATGGTTTTCTCTTAGAATTAACTAGAAATTATACTTGTTTCTAAGAACATAACTTTTGAAGATGTCCAGTACTAATTATTTAGGCATTTTAGTTGAAGCATAACAGAGTTCTGCAAAGTTCTTGGATTGTAAGTACACGGTTTAGCATTACATATCTGTGTGATGACCATCCAAGTGAATTCTTTTTCATACTATTCTTGTAAGTTGTTTAATTTTCAAGTATGATTGTTTGAATGTGCTAAAGAATGTGCTTTTTTAGATGAGAGATACATTACTTCCAAAGATACAGTAAAATCTAGTGTCTTTTATACATCATTTGAAAATACTTCTCACCCACCCCTATTTTTGGCAGAGCCATATTGGTGATTTCTGTCTTACTTAAAAAATGGCCCACAGAACTCTGATGTGCTCAGGCCAGACTTGCTCATAACCTTCCCTCTGGGCCACACTCATCTAGCTGGGTAGAAGCACTGAGAGTGCTGCACCTCCTGCTCCTTTCCAGTGAAAAGGTGACTTCCATCTCTCTGATTGACATCTTTTGCTGCCTTTTCACATCAGGTAGATCAGTGTTCCTTTAGCTCGAAGGATGAGGGTGGGGTGTACATCATCTGGGTTGAGAGCTGAGCATAAGCTTCCAGGGCACTCTGATAGTTGTGTCACCAAATATTTTGAATGTCAGTAGTGATTAGTGGAAACCCAGCAAAGAGTAAGAATTGATCCTATCTTGATCCATTAGGGTCACAACACATCTCATTCACAGGGCTTCAGATGACATTTAATAAAGATGTTACACACATTGCAAAGGTGTAGCAGGATATAGAAATTAAACAAGAAAGGTGACATGCTCAGGACCTAGCAGGCATGGAAAATACTTGACAGGGGATCCTGAGTATGACAACATCACACTCTGTGAGCCTCCAGGAGCAAACAGAAAGGAAAAGGGAGGAGATAGGGCACAAATAGAGCTCATCGATGTGGCTTCTAGGGTAAGAATTCTGTGGGTAAGGGCTAGGTCTAGAAGCTGGCTGGTGCTTCCTAAAGTCCCATGGGCTTTGCTGGGGTAGTGTGTGTGATACAGTGGAAAGGACCAGACCCGGGGATCAGACAGGCCTGAATTTGAATTCCAGCTCCCAGCATCTGATAAGGGTGAATTTTAAAACTAAGTGCTTTTTTCTAGACTTTGGATTTTAACCTGTGTAAAGAGCTATGTTGCAGGATTACCATGAGAATTTCAAAAGTATAAAATACACCTGGCAAACACTGGCTAACCTATAGCTGGTGCTCAATAAAAGGCAAGGTTTTTGTAGGATTTCTCTTTCGCACTGCAGTAGGATACACAGCTGGATACAAGGAAAGAGCTAATAGAGCATTGTCAGTGCTAGGTTCCATTTCTAAATGTTTAGATTTAACAGTAGTGTTTATAATATAATCTGCTTGTATTCTATCATTTTTTAGTAAAATAGCCCATTAGACCAAGGCCAAGGAGTTTCGCAGATTGTTTTCATCTCCATGATGGCTCTGCTCTGAGCAGGCCAGTGTGAGCTGCAGAGGGTGTCACAATGCATGTACAGTAACTGACCTGTCTTGGCCTGTCTGCCCACTGTTCAGGAAAACTGCAGAGCCTGTGAGTTTTTTACCATGGAAGAGGAATGTCATCTGTTTTTGCTTTCTCTTTCCAAATTCTATGTTTTCTTGGCTTATTAATTTTATGTCACCATCCAAACCTGATTCTTTCTAGTTCATCTGTCATCTTGAATGAATTTAGAAGCAATGCTGTTGATCCATTGCAGAGACCACTTTTGAAATAAATTGGACTGAGCGTGGCTTTTGTATACTGAATGCAAAACAAATCACTTAATTCCTTGCTTTTTCTTCCCAGAAAAGTAACTTTTGAAAAACAATGGTTCTACCTGGACAATGCTATTGGCCATAGTTATGGAACCACATTTGAAGTGACCGGTGGAGGATGTCTTCAGCCCAAGAAGAAAAAGGAAGAGCCTACCTCAGGTGCACCACTTTGGATGTGTGAAATGGATGCACCTGCAATACCAGCTTCTACCCAGAAAGCTGAGGCAGGAAGATCCCATGTTCCAGGCCAGGCTGGGCAGCTTAATGAGAACAATCTCAGAATGGTAGGGAGGGACCTCAGAATACAGCTCACTGGTGGAATACTTGCCTAGCATGCATGAACCCTTGGGTCTATTCCCCATAAAGAAAGAGATATTGTCCATTACATGGGTAGAAGTGCATCAACTTGCAGTTATTTCCAGAGTGCCAGCCCAAGTTATGCCAAATAAGTCTAAAGTAATCGTCTAAAAACTGTAGTTTGATGGAATAGAGCAAGTCCTACCTTGGTGATGAAACCAGTTGCGTTCTGGCTGCTGCTTGTGACTGATGGTTCCGTGACCTTGAGGTGGATCTGTAATCTCACAAGTTCCTTCTGTAGACCCTGCAGTGCCCTGAAGTGAAACAGCTACAGGGTTGGGGCTGTTAAGAGGTTAAGAGTTCTGGCTCTGAATCCGACTGGCTAGGTTTGCATGGCTGCTCTGTAACCTTCCCTGAAACCGGGCAGATGATTGAACTCCGTAATTCTTACATACTCCTCCATGATGGGGTCTAAACGCATTTAATACCCAGGTTCTAACGTGACTCCTAGGTACTCAAAACGGTGCCCTGCCTTACAAAGGATTTCATCATGTTAGCCAGTGTTATTCACTAAAAGTAAATGCTTACGCTATTTAGTAAAATATTCTTAATAAAATGTCTTATTGATAAAATATTTAAAAGTAAAACAAATAATTAAGTGTTAAAAGTTCTAAGTCAGTCATGGTGGCACATGCCTGCCATCACAGTATGCAGAAAGCTGAGGCAGGAGGATCATTACAAGGTCAAGACCAGCCTGGGCTACAAAGTGAGCATGTTCACATTTTATTAAGTACCAGTTAGGTACCAGGCACAATTAGGTGCTATGAGTATAGCAGTTCACGTGGTAGTCTTGTGAAAGGTATCTACGGCAGAGAACAGTCAAAGTCCACCAGCCCACAATCAGCTGTGTCATTTGTGCGGATATGAAATAGAGTACACACTGGAGCCTGAGAGGGAACCTTAAGCCTTGGCTGAGGCATGACAGGAAGGAACCAGCCACTCACTGGAAGTTTATCCTGAGGGCCTTCCAGGAGGGGAGCAGCAAGTCCCTGAGTCCTGCCTGATTGGCGAAGAAGGGCAGCATAGCTGAAGCCTAGGGGTTAAGGCGAGGCCAAGCAGAGGTAGGCAGGGTCAGTTTTTGGTGATCTGGAGGGTCACCTGTTGCTGTGGAGAGCCCCTGTGCTGTGGGAAGCAGATGAGCCAATTTGTGTTCTTGAGAAAGCTTTCTGGCATCCATGTGGCTAGGGGGGTCCTTCCTAGGGGGTGAGAGTGAGCGGGAAGATGAGCAAGGACTGCGTGGCAGTGGCGGTGAGAGAAGCTGGTGGACGGCATTGGGGCAGTGCAACAGGAAGACCAAGCCCAAGTGACTGATGGGTGGATGGGGATGTGAGCTTTGGAAGAGAGGCTATAAAGTAATTGCAGATCCTAATGACATAGAGCATTTTCTTTCCTCAGAGACTAAAGAGGCTGGCACTGACAATCGAAATATAATTGATGATGGGAAATCTCAGAAACTCACTCAGGATGACATAAAAGCTTTGAAAGACAAGGGCATTAAAGGAGAGGTAATACTCAAAGGACTTTTTAATTTTGTTTTTGTTTGGTGTACAGGAAATTGGTTTTTAAAGCTGACTTTACCCAAGACAACAGGGGAAAATAATTATCATTAGAAATATTTATTCCATTCAGAATGTCAAGGTTTTGTTTCTTATATGCAGGCAAGTAAGCGAATGGCCTCACTAACATTATTAGTGGTAGAAAATTTAATAACAGTATGAATCAGTTGCTAACGTTATTTACTTCCAGCAGTGTATTCAGCCAGCATCATCAGGAATGAGTTTCTTCTATCTTTTCCTGTTGTTTGTCCTTTAATCATGGTGTAAAAGGCATTGTATACACCTTGTACTTTGTTACAGATTTCTGAATAGTTTAGAATACAGAGTTAATCTGTTCGGACTTCTGTGAAAGAGGGACTGGGAAATCAGACCTTTGTACATATTCTAAGGTAAAAACCCTTTGAAGTTCACAGTTCTGTGGCAGAGAAGTTTAAAAAAATCTGTCCTTTTCTTATAGGAAATAGTTCAGCAGTTAATTGAAAACAGTACAACATTCCGAGACAAGACAGAATTTGCTCAAGACAAATATATAAAAAAGAAGAAAAAGAAGTAAGTAGTTTTTTAAACAGTTGAAAATAATTCTTTTTCTTTATTTATGAACTGTGTATCACTAAAGATAAAATGTTTTAAACTTTCCAAATTCGTATTCTGTTTTTCATTCCCCTAGATATGAAGCCATTGTTTCTATTTTGAAGCCGTCCACTCGTATTCTTTCAATTATGTATTATGCAAGAGAACCTGGAAAAATTAAGTACGCTTTGTTTCCTTTCAAAAGTATAATTGGGGGAAATATGTCTTTAAGAAAGTCATGATATTAAGTAAAATGAAAAACTTGCTCACCTGCATAAAGTGTCCTCCTACCTCATAAATTGTAAGTCCTTTTATTGTCGCCTTCAAAGCAATCAATTATCAACGTAATTTTTATAAAACAAACAGAACTTGAAAAATAATGATTGAAGTTGCAGGCCTTTCCCTGCTAAAAGTGACTGAATGGTGCTTTTTTCTCAGCCACATGAGATACGATACACTTGCCCAGATGCTGACCTTGGGAAATATCCGTGCTGGCAATAAAATGATCGTCATGGAAACATGTTCAGGCTTGGTGCTGGGTGCAGTGATGGAACGAATGGGAGGTGAGCCTGAACGTTTTCAAGTTTGGTAAACCCTACCCTAATGTGAGGAGAGGGGTCCAAAACTCTAAGCTGATAGAAAACCGCACTCGGTGACTCAGGTTAATGAAGTGACTTGGGCTGACCCCTATGGCTCCGGTGCCCAGGCCCCCTGGGGGCTACATGTCCCAGCCTCGGCTGCATGGGGCCCATCATGGGATGGCTGGTGGAGACCTTCAGCACAAGAATTATAGAAAAACTTCTTTCAGTTAAAATAGCTGGTGCTTATTTAATTGGCCTGAATTGAGGCAGCTGAGTGGTTGGACAGTGGGGAATGTCTTCTTTCCAAGAAAAGCAGCTCACGCTGATTGGCCTGTCCTTTCTTAGAATCTGTGGAAGGTAAGCACTGATACTGACCCCATCTGAGGATTGTGATGGGAGAAGGAAGAGGGGCATCAATGTGACATCCAAATTTGCGTAGTCTGTGTTTTACAGTAGTGTCAAGTGGCGATGAGTTGCTTTAAGATTTCTGGAGGGACTGGGGATTTAGCTCAGTGGCACAGCACCTGCCTTGCAAGCATGAGGTCCTGAGTTCAGTTCCTGGTTCAAGGAAAAAAAAAGATTCCTGGTAGATCCCAGAAGAGCTGCACTGTTTTTGAGCCTCTACACAGTAGAAAAACCTGTTTCGTTATGTAGAGGACTCTGAGGGTTGCATGCCGCCGCTCTGTTAATGGTTTTCTTTTGTCTGCAGGTTTTGGCTCCATCATTCAGCTATACCCGGGAGATGGACCTGTTCGGGCAGCGACAGCATGTTTTGGGTTTCCCAAATCTTTCCTCAGTGGTCTATATGAATTCCCCCTTAGCAAAGTCGACAGCCTCCTGAACGGCACATTTTCTGCTGAGATACTATCTTCAGAGGCAAAAGACAGTGCTTGTGTCAGTGGAAGTAATGGCGTAGTCGAGGACAAGCAGGCTCCTGAGCAAGACGCTGAGGACCCCATGGCGGAGGCACCAGAGAGCAGTTCTTCAGGAGAACACGAAACTGTGGAAGTTGTTGCCCAAGATCCAGAGTATAAGGAGCCTAAAGAGAGAGGAAGCAGAAAAGATCATGTAAGGATGTCAGTGGCCGCTCTCTCTCCTTGCCCTTCTTGGGGCCTCAGTTGAGCTCACTGAGGTGAAGAGGCTGTGGAGCATCAGCTCCCAAGCACAGACCGAGCACAGCGGAACAGTGGAGGAGGGCGGGATCTGGGGTCACTCAGCGGAACAGTGGAGGAGGGCGGGATCCGGGGTCACACAGCATGGCTGCATTCTAGGAGGGAGCTCTAGGCGCACACACATCGCTTGGGCCCCTTACCCAGGTGTATACTATGAAGGTTTTCTTGTGTTTTCATCTTTCTCCTCCTTTCATTCTCTTGTTGCTTTCCTCTGAGTTGATCTTGTTGAAATGTTTTACTAGACCAGTTTACATAAACCAGACTGAATGACTTCAGTGCCCTGGTTTCTTGTTTTTCTTTTTGAAGATTCAGGAAAAGCAGAGGAGACAAGAAGAGCAGAGGAAAAGACAATTAGAGGCTGCTGCTCTCCTGAGTGAAAGAAATGCAGATGGGTGCGTTGCTGCAAGAATACAGGGTACTTCTTGGTGCTAATGGGGTTCACTTGAAATGGGTTCACGTTCTCTTGCTACTTGCCAGCTCTGATTCCAGTGGGAGTGGAGACGAGGATTCTGTCTTGGGTTTTTAGAGAAAGGAAGCTGAGCCAGGCATGGTGGCCCACACCTGCAATGGCTGAGGCAGGCGCCACAGGTTTGAGGCCAGTAGGGCTACACAGATGAAGGCATCCTGGATGACAGCAGGACGCCGTCTCAAAAAGAGAAGTGATAAAAACAACAAAACAAAAAAGACTGGATCCGGCGGAGGTAGGAAGTTGATAGTACTGAGAGTTTCACAGGAAATCAGAACACTTGCAGCACCAGTACATCCGGTGAGGCTGTGTGGTCCCTGCAGATGCTCAGGGTTGGCCGAGGCAGCCTCCAAACAGCTGTTGTACAGCTGATGGCAGCAGCTACTGACACCTGACAAGGAGAGGTAGATTCGAAGCCTGATGTGATGGCACACGTCTCTAATCCCAGCATTCAAGAGGCTGAAGCAGGAGATCCCTAGGAGCTCGAAGCCAGCCTAGGCTATAAAGTGAGTTCAGGGCAGGCCAACTGTATAGTGAAATCCTGCCTCAAAAAACATAAAAACAAATAAAAGAGGCAGATTGAGATGTGTGCAGAGCCAGCATTTACAGTGTTAGATTTGCTTACAGATGATATAGAAAATTAAGAAGTGCTACCCAGGGATTACCAAGTGCCATGAGACCTTGTAACTGAGTGTACATTTCCTATTCCATTTTGAATTTCTAGAATGTTACATTCAACTCTTTTTTGCATGAATCGTATAAATAAGTACACAATCATTTTTACATGGTATTTTTAAATACATGCTCCGTGTCGGGGGAGTGGAGAAATAATCTACCTGACCCTTTCTTTGCAGTTTAATTGTGGCCAGTCGTTTTCATCCCACTCCGCTGCTGCTGGCTTTATTGGAGTTCGTGGCCCCGTCCCGGCCATTTGTGGTTTACTGCCAGTATAAAGAGGTAAGACTGGAATGGGGACAGGAATCCTGGCATCTGAATTGGGGTCCTCAAACTACAGCCCAGGAAGTTTATCTTAATTAAACTCTGTTTTGCCTGCAGCCTTTGTTGGAATGCTACACAAAGCTGCGGGAGAGGGGAGGAGTCATCAACCTCAGGCTGTCTGAAACCTGGCTCCGGAATTACCAGGTACAAGTCCCGGAGCTGCTCTCTGGACTCGCATCCCTGTTCCTGGCCACATCAATAGCAAAACCTCCTCCCGTGATTTAGAGTACCTTTGACTTTTCCTGAGCCTCTGTGCTCTTACCTTGTCCAAGAAAGTAACTCGAGGTCACTGTTTAAAATGCGAACAGTTATAAGTCATATTTCCCCAAAGCCTAAGTGGCATCTCGGAGTAGTAACCAGCAGTAGCTATGGCAAGAAATACTCTCTCTGCTGGGCCATTTTCACAGCACGCAGTCGGGCGGGGTTGGCTAGTCTGGAAGACCTGTGAGAGGTGATAGGGCAGTGGCTCTGAAAGAGGAGGGGGGAGGCAGCAGGGTCAGGTGGAGTGGCCTGTGCCTAGGGCAGAGGACATGGAGGAAGAGCCTGCAGCACTCTTGAGAAAGTCTTAGAGGGGCCCAGGAGCAGTGATTTGCCAGGAGCAAATCCCCATATTGGGCAGAAATGGGCTGCTCTTGGTTCCTGTGCTCAGTCATGATGTGGAGCAGCCGTGTCCCTTTAGTAAGAATGCCACAGCCAGAAACCCCGCTGCCAGAGTGCCTCGAAGCCAGTTCCCTCAGAAAGCAGAATGAGAAGGGCACTTCAGGCTGCCACAGGCGGGGCCCATTGCTTGGCATCTTTCACACCATGCCAGGGCTGCTGTTGAGCCCTGAGTGACCCTGTCCTATGTGACACTGCTTTTACTCAGTTTAAATAATGGGAAAGGATTCCTGCCTGGGTTAATGGGTATCGGGGAAGGAGGTCCGGAGTGTGGCCACTTCCTCAGAGACCCAGGCTCCATCACTGACCGTGAAGCTTCCCAGGCCAACGGGAGAAAGAGCAGAGTGCAGACCCAGAGTGCGGCGCAGGCCATTCCATGGAAATCATCCACTGCCACAGGAACTTGCTTTCGTTTTGAGAGAAACAGGACATCAATTTATTTAAGAAGAAAAAACAAAACCAATTTCTGTGCTTTTCTCTGCACTGTCAGGTGAAGGAATGAGTGCTTCAAAATGTGTCCATGTAGATCTTTTGGAGAACCTTGTCCAGACCAGATTGACCATTAACACATGCTTTATCATCCTGGATAAACACAAGTGTCTTTTTCTGTCTCAATTAGGTGTTGCCAGATCGAAGTCACCCCAAACTGCTGATGAGTGGAGGCGGGGGCTACCTCCTGTCAGGATTCACCGTGGTCCTGGACACCCTTAGAGCAGACACCGGCCTCAGATGCAGTACAAGCACTTTAGAGTCACTCAAAACAGAGGAGCCGGTGGCCAAAAAACAGAAATGCACCGAGTCTGATTCTTAACCAGTTAGGGAATGCCTTGATTTGTGTTCTCAGGCATTCTGCAGTTGATAATGAAACCGTAAACGCATTGCTAGCGGTTTTTCAATATCTTGAGAGTAACAGCATGTCTGCGCTCCCCTGGCTGGGGCAGCAGAGTCAGCCTCTGTGCTCCTCTGCGTGGGGTCAGGGGCCAGACCCCAGCTCTGTGGTGCAGAATTCCTAACAAGATCCTGAGTGCGCCTAAATATTTTGAGATCTTTAACACACTGAATGTGTATTTATGTAAGATTATTTATATATGAACTAAGTGGATTAACAATATAACTAAAACTTGGTGAGCGCTGAAAGAATTTGTGGAAGAAATTTCCTCTGTTCATTCCAGTCTCTTCACCCAAAGCAATATGGATGTTCAGCTGTATGTGAGTGGCAGTGCTCATTCCCTGTGGGGAATAGGCTTTCCTTATAAGGAAATACGCTAAGATTTACTATTTTATAGTTGACAGCCTGGAAGGTTCCAAGTACTTACTGCTTTTGGGGAGTATATAGAAGGTTTAGTGTTCGTGGGTACTTTCTTTGCAGTTATTTGCCAATTCTTTTTTCTTTTTCTTTTTTTTTCTTCCAGTTTTGTAGAGACAGGGTTCTCCTATGTAGTTGAGGCTGGCCTTAAATGCACAGTGATCTTCCTGCCTCAGCCTCCCAAGTGCTGAGATTACCGGGGTGCATCACCATGTCTAGCAATTCCCTTACTCTTTGTTCCAAATAAAGTAGAATATTTGTGTAATATTTAATTAAAGGAAACATTTTTCCACTGTAGAGACTTAAAAGACACATACATTCATATTGGTGTATAGATGTTGATATGTACACTTACACATTTATATATACACACAGAGTGTGCTACCTACATGGATATATACAGACATGGAGAGAATATAATATTTATTTGAATTACAAAAGGCGTTTCGTGCAGGACTTGGACAGTTCTCACTGTATTGATGTTGCTCCTTGTCAAATATATTTAAAGTGCCTTTTTCTATTGACCATTAATACAGGTCTGCAGTACTGTGCGGCCATTGGATAGGTAGCCTCAAAATTTGACTGTCTATGGTGGCAGATAAAGGCTCAGAGTAGCCATAGCGCTCGTCTGTTTGCACACGTGTGTGACTCTGTAATCACACTTGTGTGCTGTTCACGTCAGGAGATGGAGATCATCCAGCCCAGAGCAGCTCTGAAAGATGAGGTTTCTTGTTCCCAATAACATGTGCTATCTAATACTGGTGTGATTACCAATAAGTACAATTGTGTTCTCCTGTTCTTAAAGAATAAAAGTGTTTCCTACCTTGGTCCATCTCACTCGCTGTTAATGATGCGGTGGCGGTATAGGGATGCCCTTCTGCCGCCTGGCACGATCTCTGTCATGGGGACTGCAGCCTCTGACATGGCACCGCCAGCACCCACACCCAGGCAGTCCAGCATGTCAGGCGCAAAACTCCACGCTCAGGTGACACACAGCCTTGCCTGATCTCCACTGGTTCTGTCAAATCCTACCTTTGACTCAGCCAGTTTCCATGTCCCGGAAGTCCTTTGCATGAGTTCCCACAGGAGGGACTGAGGTCCAGGCCAGAGGCCCCGCACAGCCGCAATGCTGCCCCCAGTGGCTTACGGCTCTCTTCACCAGCGCCTGTGGCAAAAAGTAGCATCTTTTTCTCACAAGGATGACTTAATTGGGCAGCTCGAAAAGAGTTGCAAATTTATCATTTGAAAATTTAGAATCCCCCATGGATTGTTAAACTAGTTGCCAAGCTTTTACCTAGTTTTTCATATTTAATGGGTGTGGGGTGGGACAGAGAATCCATTTTTAAAGTTTCTCAGTGATAGTGGCCTGGGAGCTACCCCTTGAAAGCCACTGCTGTTTCCCAAGTGGGTGTATAGCTAAATACAGGACCCCCACACACCAGTGCTGGAGATTGGGCCGATGGCCTTCACGCTGCCTTGCACCCCCGACCCTGTTTGTATTTTTTTACTCTCAGGGACTCACCAAGTCAGTGGGGCTGTGCTCAAACTTGGCAATCATTGACTCGGCCTCCCAGAGTGCTGGGACAACAGGAGTACCCCAACACACCCAGCTCCAGGTAGAATGTCTTTGTCTTGTATAAAATGCACATTCACTTTGGGTAATGGCTACGAGGAGAATTAGGTGAGATAGTACTTCAGTGGGTAATAGTCAAAAAGGAAAAAACAAAAGTCTCTTTGTAATACCTATTTCTCCCTGCACTAGAGCACTCGGCAGTGTATCCCATGGTGCCTATTAAGGGATGTGTTTAGCATAGAGGTACACTCAAACTCTGTGAAGCAATCTGGTAATTGGGTAATCATTTGATTGTAGAAAAGCTAAAAGTTCAGTCTCAATACGTGAAACGAGAGAAACCCGTTTTTCTGAAGATAAGCCAGCCTGCCTTCTTTCCTTTTTATTCCACTCTGGTGACAAGCCTAGTGGTTGGAGCCACCCACATCCAGGGTGGCCTTCTGTTCTCAATGAATCCCTTCCCTACACCAGAACTGTGCTGACCAGTTTCGCTGGGTGTTTCTCACTCAGGTTGACACAATCAGTTAATCACCACACTAATCAAATACTCAGGTGGGAAACAGTTTTTAGTTCTTTTCCATCCAATGTGAATAACAACTAGGAGGTTCAATGAGGTAAACTAAAGCCACTGTGTGACAGATTCAAGGAGCAAAAATAAGAACCGGGTTGATTTAAATCAGGCCAAATCTGGCCCACTGCCAGGTTTTCTTGAGAGGGGTGGCCTGCAAGTTAAAAATGGTTTTTACACTTTTAAGTAGACAGAAAAAGAATTTTTTAAATAATTGTACACATGTGAAAATTACATGAAATTCTAAACCAAGTTTCCATGGAGCAGTCACTGGTGTGTTTACATCCTGCTAGAACAGAACTGAAGAGTTGTGACAGAGACTGTAACCTCAAAGCCTATGGTGTTTCTGCAATCCTTTTGTTAGGGAACAATTATAATGTAAGAATGTGATAAAATAACAAACTTACAGGTATTCCATGACACAAATTAGTAATTACAGGTCTCTGACCAAGTTTCTGCTCCTGATTTCAATCAATCTCGACAGTGTCTATAGCTCTTCGGCACACCTCTGATGAGCACTGAGCCAGAGTAATTATCTATAGCTCAAGGAGCCTGCACTAGTCAAGGACACTCTTATGCTCATGCTGTTAGGCCTTCCTCCCCTCGTTCCCAGAATGTTTCTATGTTATGATATCAATTCCTCTCTTTCAACTAATCTGTTCAAGACCAGCCTGCCTTGTCAGTATGTGACTCAGTGCATGTAATCAACTGTGTACGGTTTTGTCACTTGCTGTTTACCACCTAGTTCTAAACACTATATAAACTAAGCTCTCTGTGTTGTTGCCTTTGGGGATGATACTGCAATAGTCCGCTGGCATAAAGATTTTTTACAGTCTGCTGGTGCAAAAATTAAATGCTGCCTTCTCATCTCTTTCGTGTGAAGAGTGTTCCTTTTGGTTTCATTTGAGAGTTTTCCTGCAACATTTCAAGAAGTTTCCTGATCCTCAATTTCAGTGATGAAGTAGCAGGAGAGTGGCTTCCTGGAGCAACCACAGCAGGGCTGGCTTGGGGCAGGCAGTGGTCACAGGAGAACACCCTTGAAGTAGCCTGTGGTGCAGGACAGTGTCCCCTTATTATAGACAGTTAGGTTTGAAATATTTTAGGCAGTCAGGCAGAGCTGGGTCTTCAAGAAATCAGTGCTGAAGACACCTGTGGCTGGAGGTGCATGCACTTAAGGAAACTACTCACCCATACACTTTCCCTAGGCGTGAACAGCACTGACTGATAGTATAAGCAGGCATCTGGCACTCGGGTGAGGACCAAACCTTAGCCCACCCCTTACCGGGAAATCCTTGTCCATCCCACATGTGCTTGCTACATGATTTGCTTCCCAGTTTGATTCCTGTTTAATCAGTTTTACCCAAGTGACTATATTTAATGTAACCTTACTGGTTCACCATAGTTTTGTGATTTCCCATTGGATCAATATTACCTAAGCAACTACACTTGTAATCTTATTGATTGGTTATAGTTTTGTTCCCCCTTAAACCTGCCTCACCTGGCTTAGCTCAATAAACTCCCTTGAGAAGTGGGGGTTCATGGGCCATCCACTTTCTCAGCCACCTTCTGTCCCTATCAGACAGAATCTTCCTTTCTCTCAATAAATTTTTTTCCTCTTAACCTCCATTGTTCCTAGAATGCATTCCTCGATTTTAGAGAACTTGACATTGTGGGCCTCTAGCAGGTCGAAAGTTTTTTTCCCACTGTCCCCCTCTCCTTCCTCGCTTTCCTCCATGGCTCTCCTCTGGCTCTGTCCTCACTGCCTTTGCTCTCATGGGTTCCTCTAACCTGACACCCTAAATTTTGGCCAAGGTGGGCACAGCCCTGCACCTCTTCCCTCTCCTGTGACTACCCCGGCTCTTTAGAGTGACAGAGCCTGGAGCTGATGGGGGAAAGGCCAGGCCGGGAGCACATGTCCAGTTTGCTGGTTGAAGAGATACACTGTGAGCTGCATGAGTCTGACCCAGGCCTTAGCACCCACGGAGTGGCTCTGCAGAGGGGAGCAGGGAGGACAGGGGACTTGGAGAGGAGACCACAAGGATGAGGGCCTAAGGAGTGGCGTGGAGAACATAGAACATTTAAGGTGGATGTGTGCACGTGCATGTGTGTGCATGCGCACAGAGCATGTGTCAGGCTCTGCATAGCTAAAACTCAGCTTCAGATGGGTTTTAACAGTCAGATGTGCAGATTCGTGATTGGCGCTTCACTCCCAGCTGCTGCCAAGCGCAGAGCAGCCCGCCCCCTGCAGAGGAGATCATGCCTTCCCTGCAAGGGTGATCCCTGTGCCACCCCAGCAAGTTCCCTTCAGCCCCACAGCCCCTGCCTTTCCCTTCTTGAGTCTGGAACCCCTGGCAGAGGCCCCCTTGCTCCCCGCGCCAGACACCCTTGCACCTTCCCGGTCTATTTCCTGAACTAGAACGGGCCAAACCCGGGGTCATCCCCTGCTGCTCCCTCAGGGTCCATCTGAGACCTCCAGAAGTGTCCAGAGTGGGACTGCCACCCCCACCACCAGGGCCTCCAGCCCTGCCCCAGCTACCGTGATGACAGGCAGGGCCAGTGCAGGGCCCTCCTTCCTGGCTCCTGTGTTTCTGCCCTTGCATCCTTTCCAGCATGCTGTCAGCCCAGTAGCCAGTATTCTTATACCAAAGGCAAATCAGGGCATCCTTCTGTTGAGAACATTACAAAACAAAAGTAAAAGTCCTCAGCAGGACCCAAAAGAGCTCAGTGATCCAGCTCCTGAAGCCTCGCTAACCCTCCTGTGACATCCCCGCCCCCAGCCTCTTTGCTCTTCCTCAAACCCACCAAGCATACCTGCCTCAAGGCCTTTGCACCTGCTCTTCCCTCTACCTGCAAAATTTTTCCCTGAGTTGTCCACACGGTTCAAGTCCCAGAGGTCTTTCATCAGCAGGCACATTCTCAGTGAGGCCCATTATCCATGAGTGTCTGCTTCCTAGATGGCACAGTTGTAATCATTGCCATGGGTCAAGTCTCTCAGTTACACTAGGTTCACAATGGCTTGCTGGGCATTTTCATTTTGCAATGACAGGATCCCTGTCTCCTGCCATCCCACCTCCTTCTTGATAAAAGAGACCATGACAATCAAAATGTTCAAGTAAAATACACATCTTCAGGGGGCTGCACCTGCAGAAGGATCTGGGGCCATCTGTGTCCCATTTCATGGGATCCCCAGGGCTGCCATAGCACACAACCCAAGGCGAGGCTGGGCCAAGACAGCCTCCCTACCTTTTCTCTTTTAGCCTCAAGTGACCAGATGTCCTGGGCTTGTGGCAGCATCACTACTGTCCCTATCTCCATTGTTGCATGGCATCTTTCTGTGTCCATCTTCACACAGCATGTGTGTGTGTGTGTGTGTGTGTGTGTGTGTGTGTGTGTGTACCAATTATCCTCTTCTCCAATCACACTAGGGATGGGCCCACCCTGATGACCTCATCTTGACTGCATTTGCAGAGACCCATTTCCAAGTGAGATCGCTGTCACAGGACCTTCAGGGTCCCCTTGGTGTTTTCACTGTGAAATAAAGTCACAAGCTGCTTACCCTGCACTCACTGCGCGCTGTGTGTGTGACAGTGGTCCAAAGGTCAAATGGAGCTGTTACAACACAGTGTGTGATGCTCCTGAGAACACTGCGCTGCCAATTGTCTAAAAATTGACACACAAAGTAAATGCCCCAGCACATGCAGGACATGATGTACAAGGCTGATGAATGTCTATTTACTGGTCTGTGTGTTGGCTGTATTACTTCAGATCACACTCCTGCAGCACAAACCCCCTGGCACAGCAGCACTGCGTGCCAAGCAAGGCCTGCAGCAGCCTCCAGCTCACACACTCTGTGTTGGCTGTGTCTCTTGATTGCATCATTTTCTCTTGTGCTGGACTTAATCTCACGTTGTTTCATTCATCACACAACACACAATAAATCCTACTCACACTGCAGCCTGGCTGTGCCATCTGGGTTTGAGTGGGTACATGGATGGCATTCGAGAGATGAAGTCACCTAAGGACACATTTCTCAGGACACGTCCCCACTGTTCAGGGAGACACGACTGCACTGGGCCGTGTGTGTGTGTGTGTGTGTGTGTGTGTGTGTGTGTGTGTGTACATGTGCGTTGTTAATCTGAGCGTATGTGTGTATGCCAGGGTGGCATTTGGTTCATGACAGTGATTTGCCCTCTCCTTTTCTGGGAGATAAACTCCTACTCATCTTAGGTCCCCCGAATCTTCTGTATTTAGGAGATGATTTTGATTTCCACTGAGCTGTGATCAGAGGAGGGCAGAGCCCTGCTACGCAGCATGTAAGCATCTCCTGGTGTTTGTGCCTGAATATAGTAAAGCCAGGGTCTGCTTCTCAGACAGCGAGGGCTGTGGCTGCGGCAGTCATCATAACACAAGTCTCAGCTTTGGGTGGTTTCTTGGGTTCAGGGCCTCCCAGAAGCAAACCTGAGCTGAGTTCATTACTTGGGAGGTGATCCCGGGACACACCAGTAATGTCCCCAGTAGCAGGGGCCGGGGAGGTAAGAGCAGCCAACAAAGGACACGTTAGCAAGTAGGTCACTGCCAAGGCACCTGGGCAGTGTGGGATGTGTGCCCCGAGTTACACTGCCTTGGGGAGGCAGTTGCTGGCCTGCTGGTTATGGGGTGAATTGTGCACCCAGAAAATGACCGTCGAATCCCCAGCCCCCAATACTGCAGAATGTGGCTGTGTTTGGCAATAGGGCTGCAGCAGTGTAAGTAGTTGAAAGGAAATCTGACTGCAGTCGGCCAAGCCCTTAATCCTAAAGGACGGTGTCCTTTTATCAAAAGTACACTCCACGAGGAGATGGAGACGCACCTCGAGAAGCGGCATCAAAGAGAACACAGATTTGAAGACACTGCCACCAGCCACCAACTGCCAGGGCTACCAGGGGCTGGAAGAGGCAGGAAAGAAAGGGCCCCACCTTGCCCCTGCCAGCATCTCGATTTCTGCCAGCAGAACTTCAAGGGAACACGTTTTGGTGGTCTGAAGACAGTTGTTGGGTACCTTGTCCTCTGGGGACAGCTCTGGGGAGCTAGGAGCAGTCATGTGCTATGCATCTTGTCTGTAAGGAGAGCTGCTCCCATAGCCACACTGGCCCCAGCACCCTCGGCAGCCTCTGCCAGCAGCTCATCCTCACCCCACAGCCAGGGAGGGAGATTGACAGAGACAGAAACGGAGACAGACAGACAGGGAGAGAGAGCGAGACAGAGACAGTGAGAGACAGAGACACACAGATAAAGAAAACACAGAGAAACAAGAGAGACACAAACACAGAGACAGAGGCAAAAAGAGAGAGAGAGAGACACGTTAGACAGGAAGTCAGAGACAGAGAGTCAGAGAGAGCTCAGCCATCTAGAAACATATGTCCAGGTTAGACGGTTTGCTGCCAGCTGCACAGCACTGACCAGCAAGTCCCCGGGCTGATAAAGCTGCAACTCCTAGGAACAGTGTACCCGGTGCTAACCTGGGGAGAATCTGGTTAAACTGGCCCGTCTCTGCTTACCTGGTGGAGAGCCCAGCCAGGACTTTTGGCGGACAGAAGTCAGCCATGACTCTGCACATATTGCTACCTTGCAGAAAGAAGCTCTTTACCTGAGCTGCCAATCTGGAGGAAGCAACAGGCCGAAGCTCCTAGTGAGTACTTTGTGTAAACTTCTACCATGTTTGTAGCAACCCAGGGCAACAGAATCTTTACTTTACTGGCAGTCTGGAGACTCAGAGAGGGAACTTAACGTTCTCAAAGCCACACAGCTGATTATTGACAGAGTCAGAGCTCCACTGTCTTACAGAGAGAAAATCATACAAGGACCATATACCTGTCTAGTCATCCAGAGTTGTTCTCATGATGCAGCTATTATCTGTCTAGAAAATTATCTTGTCTAGCTATTATCTTGGCTGGATACTTCTAGAACTCTGCAGTTTAGAGGATTTTGTAATTTTAACTTTTCTTGAGGTTTGGCTTTTGTTTTGTTTGTTTTTTGGAGACAAGGTCTCACTACATAGCCCAGTCTGGCCTCATCCTTGTGGCAATCCTACTGCCTCAGCCTCCCAAGTGCTAGGATGATAGGCTTGTATCACTGCACTTGGCTTATTGAGATGAGGTTTTACTGTGTTGCCTAAACTGGTTTGTAACTTCTGGGCTCAAGGAATGTTCTTGTTTCAGTGTCCCAAGTAGCTGAAAATACAGGCAGGCACCTGTGTGCCAGGCTAATGTGAGGAGTAGCTGCATTCTCCCACCTCTTCGGAGCTCTGGAGGTTGAACCCAGGGCCTGGCACATGCTAGGCAAATGCTCTACTGCAGAGCTCCACTGGCCAGTTTGGGGGTTTTTAAAGCTTATGATGTGTGAAGCCATTCTTCAAGCCTAGTCGCTCAGTCTGGCCCCAGGGATGTTTCCCCCCACGCCTCCTCTTTGCTCCTGTGCAGTCTTTCACTTTGGAAGGGTTGCTTTTTTCCTACTAAGCATCCAAAGACCTACAAATCCTAGCGCCACCTTCCACAGTTTAAACAATAGATCTGAAAGTCACATTCCTCCCTGCTGGCCCAAAGGAAGTTGAGAAGAATGATGCTTTGGGTCTCAGGGAATCTTTTATTATTTAAAACTGAGACAAACAGATTTTCAAAGACAGCAGCACAGTCACTGTCACAAGCATATGAATATGTCTGTTTTGCAAGAAAGAATATGCTACAGGTCATGCTCTTCATGTTTTCAATAGCATTCTGGCAAAAATTAAGGATATTTCCAACCCTGTCAAATATTAAGGAAGAGTAAATTCTACTTTCTGCCTTTGGTTAAATAAATGGCATCTTTCAGCAAAGTGGTGGGAAATCAATAATATAAGGGCTGTGTCTTCAAACTGCCTGTTGCTCCAACAACCATCAGCCCCTTTGGCTAAACTTCTCAGCTATTTTCTGTAATTCCAAATCCATTGCAGCCAAGTTTTCAAGCTGTTTCTCCTGAAAAGCAGAAAAAAAGGAAACGTGAGATTCCAGGTCAACTTGTACTGCCCTTGTGTCTGAGGTACTCTAAGTAGAAAGGAAATTTTAGGCACATTTGGAGGCCACAGGGGTCAGCCTAGACCAGTGTTCTCAGGGCGCGGTCCCCTGACTGACAGCTTCAGAACCCCCAAGGCACTTGTCAGAAGTGCAGATTTTTGGATCTACCCTGTTATGGATCAGATCTAGAATGTTCTCCAAAACTGTCATTAGCATAGGGGTGGGGCTTTGGGAAAGGTGATTAGAAGGGGGACACTGTATTCTTTGTTGGAGTCAACAGCTATGTGTGCATTTGGAAGTGGGGTTCACTGCCCGCCCCCCCTCAACCACCCCTCTCTTCTCTCTCTGCTTCTCAGCTGCCTACTGAGCAGCTGTTCTCCACTCTAGCCCTCTGCCAGGATGCTTCTGCCTTGGAGCCAAAATAAACCTCCCCCTTTAAATTGTGGGTGTCAGGTATTGTGCCTCAACAAAGTGACTAAGACACACCCCCAAACTACTGAATCTCAAGCCCTGAAGCTTAGAAAACTCTCGTGATTCTGAAGCACATTCAAGTTTGAAAAGTACTAACCAACATAATCAATATTAGGGCAAAAAAAAAAAAAAAAAACCCAAACAAACAATGACATTGGTTGGGAAGGTACAGCTTTGAAAATGTTATTTCCCAGATGGAAATAATTACTGTAGTAGGTCAAAAACCAATAAAAACAGACCAAGACAATAACTGTTGTTCCCACCCTGAAGGGTAGTGATCAGTCACGTGGTCAAGAAAACACAAACAGTGCTTGTCAGGGTTGGCTGGACAGTGGAATCACTGAGACACTTGAAAAATCAAGCAGCACCCAATAATGATCCAACAGAATTTCTGGGAGTGGATCCCACGCTTGAGAATTTTCCAAGCTCTTCAAGTGATTCCAGTGTGCAGACAAGGTGGAGAAACACTGCCATAGAGAGAGGAGGCCAGGGAAGTGGACGGAATACAGCTGGATGGTGGGTGGAAGTCAACCCCAGAAGTGGGCTCCACCAGGGCTACCTTCTCATGGTGAAAAACCCCACAGTCTCTCTCCATTATGATCAGGTAATATTGAACATATCACATTGACCTTCATAATTGTAAATGCCTTTTAAACAAAACCCCCACTCTGTACCTCGTCCTCTGTCAGAATTCTCTGGTCGGCCCTTTCCTGTTCATTTTCTGCCTCCGGGAGTGTGCCCATCTGTTCCTCAGAGTCATAGAAGTTGGGGAATTCAGCCGACTTCTTCCTGTAATGAAGGAGCTGGTCCAGCTCTGCCACACGGTCATACTGCCTTTTCAGGTCCAGTTTGGGGGTCCTAGGGAAGCTTCTTTTCTCATATCCCCAGTTCACATCCTCAGAGAAGGGCTTTTTCTCCCACCAGTCATAGTTGTATTCTGGGAAGAAATTCCTCTCATTCAAGGACAGTGCATTTTCTTCTTCGTCCTCAAGAAAACTGTCATCCATGTTGTCTCTTCTCTCAAAATGGCTGCTCTTCCACTGGAGAGGGTCAAAGTATGGGTTGAACAGCGCCCCTAATCTCTTCCTCTTTTCAGTGGTGTGGTGGGAGACATATGGTTTGTTTTGAAGCCTATTCTCTCTGTTATCTCTAGGGTCTCGCAGGTCCTCCTGTTGCTGCCATTTTTCTTGGGCTCCTTCCTCACCATAATTGAGGTAATTTCTTTCCTGTTCTTGCCACTCATCTTGTGGGTGTGTCCTTGCCTTGTCCATCTGGCTTTCCTGAACATGGTGATGTCCTTCGTCCAAGAACCTTTTCTCTTCTCTGGTGTCAGGAGTGGAATAGGCATCTGGTTCCCCTCCTCTCCTTGGGTAATGATGTCCCCTTCCCAGCTCATGGCCCCTCTCTTCCTCCCTCTCTTCACTGTATCCCTGTGCCATGTTACCAAGCTCTGGGCTGGGGCGGTTTCTCTTCTCCTCCTCCCAGCTCTCCTCACTGTGAGGTCTTGGAGCCCTGTACTCTTCACTTCCTCTGCCCAGGTACTGTCCGCCCTCCAGGTCCTCAGAAGCCTGGACACCTGGATAACCCCTCATTTCTTCCTCATATTCGGGTTCTTCCTCTGAAGCCCGATAGTGGGTAGAATGGTGGCCCCTCTTTTCTCCTAAGCTGGCCATGTCCACATTCACCTCCTCAGATTCCTGTCCCTTTTCCTCAGCAGGAGGATGTCCTTCTTGAAAGGACCTGTCGGGCCTGGTCCTCCCATGGTGGTGTCTGGGCCTCATACGTCGTTTGGCCACCTCAGAGGTAGCATCTTCTTCACTCTCCTGGGATTCCGCCTCGCTCTGAGGTTGGCTGTGAGACTCTTGGGGGTGTTTCTCTGGGCTGTTTACCTCCTCTCCACTCTCCTGGCTGTCCTTCTCCCTGCTGTGTGTCTTCTCAGGGAGCCCAGCGGAGTGCGTCACTGATTTGGCCACCAATTCCTCTTTTGTCTTGGCTGAAATCTGGTTTCTTTTGTTGAGAAAGGCATTCTGTGTCTCTGCTGCCTCCTCAGTGTGTCTCCCTCCACTGGTATCTTTTCCACGCCCCGTTTCCTGATGGTTCTCTCCCTCTTCTTCCTCCCTGTCCTCTTCCTCACTCTTCTCAGACTGGCGTAGCTTGGCTTCTTCTGAGACTTGGCCACTGTCCTTGGAGGGATAGGGGCTCCCATGAGACTCATCCGCACCCTCTTGGCTGTGTTTGCTTCCCTCTTCCCACATCTGCCTGTCAGCCTTTGTCTGGCCCTGAGGGGCGGCCTCCCCCAGGGCTCTGGCTTCCTCCTTGCTAGAAGGTCTTTGGGCTTCTGTGGTGTCACCTGGGTCTCTTAACAATCTCACTGCGAACTTTGTGTTTTCAGTCTCACTTTTGTCTTCATCTTTGACCTCTTTTCCACCTATAATGAAAATACAAGGGTAACTATAACCTCAGAGGTGCTTGGGTTTCACAGATATCACCCGTGGTAACCACTGCACATCTGGGTCTTTATTGACTGTTCAAATGAATAAAGTAGATACTCAGAGTCCTGATAAAAGCAAATGCTAGGAGAACTCCTTGACATCAGCTTAAAATGTAAACGTTCTTACATTTTATAGCACCCTACCAGCCTGCTCTTGGGACTGTCAATGATCACACTGAAATCCAGATGCAAGCTTATGATAACTTAGAAGTTAGCACCAGAGGAAATCGTCAGATTCATTCAGGCCCACCTCCTTTGCTTGCAGATATAAGCACATTAAGAATCAGGGGTACAGCCAGGCATGGTGGCACACTCCTGTAATCCCAGCACTCGGGAGGCTAAGGCAGGAGGATCGTTGCAAGTTTGAGACCAGCCTGGGCTACAAAGTGAGGCTAAAGCCAGCCTGAACTGTACAGCGAGATCCTATTTCAAAAACACAAAAAAAGAAAAAGAATTAGGGGTATAAACTGGGATCATTCTTTCCATATTTATCCTAACTGAGGGGAGAAATTTAGCAGCACATGAATGGCTGTAACTATAACCTACCTACAGTTAAGCAGCCAAAGGGGAAACATTAAGAGTCAAAGGAAGAGTAAAGTTGGATTATTTATCAGACTTTCTCACCCAAGCAGTATGTTGACTCAATTTAGCAGCAAACGACAGCTGAACTCAGTACAGTCACATGCTGCACAGCTGCCTGTTCCAGCCATCAACAGAGACAGACATGATGGTGGCCCGGCAGGTTCTGTCACCTGGTGAATCACAGCTGCCTTCCGTCTGTGTAAGTATATTTGTGGTGTTCGTACAATAGCCTGACAATGCCTTGCAGTCAATTTCTTCCCCGAGAAAACTGCACAGCCACAGAAAGGCCCTGTGCTCATGCCCCGACCTCCCTACACCTGCGGCATCCTTTTTTTGGTACCAGGGATTGAATTCACCACCTCGCACTTGCCAGGCAGGTGCTTATGCCACTGAACTAAATCCCCAGCCCCGAGCTGCAGCATCCTGAGCTGTGTTCTGCCACTCAGCAGGAGCCAGTGGAACTGTTACACTGCTGTCCTCACCATCTTTTCCGACTATCAATAGCACTTTCACCAAGTCCTCCGTAACTCAAGGGCACCCAGTGAAAAGAGACCCGCAGTTAACGCTGTCTCCGGGTAGCTGGGAGGGCTTGGGTTTCAGCCTTGTCACTGAGCTCAGTCAGGACGCCTGAAGCCAAGATCAGCATCCAGGCTGCCCACTGCGGCCGCTGCCGGCCCTCTGGGGTTTGGGGGACACTTGAACTGTGGCTAACACACGTAAGATACTCACCAGATTTCCAAAGCATCCTAGAGGAAAATGTGTAAAATGTCTGAATAACTGTCTGTATTGACTATAGTTTAAAATGCTAATATTTTGAATATATTAAATAAATATTTCAGATGCATCGGCTACATGCATTCTGCATTAGATAAAATATAATGTCTAGAAACAAAATTTATTATTGAAAACAATTTTACCTGTTTTTACTTCTTCAATGTTGTTACTAGGAAATATGAGATTATACTTGGCTTTTCTTATATTTTTATCAAATGGCACTGAGGAATCATTTCTGAACTGATTTTTGCAAACAGAAAGACAATTGATCTGTTTTATCAAAAGGTCCAGGAAATAGTGTGCTGTCTGCATTCTCTATTTAAAGCCCAACCTGGTGTGACAATGACTTTCTCATGGTTATGCAGCAGTGAGACTGCCCTTACCTTCCCATCCAGATACTTGAGGGTGGGCTCATCTGTCACCACCGGGATGCTGGGTGAAGTGTGGGCAGGTCGGCCCTGGAGGGCACAGCTAAGCGGGAGGCTTTGGGTGCTACTACTGACTCTGTGTGTACCCCAAACCCATACGTGCAAGTCCTTGTCCCCGGTGTGATGGTGCTGCAAGGTCCTTTGGTCATGAAAAGCCCTAGGGAGGGGATCTGCCCCTAGTTAGAAAAGACATGAGTGGGGTGTGGTGGCATACTCTTGTCGACTGAGACAGGAGGGTCTCTGTGAGTTTAAGGCCAGCCTGAACTACATAGCCAGACCCTCAAAAACAACAACAACAAAAATAAATGAGAGATAAAGTGACATGAGATCATGAGCTCAGGTGAGGGCACAGTGAGAAGGGTGAGAGGGTAGCTGTCTAAAGCCAGAAAGTGGGGCTCACTGAACACCTTGATCTTGGACACCAGCCTCTACCGCATACTTGTTGCTGAAGTTGCAGTCTCTGGTCATAACACCCTGAGCTAAACCAGGCAGAGGTGATGTCACCCTGGCCAAAGGAAGACGACTGACCAGACAGGATCTCAGCCTCCAGAAGAGAAGCCCTGTGCCCCTTCCCGCAGCCTGCTGGTGTGCACGGGTCACAAGCTTCAGGAACAGCAGATTCCCCCGCCCCTGGTTAACTGTGTACTGCCTGTAGCAGTGTGGGCCTGAGGCCTAACACGTCCTGCTAGACTGATCGATGAGCTGCAGGTGAGACTGGAAAAGGGCTGTGATTCACAGCACACTGTCACCATCAGTCTGTACAACAACAGTGCGAGCTGAGTGAATGGAACCGAAGCCTCAGGAAGCAGTTCCTCCATCCTGCTGGCCAAAGCTCAAGTCTTCTAGTTAGCTTAGCACAAACACCCAAGAGACAGGCCTGAAATAGCACAGAAGGTCCAAACCAGTGGCCCAGACAAGACGTTTTTACTCAGTCCAAATTCAGAGGCAATATTTGAATACCAGGGCATATTGCTGAAATACCTAACTTTAGGTAGGGGTATACTTTGGAAATTAAGCACTTGCCTAGCACATGCAAGACCCTGGGTCCAATCCCCAGAACTACAAAGAAAGATGAAAATGTGCCTTTGTTAGAAAAGTGGCAAGATTTAAATTATAAGACATGAAATCTAAATTATAAGAGTTTGTAGCACTCTAGAACAGGATGAAGGATGGAAATGTGTATTTGGACAGGAAAGAACATGAACCTCACTTCCTGGCCTGCTTTTCTTTCTCATGTTATGTCTGTGTGCCCTGCCTGCTGTCTGAGACCACAGCTCACAGGAACTCTTAAAGGTCTCCTATCCCAGCATTCTGTCACGATCTGGGCATGTCCCCCAGGTTCTGTGGTTGTTACCAGTTTTTCTGGGACTCTCAGCAGATGCCAAAATATCTCAGGAATCATCAGTGACAGGAAAAAGCTGTGGCTACAGTGTAAGGGCCGAGAAAGTGTTTTGGCAGGCTAACAGAGCCTGACACTGAACAAGCTTTCCTAAGCAATCCTGGCTATTCGGCGACCTATATGACAGACAGGCCCCTCTCTTTTGAATTCCCTGGTAAAGAGGGAAAGGAGAGGGAGATAGCAAGATGCATTACCCTGGAGTGCAGCAGCTTTTGGAGCTCTGCTGAGCTCCTGCCTTCTGCAGTGACTGGAAAAGAAAGTGGGGAAAAGTTCAGAAACTGGAATGTGGGTGGGAAGTGAAAGGTGAGCTTTCCTTTGGTGTTTATGGGGTCCCTCGTGACTCAGGCCCCCACATTTATTGGTTATCATGAAGGCCCTGAAGCAGATTGAGCCACCCTAGCTTGCTCTCTGGACCTGGGGCTAACTCTATACTTGCTCCTCCCACTTTATGCATAAGGGCCTGCGTGTATCAAAATCCAGAGTGTGGTCTTGCAATGATAGATTTTTTCTTCTTGGTACTGGGGATTGAACGCACAATCTCGTGTTTGCCAAGCAGGCGCTTACACTGCTGAGCTAAACCTCCAGCTCAATAACAGATTTTAAAGGTGAAAAGAAAAAAAAAAAATCTACCGCTCAGCGCCCTACTACAATTTTGAAAGCAGAAGCGGGTGGTGAAGACAGCAGTGTTTTCTGCATTTGAAACGGTTTGGCTTCACCCATAAAGGGGACTGTGTTGTTAGTGAAACTGGCCTCCCAAGGTCAGTTTCCAAGGAACAGTGCTTGTATCATGGTGCAGATTTTATTTTCAGCTGAAGCTTCAGAGCACAGAGAGAACACCCCAGTCTGGATGCAGAAGGCCATAGGGCCGAGGTGCTGGGGTGCTTTTTTCTTCCCTAACCCTCCCCAGCTTCAGATGTGGTCTCCTCCTACTCTTTGGTGGTAGCTCCCACTGGTTTTCCATTAAAATGTTGTAACTCATCTCCCTGGAAACAGGCTGAGACTTCCAGCCACCTTCCCAAGCTTTTAAATTCTTTTTTTTTTTTTTTTTTGTTTTTTTCGTTTTTATCGGTACCAGGGATCCAACTCACGACTACCTGCTTGCAAGGCAGGCACTTATGCCGCTGAGCTAAATCCCCAGCCCCCAAGCTTTTAAATTCTCACTGTAAGACGTCGAGAAGGCAAGATCATTATGTCTTGCTCTACCCTTTCTTATTCTAGGACCCCTCCCCCCACCGCCCCGGACAACCAACAAATACTTTCTGTACCTCCATCCACCCAAATGAAGGCCTGTTCTAAAATTCCAAAATATACTGGAAGTGCAGATGAGCCCCTGTAATCCCAGCACTTTGGGAGGCTGAGGCAGGAGGATCACAAGGTTGAGCCCAGCCTGAGCCACTTAGTGACTTAATGAGACCCTGTCTCAAAATAAAAGATAAATTAAAAAGAGCTAGGAAACTTGCTCTGCATAGTCCTGAGTTCAGTCCCCAGTACCATAAAATGAAATAAATGTAAAATTTAAAAATCCAAAATATGAATTTAAGAACTGATAGACTGTTATTGAGCTCAGTTCCCTCATTTTACTTTGAAGCCCAGAGAGGCAAAGCGTCTTCCCCACGGTAGCCCAGCTACTGAGAAGTAGAGAGAATGCGGAGGAGATCAGTGTCTGCCTCCCCAGTGCTCATCTGGTCAGCCATCACCCATTGCACCCCCACCTCACTTCAGGGGAGCAGAGGCAGCAGGAGCCAAGATTGCTCAGTGATGAAGGTCTGTGCACCCAGTGAGGCTTACCCTTCTTCAGGACTTGCCGGCACTCGTGGCTGATGGGCGGGACGCTGGACTTGGCCAGGGCATTTGAGAGGACTTCAATGATGCAGCGAGTCACCTGGGGAAGACACAAAAGCATCTGGAGTAGCTGGTGTCACTGTGACTGACTGGCCCCAGAGCTGCTGGGGGGGAGGCTTGACTGTGACCTGTGTCTATGAGGGCTGCTCGAGGCAGAGACTCCCACTTCCCAAGCCTTGTGGGACAATGCAAGAAGGCACTGAACTGTACCCTGAGAAGGGAAATAGCCCTTTCTGAACCCATCAGAGAGAGGCCTCTGTGACTACAAGGCTATACGTGGGGACACCAGGTCCTCTGGCAGGGAGGGCGCAGCTTGTGGCTGGAGGGGCAGCCTTGCTCCTGCTCTCTCTGCATGTTGCACGTGTGCGGCTGGGTGTGACAGGGGATGTGAGAATCCAGAGCCCAGGCGAAGTCTGGACCTGGACCACCACTTCAACTCACCGTCTCTTCACTGTGGTTCCCGTTATCCACTGGCACAGAGCCGACGGCTTGGAAGGAGAAAAGGACAGAAGACTGCTTGAGTCGATTCCAGAGGCCAAGTGACTCAAAGCACAAAATCATCACACATCATACACACAGTCATCCTCCCCCAGCAATGCCTCAAACATGTCTGGAAATAAATGCTAATCTGCATCCAGTCTAAATCAGCTCCAGACCTGAAACAAGAGAGACTTCTTGCACTCAGCTAATATTTTATATCCTGATCTGGCCCCTAATTACAGACGCGTCCTGTTTGTGACACAGTCTGACACAGACATTAAGCTCTAGACTCACGATCTGTGCAGGCTTTTTATCGTATACTTCAACAAAAAGTTTACCCATTAAAAAGTTTAGCACAAACAAAATTGCAGTAGAATCAGAATGCTCTCTCATTCTGTCTACTCTAAGTGGGTACAAATGTGTGACTACCTCTGCCTAGCTCTGTTCCCCCAAAAACCTCTTAAACTTACTTGCCTTTTAGTCTGAAGTCTATAAGAAAAGTCATAACTGCAAAAATTGCTTGCTAATAAAGGAAATTATCTTTTAAAATTCCAGCTTTAATAGACTTTCTTTGATAATGCAATTTCACACTAATACTTTCCTTTACTTTTCTGATCATGAATGTAAAAATAGATGTTTGATTAACTGCTAGTGCTCTCAAAGTGTAATAGAAGATTTGGGGGAAGAGAAAAAAAATTTTTTGCTATTCTACACATATGGTAATGCACATTTGTTTGTATAGAACCACTCATTTTTCTGAGCACGGCTCTTGAAAGCCTTTTTGGTGTAAAAGAGCTATAGTTTGCTTGTACAGCACAGCAAGCACCTGGGTGAGACCTTCAAGTCCATCGCATTTCTCCCAATAGAATCTGTAATAAAGTAATAATGAAGCACGGTGTGTTGATTGCCCTAAAGTAGTTTAGCTCATTTTTGTGGAAAGGAAGAAAAAATGTAATGCTCATGTTAAAAGTGAAAATGTAAAAATTATCAGATTATGATAAATCTGAGAATATCACCTAATTTATGAATATCTCATAAAACTATCAAGGTTGGATCCCAGGTTGAGAACATAACTGCAAATTAGTTTAAGCAAGTTCTTTGACTAAAAGGCTATGAAGACTGCAAAGTTCCTCCTAAAATTCAAGGCAGGCAAGCTCTGGCTGGCAAAAAATCATCTTCCCTAGTATTATACAGACATTATGCGGCTTCTTCACACATGTTCATTTTCAAAGTGTACAGTAGCTGCCGCAGAAAGTGTGGATCTCGTGTAAAGGCTCTTAAGGGTATAAAATGAACTAGAGTTTCCCGAGGTTCCCCCAACCCTGTGATTTTGCTAAATAATGAACTCTGCTTAAAGGCTAGCACATTTACTGCCAAGGTCTGGGATGGGGAGTGGGAGGGGACTGGTAGTAGGCACAGGGTATCTTTCTGTGAGTAATGAAAATGTCCTAAAGTGTGACAGTGGTGATGGTTACACAATCTGAGACATGCTATAAACCACTGACACTGCAAAAGGGCAGATTTCTTCTTTTTTAATGAGTACCGGGAATCAAACTCACAACCACATGCTTGCAAGGCAGGCGCTTATGCTACTGAGCTAAATCCCCAGGCCCAAAAGGGCAGATTTCTAAAATATGTGAGTTATAGCTCATTAGAAAAAAATTTAAAACAATGTCAACTCTCCATTTTAACTGTGATTACAATAGGAAACTTTATTAAAATATTCTCTTACATGAGACCTTGTGAGTATTTTACACCATAGTTAAATACAAATGCCACTGCTTCTGTGGTCTATGATACAATGTACAGTATGCTTTTGGACTCTTAAGCAACTTCCTGCTGAAAATATTTTGGCCAGCTATAATTCTAAGTTATTTATTTGATTTTCTCTAAGTGGAGATCATTTGTTAGCAATGCATAATAGTGACAAAAATTTAGAAAATTCTGAATGGATGTGGCTTGCAGTAAAATAAGTTGCCACTGTCTCACTTTGTCTCAACATTTCTGACTTAGCAATTGTTTTCAATAAAATCTTCATGTCCAACACCTCAATCCTAGTTAGGCATCTCAATCTCAGGAGCAAACAGTCTTCTACAGATCATTTAAACAACCAAGTTTCCCTGGGTTTTATTTGATGGTGTACTTACTTCTCAGTAATTACTTCAGCATGCGCGCGCGTGTGCGCGCGCGCGCACACACACACACACACACAATTTCACATCTTCAGAGAGCATTTCTTTGAGGCTCAGAAAAATGGAAAGATTAATCTCACAATCTTCCACACACAAAGAGAAACTGTCAAACATGCACTATTTAAATTTTCATTCTCTCAAATTGACAAAAGCAGGGTTTTTTTTTTTTTTTTTCTGTTAAACACTTCAGAGATACTTCTGATTATTTTATACTCAGTTTTTTTTTTCCTGGAGTACAAAGTCAAAATATTTAGTGTAGTTTTCATTCATAACTGAAAGATGGATTGATTTAAATGTGAAATTACCTCTCTCCAAATATGAAAATACAAAGAAAAAATATATCAAGCCTGTCCACCAATGCATGGATGCACACACCCATGAACATAAGATAAAAGGTGTACCTCGCACACGTGTTTAGCTTTGCCTTACCACGTTTATATAATAACGGTAATAATAACAGCAAAGGGAACTGTGCGGGTGTCAGGTAATACCGTGCTGCATGTATCCCTCCCTGGCCCTCTGTGGTCACCTGGCTATTAAAGCCAAACAGGAATCTGCCTCCAGCGCATCTCCCTAGCCAGGCAGCAAGAGCGCGTGACACTTCCCAAGCCAGCAGGGAACGCGGGTTTCCCTCCGAGGGCGACCTGCGTCTTCCCATCTGCAGAAGAGCTCGGCTCTGAAAAGACCGAGATTCCCCGGGCTGGTCTAGGAAGCCTTCTGGCTTTTTCCAAGTCAAATGGGGCGCAGGCGAGGGTGGGTGTTCCAGGGAAAAAACCCAGGGAAGAAAAGAAATGAAGAACCCCAAGTAGCAACCCTCCCCTTCTCGGGCGTCCGCCGGCCCCGAGCCGGGTTCAGAGCGCGGGGAGCCGGGCGGCGCTGTCCGCGGTGCTGAACGCCCCACCGCGCCCACTCACCGGCCAGCACCGCGGCTCCCAGCAGGCCGAGAAGCGCTGCCGGCTGCATGGCCCGGCTCGGCGGCACTCCCAGCTCGTTGGCCCCGGAGAGACGGACGCGGGAGGAAGGCGCGATGCGGCAGAAGGCGCGGTGCGGGAGCGAGGCGAGGCGGAGGCGCTCCGGGAAGCCGGCGTGCGTCCTGGTCCCCGCGGTGTGGCGCGCTCGGCGCAGGCCTCCCTCTTTTAAAGGGCAGGCGGGGGCCGCGAGGCCGGGGTGGGGGCGGCGAGCAGCCGGGAGGAGGCGCCCCTCGCTCGGCCCTGACGTCACGAGACAGCCCCCGGGCGCGGCGCGAGGGGGCGGAAATTTACGCCAGCGCTGGCGCCAGGGCGCGCGGGGTCTGGAGAGGGGGCGCAGGCTCCGGGAGGGCGGGGGAGGAAGCGCGGGTCCGCGGCGGGAGGGAGGGCAGGCCGGCCCCTTCGGGTGCGCGAGTTGGTCTCCACCTTCCCCGCTCGCGCTCGCCTCTGGATTTAAAAGCGTGTTTGCGGCCCTGTGCATCCGGGAACGGTTCTGCTGGGAATGTGCATCCCTGGGTCTGCCTTGTGTCTCCTCTACTACTGAGGAAGAGAGTCCTGCTGGCGAGAGAGGGCTAAACAGGCGCGCATGGAGACGATGAAAAAGGGAGCGATGACTTTAAAAATTCCCCGTGCTGCCCAAGAATTCGGCCTGCGGTTTCTTCTTTGTCTCTACCAATCAGTTTCCAGCCATCTATTGTTTGTATCCCCATACATAACATAGTTACTTTTTTGCTTTTTTAATTTTAATAGATGGTGCAAAAAGGTATATTATAAAAGCCTCCTTTAAAAGAAAAAAAAAAAAAGCCTCTTAGCTCCACTTTTCAAGTTTCCCAATCCATTCTGCGAAATCAGCGGGCTATTACCTGTGGTAACCTTCTGTGGTTTAGGCTTAATTTGGCTTGAAGTCCATACAGCTGCATCTTCTTCTGAACAGCTGCCCTGGTTACAGTGAATGAATTTAGCCAGTCCTCTTTCTGATGGGCCAGTCGTCTTTCTGTGTGTTTAGGTCGTTACCTTTTAGCTCCAAATCACTGCTTTACACGTACAGGCAGTGTCACAGGTGGGTGATGGACTCATCTGCTCGTGTGCTGTACCAGCCCAGTGCATCCCCTTTGGCTTTCACAGCGAGAAAGAAAAGCATTCTGTTATGTGTGGGAGGAAGGTGAAAACCTCTTCTGTAATATTTTTGGCACGAGTTCCCCTAGCCGAATGAGGAATCCGGAAAAAGCATTAAGCAAGTGCCCTGCAGCTTGCAGAACCGCCTCAGATAACACCAGCGCAGCTGAACAGAATGAAGCTTCGCCTGGGGCTCTTCACTCAGAGAATGAAGCTGCCTGCAAGCACCGTTCAAATGGGGTTTCAGATTCCTTTTCCTGAAAATTAATGTGGCTCGAATGTTTTGTACATGTTGAGTGAATGGTTTCTTCTTCCTGAAAAAGCCGGGATTTGTTTCACTAAAATGACAGCCACAGAATATTAAAAGAACAGTCTTTAGAATGATTGTGGTGGAACAACTGATAAAAATGGAATAAGATGTATAAATTATGTAACTGGACTAATGATGGTTTGCTGATCTTAAGAATTAGTACTGTGATCATGAAAGAATGTCCTTGCTTTTGCGAATGTCTTGTGCGAGGTCTCTAGAGGTAAATATGTACCACTTACTCTCAAATTTATTTTGAAACATGGAGTTTGAGACAATACTAAGGCAAGTGGCGCAAAATGTGACTATTTGTACGATCGGAATAAATAGCATACAGAAATTTTTATACTAGTTTTGCATTTTTTTCTGATATCTCAAATTCTTTCAAATTAAAGGAATATTTTTCAGCACACAAAAAAAGTTTGCTTAAAAACCACAGAACAAGCCAGGCGTAGTGGCACACTCCTGTAATCCCAGCACTTGAGAGGCTGAGGCAGGAGAATTGTTTGCAAATTCAAGACCAACTTGGGCTACAAAGTGAGCCCAAGGCTAGCTTGAACTACATAGCAAGACCCTGTCTCAAAAAGACCAAGAAAAGAGAAAAAAAAAAAAAAAACCCAAAAAACAAGCAAACAAAAAACCCCGCAGAACAGTGAGTACCAAAAAGAAGATGTCCAGTGAGGCCCTTCCTTGACACAGCTCTGACAGGTTCTTCCTCCACTGTCACAACTGTGTAAAGGTTCCAATGCTCTTTCAAATACTTCAAACCTTAGGTTGTTTTAAAACCGCCACCTGCCTCAGGCATCTGCATTCCACTTGTCCTGTACTTTCCCTCTGCTCCTTCCCTCCAAAGCATGGTGCTGCTTGAAGTTGACATGTCTTGTGACTTCACAGATTGAGCTGGTGGAGCTGTTTACTCATGGGGACTAACCACGCTGTAGGAAAGAGCCTTTGATTATTGCTATGGGATTAGCAGAGGAGATGAGAAAGACAGCCCTGGACCTACAGCCAGGTCCCATATTTAGACTCAGCTTTTCTTTCTTTTTTCTTTTTTTATACTGGGGATTGAACTCACGACCTTGTGCTTGCCAGGCAGGCGCTTATACCACTGAGCTAAATGCCTGGCCTCAGCTTTTATTCTTTTAAAATTTTGACTTTTTATAAACCTTTTTATGCATTTTGCATTTCACATTAAATTTTTTTTTTTTTGAGACAGGGTCTCACTATGTAGCTCAGGCTGACCTCGAATTCACAGCAATCCTCCTGCCTCAGTCTCCCAAGTGCTAAGATTACAGGCATGCACCACCACACCTAGCGTTTAAATATTTTTGTACCAGAAAGAGGAAAAAAAAAAAAAAAAGGCTATCAGGGGAGTATTTCTCAAGAATTCTTTCAAAGCAGGATGAGGGAGGAAAATCAGTGTTCTCCTTAGGAACTAGAGCTCTAAATAAAGATGGCATGAGATTGAGGTACAGTCACAATTTTTTACCAGTTGGGCTGGGAAGTTTTGGTTGAAGTGACCATCCTTCCCTTCCCACCCTTCAGTGTCAGGCTTGACCAACATGGCCAAGGATTCTCAGGTCTCCTTTGACTTCAGAATTCAGAGACTGGCGAGGGATTCCACACACGCACCTGCCTGGAAGTCTGGTTTGCAATATGTCTGCTAGCATGGGCCAGGATTAATGAAGAGCACGAGACACCATTCCAGGGTCAGGAGGGAGGTTTGATAGCCAGTGCTTACAAATCAGTTGGGAGAGGAGAACGGAACCTGTTTTTTGAGTTTGCCTACCGATTCAGCATGTGCGGGATGCCCTGTATGTGATACAGGACTGAAAAATGACCACGTCCTTTTTACACGTTTTGGTGCTTTAATGGAAGAGGAAGTGCTCTGGCTGGCCCTGAATTCAGGAATAACCTCTCAAAGATAAAAGCAGATGGGTTCAAATCCAAGAGAAAAATCAGCCTCTTGGATGGGACTAAAGATTGGGGCAGCTGTGGGAGCCCCCAAACCCAGGAGCAGAAGGGGAGCAGGGTGGGTAGCTGTTGTGGAGTCTGGCTGGGGTTCTTGATGGAAGCCCAAGTGCGATGCCCTTCTGTCCCTGAGGCCTCACGGAGCAGAGAGCAGCTGACAGGTCAGGCCTTCATCCCCCTCTGCTGTCCTCAGTAGCACCTTCCCTCCTCCTCTGATGTCTTGATAACCCAGAGCTTCTCTCTCTATCCTCGCGCAAAGCCTTTGCTATATGGTGCTCTTCCTAGGAATTCTTGATGTTTGGTTTCCTTCCAATACAGGTATTTAAGGGCCAAGGGCTTAGCTCAGTGACACAAGGGCCTGACTGGCAAGCGTGAGGTTGTGAGTTCAATCCCCGGAACCCAAAATAAATAAGTAAATAAAAGTATTGAAATATGTGGCATTTCCTGCACTCAGCCAGAACCATGCCCTGAAATCTTGCCATTTTCAGGCTGATGTGATTGATAATGGAGACTCTAGAAGCAGTCTTGGGTCGGGTGATTCGAGGTTTCCGTTGCCTCTGCCTGCTGAATTCCCTCCGTTCTCTCCACGCTCATCCTCAGGAGTCACAAAATGTGAGTTGCTTCTGCTTCTGGTTTTGAGGGCTTCGACCAACCGTGCTCTGAGAGGAGCCATTCTTCTGCTGTACAGAAATTTTAATTATTTATGGTGCACATTAGAGCATACCAGCTCTTAGGCAGGCTTCTCCTCAAGCAAAATGTGATCTCTAAATGTAGATTGCAGAAAAAATTCATGGAGGCTAATTTCAGTTTTACCCCTATGAATGTTTTATTTCCCAATAACTCATAATGGTCCTTGAGGAGGGATTACTGTTAAGTAAATATGCAAAATCCGAAGCCTCCCAAGATGGAATGCCTGTATTATTGTTCTGGATAACAAAGATACAGATGCAGAGTGGGTCTCTTCTCATACATTTTATTAACGAGTTGCTCCCCCTTTCTTTCTCTCTCTCCTAGCTACATTTGCTCTCTTTTACATTCATTCATAAATCTCAGAAAAGAGCACTAAAGAATCTGATATCGCCATACAAACATGGTATTGTCCGGAGCTATAAATTACCAGTCTCAGTTCGATCTCTGCACCTTCTAGAAGGCATGTTATGAGGTGGAAAAGTAAATATTAGAAAATTTACTGATTAACATCCCACCACCCCAGATCCAAAAGTGAAGAGGTGACTTGCACAAAATGTGCTGTAACAAAGTGTTAATGAATGCTGGGAGGCTTGAGATCAAAGTTGTCCTAACAACCTGAGGGTGCACAGAACAACTGCAGACTTGGGGCAGAACTCCACGGAGACACCTTCAATCCAGAACCTTCTCAGCATCCCTCAGCCCATAACCTGTGGGTCAGGGCCTTCTCGGTGGAACAGTGCCAGCCTGGCTCCTCCGGGAATCAGTAACTACCAAGCTAACGCCCTGGGTGTGCGGGAGCTTGCTGGACAGTTCTGCGGGAAGTGGGCAGGGAGGCCTTGAAGGCTCCTGGGCGGAGGCTGTGGGCTTTATTTATGCATGCTGACAGCATCTCAGTAACTCCCTGGACCAGGTGGTTTGCATCTCGGAGAGCTAAAAGGTGGTGCTGGTCTCAGGGCACCTTCAGCCCTTCTGCAGTTCTCACCTGCCCCCTTCTAACACATGGCATCCTACATTCACAGCTCAGCTGTGTCTGACTCTCGGGTTTTCCTGGGGCCTCTGTTAGCAGAGATAAACAGAATTTAGCATCAGCATGCATTTACGGGAGCTCTGGGTCATTCGGGACTCAGTTCTTGTAATTTGTCTTTCTCTTTCTGTCTCTCTCTCTCTCTCTCTCTCTCTCTCTCGCTCCTTCCTTTCTTGTTTTTCTTTTTGTGTCAAAATACTTGGGATTGAACCCAGAGCCTTTAGACTGAGCTACATCCCCAGACAATTGTAAGTTTTTAAATGTTATAAGATAGGGTCTTGCTGCATCACCAAGTTGCTAAGGTTTGGCCCAAACTTGTGATCCTCCTAATGCAGAGCTGGGGCGGCAGGTGGACACCACCACACCTGGCCTCGTCATCTTTCTGGCTCACCTCTGACCCATCCCAGCCATCTCCAC